AAAAACTTACATACCGGGGGAGCAAGAAAACCGTATCACAACGGCCAAAAACTACGACTATCGGAGAGAACTATATTGCAATAGCCTCTGTAGAACAACTAAGGCACAGCCTAACAATGTAGGGCCCTGAAAGCAAGTGTTACAACCTGCAAGGGTATGACATGCCTGCCCATCGAAAAGTGACTTACTGGAGAAGAGCCTAGATAACCAGGAAATTAAACAATTAGCAAGGTTATCAACAGCGTAGATCACGTGAGCAGGCCTCTCTAAGACTAAAATTTCTTCCAGTAAGTACTTAATTAAAGCAGTTGCTGCGACCGCTTGATATTTTGTTTTTTTTTTAAGTCAGTTGAAAACTGTTCGCTATATTCATCTAAGTTACTGAATCTAGTGGAGCTTAGAAGTGTAGTGAATCGGCCTGATGAATGTTTTGCTGTTGGCATTAGGTGCCGACTTAATGAATGCTTCGCATCTCGCAGTTGAGTGAGTTTTCCATAGGCCTTATAATCGAAAAAAAAAAAAAAATAAGCGGGCTCCGCTACCTTGTGTCGCTGAAAGAGAGGTATCCAGAGGGGCGGAAGGAATAGGGTGGGAAACTTCCGGGGCGGAAGTTCCCGGCGCAGATGAATTCTCTCCACGGGAATCCAACGAGTGGGCTAATTCATTGGTTGTTTTATCAATGCCTTAGAGAGCAATAAGTGGCACACGAGAGACACAGAAATGGAGCAGAGATAGGTAGATTAGATAAGCCAACGACCTGGCACTTAACTGAACTGGAGTATGACTTACGAAGTGAGGCTTTCTCTGTTGAGCAGACGACACAGCGAACGATAACGATGGAACTCAGTATTCACTTTTGGGTTAAAGAAAACAGAGGTAAGAAAACAAGAAAAGACCCTTTGTGAAGTAGTGCTGCGAAAGGAAAGAAGAAAACACTAGAAGGGGAAGTAACTGAGAAGCCCTATGTTAGTAAACCCCAACAAGAAGCCCCCCACTTCTTCAAAGCCCCAGCTTATTCAAAAGACAGAGACTCTTCATCGTAGACATCCCTACAACAGTTCGGCCCCGCCACTTGTCGACGAGGAAGCAGATGCTGCGGGGGCGTTTCCCTTCTTTCTTGTTGTTCGCTTCGGGACGACGGGCGCGTATTCATCGGGCCTATTCTTCATGTCGGAGAGGAGTGAACACGCATAGGCCCGGGCAGCATCAGGGTCCTCATAGTTGCGTGTGTCGACAGACCTAGTAACAGTCCTGCGATCACCAGACGAGTCGACATAGCAGCGGCGGACCATAAGGAGCTGACTGTCAGGCGTATGTCCTGGGCGTGCCGTGACTCCCGGTGGTAGAGCTATAGATATGCCAGAGGACGCTACAGCGGGCTTCTTAACTCGCTTGCCGCTACCAGTAACAGGTCGTGGCTGGTGAGCCACCCCCGTGGCAGCTCGCTGGGGCGGGGCAGTAGGTGGCTCCTCAGTCAGCATGACCTCCCTCGCGAAGCGGGCTACGCACTCCTTCTCATTATGGTGCCTCATATGTGCAAAAGCAAGCCTGACAGACCTAAAGCGCCTCCCAACAAGTGCACCACCAGCCCAGGAATGTCTCCGGGACGAGCAATCACTGCAGACGCATCGGACTACTGGTATGTTGTATGGGGCAAAAACACTCGGCACAGACAGTGGCGAGCCATCGGATCGTCGGAAGAATGGGAAGGAGACGATCTCAGCAAACAATACCCGATACTCGTCAAGCTCACGCGCAAGGAAGGCCTCAGCAGCTGTTCTCCGGTCACTACTAGTAGAGCTAATGGAAATATCGGACGAGGACTCATCATCAGCGCCACCATTTGCGACCTCAAGACGCGGCGAGGAAGGCCGATCCACGCACGGCGAACAGACACGGTCAGACAGAGGCAATCCACCGGCCGCGGCACAGAGCCTTCCGAGGAGACCCTTATCAGCACATAGTTCACGGAACACCACCCGAACAGCAGAGGCCGCAGAGCCAACAGAGGACAAAATGGAGCTAGTGTCAACCAACCTTGCAACCCGCATCGAGGGAACAGCGAGTGGGCGCACGTGGCTGCAGGTTAGCTCGTGTTCGCGCAACTATCAACAGAAGTTGTTTTTGTTCTCTGACAGAGCACAGCAGGTACTCCTCTCAGACCAGAGCATTCATCTCAGGGTCTCTCAAGCAAATTGCACTATGAATCTCCTTCAACAGAAATTGTCTTTGTTCTCTAACCGAGTATAAAGGATAGACTCATCACCCTCATCAGACCGCTCTCATAACGACAGCTCTGAAGAAAACGAGATCTCCAAATACTCACACCTCTCCTAGGACCCCTGCTCACTGCTAGCCAGCCACAAGAGCCGATGCGCTAGCTGTGGTTCGTGCACAGGCATACAGGAGGAGCGCGAGAAATGCCAGTAGTTGCTTACCTGTTCTTAGTGCACAACCCAATGCGGCGGGAATGCGGGAATTCGAATTTCAAACTCACGCTGCGTCCTTGGTATAAGTCTCAACGTACCTCCCCAACGCACCCCTGAAGCAGTCGATATAAACCCACCTCAGCGTTAGAATCGAAATCAGTTCAGTGTTAGGGACCCTGATAAAGGAACACTCACTTCATCCATACGCGATGGACCTTCCCCTTCAAGATCGAAATTGAGAGCATTGGTTTTTATGTTCTTATGTGTTTTTCGTTCAAAAAATTCAGTCGTTATCAATATTTCAAAAAATTCTCTTGATAGTAGTCGTGCTGAAAAGATGCCGTTGATCTGATGCTGACAGTGATTCGACTCCGTTTTAGACTAGTTTAGGCCTAGTGTTAGTGATCGTCTTCCTTGGTGGACTGGACATCATGTTGCCCATCACCTCACAATAATGATTTTCTTATAATAAAAAATATATATTTTTAATTTCAAATGGATACCAGACAAATTAGAAAGCTAGGTAAGAGCAAATTTGTGTGAATTCCTTTTTTCATGACATACAATAACAACAACATATTTACCATGAGAGAGAAACTGCTTATCGTCAGTGCCGTTTTTCATTTCCTTTCTAGTCTTTACTTTCAATTATCATAAGTCTCGTTTTTACGTACATAATGTTTGCTGCTTTTGATGCTACAAAAGCTGGAAGAAACGCTTGCCCCCTAAGAGTATCACCATCGACAGACTACGTATGCCGCGTCGTCTAATTCCTTTGCGTCTAGCTACATTGTCTTCGCTTCTTCGAAGGCAATACTCTTTTTCGGGCAATCGCTTTCTCATAAGCCCTATGTATTATCTATCATTGCAATTCCATTTACCTTATTTTCTACAACACCATAGCCGTATCAATTCACTTTTTCATGCGATAAACATATTCATATATAAACGATCCATCACGATTCTCATACTTCTTTTACCCAGTAGACTTCATCTCCATCCATTCCCGTTCTTCATTGGTTTTCGCCCCATTGGCCACGACTTGGATCCCCCACACCAGTGACGAGGTAGTGGCATATCCCTTTCTACTACCTCCTTTTTGACTCCCAAATGATTAGAGATACAGATAAATTTCTTCTGATTATAATAAAGGCCTTTCATATTTCTTGAAAATAGTTTTCGACAGCTTTTTGGTATTGTAATTCATCAAGGAACACAGACAGAGCCTCAACATATTGACTGCACGCGGTTGTGTGAGTGATCAGGTGTAGACGGCATTCCCAGTACCTGGCAGAAGATGTCCCTTACTAGACTAATGAAAGCTATGACGCTACTTGCACCATTTCATTCCTTGGCTTAATGAACTTTGCAGTTGACCATCAGGTACCTCCCGTCCGCTTACGCAGTCTCTTTCGACTACGGCCTTCTCGGACTCCCGAGGCCGCTTTCTCTCCAGGCTACTCTTCCTTGATGCAACACTTCTCCGGAGACAGAACGAGATTCACACGAGCAAAACAAATACTGTTTTCGAACAGCACCATTCTCGTAGGGGGAACCGCCGGCCCTACAAATCTTCGCCCCGCCTTTCGGATCCGAGCCATCGCAAATGAAAGAAGATTGCACCGATTTCCCGAAATGGGACTGAGGCTCCTGCTTTGACAGGGCTGCCAAGTGCTTCAACAGGGCAGTTTCGCTCATGTCTTTCGGGAAATGGTTTCAATTAAGGCATAATTTGGCAAAAAGCGTTCGGTTTCTTCTCCCGGCAGCCCTCATCAGAAACTTCTGGTTCACAGATAACCTCAACAGGAGGTGGAGGAACAGTGGCGCTCGACGGACTGCTTCCACGAAGACGAGGCTCCTCCGCGTTATAATTCTCCTTAGCAAAAACCAAGGAGAAGGAAGAGGCCGCCAGCAGGGTGTTGACGATAGCGGCACCCAGAAGCCAGTTCGCGAGGGAGAGCAGAAATACCACAAAAAGCCCCATCATGTTCACGATGATGCGATTGGCCGAGAGAGTCGCTCCACAGAGGTCAGCCAAGCTTTGCCAAGGTCAAGCTTTCCTAGGGAGTACAGCTAAATGTGGTCGAAGCCTTACAGTTCTCAAAACAATGAAAGTAAAGCACTTGCGTAGTGCCGGAGCGTGTTCTTCTGGAGTTCCAAATAACGCAGTCTGCAGATATTCTTGGAACCCAAGGATTGGGATTTGTCCTTGCGGGTGTGCGTAGTATTTTTTGGGAGTCCAAGTCTCTTTCTTGTGTTTCGAGATGCTTCTTCTCGGTGCTGGAGTCTATCTACTCGAGTAATCGATCCTGAAACTGATTATTTGTTGCACGTGGTGCAATGGATGATAGATAAGGTGTGTGTGCGAATCCAAATTACAATGTCCCCTAGTGTAGTAATTCGTCCATGAGTAAGCTGAATGAAGACTCCTTTGATATCTTCCGATAGCTGCTGCTAGGGAAGAAACTTTTTCGTAGCAGGGTTCTTTGGATGGGCAACAAGGTCACAAAAGTTGATATTGCTTCCTGTTGGGTTTCGTAATGATGAAAGGACAGTATCATAATCCTATGATAATCACAGCAAGATCGTGAAGCTTCCTTACAGCTCAACTCTGAACAGCTAAGTACAAATGGCCGATGAAGATCGAATCAAAAAGTTTTCGCACGCTCAACAGCTACGATTCTCCTATCGATTCATCAAAATCGAAAAGTTCTCGCACGCTCTACTCTAATCAAGTAAAGCCAGCGTCACTTCAGATGATACTCTTCTTCTCTAACAGAGCTTAATCTGGACTCATCGCGATCCGCCGCTCCTAAGACGACAGCTCTCAAGATGGAAAGGCCCACACCTCTCCCACGACTCTCGAAACAGGCGCAACTCTCAACAGATATACAGCTGTATCTCAAGACAGAGAAACCTCGAAAAGCGCGTATCTCGCAACAGATGTGCTACAGCTGTACCACGAGACAGACGAGACAGCTCCACATAGTCATGGTTCTCAAATTACATGGTTTCAAATTCAATGCTCTCAATTAAATTCTCAAACACGCTCTTTCACCTCGTCGAAGAAGAACACTTCAAATTTCCATTCAATTGAGTCTATCATTGGCCAGCATACCAACACCTACACACAATACGATGACACCCTGCTACCTCAAAAAGAAAGTACCTCAAAAAGGAACACTTCAAATTTCTACAAACATCGCCATCGCCATCATCAGCATTGCTAGATGAAGTAGTCGCTCTCTACTATCGGCAAGACGAAACAGTTCCTGAAAAGGTCCCGAAGGGGAAGCAGCAGCGTCCCTTTGTAGCATATTAGTGGATGTGGTAAGGCCTTCCAACACTCTTGCACCTCACAAGGAGAGCAAGAATGTCGCATGAGAAATTATCAAGTATTCACGGCTTTTCTCCTATAGTAGCCCAGATATGCGTGTTGCGTGATTGTAGACTTGGTTGCAGGCTCACAGGCACCGTGGACGAGGCCTTGATCCGCCCATTTAGTGTGGTAATCAAATCCGTTAATATCATTTATGCCCTTCTTCACGAAGTACGGACTGATTACATCACCATTCAGAGTGGAACAGGTCCTCACAACTGAGATTTTTTTAGAGTGAATATTCATTCACTCATCACGCTGCCACCAATACATAGAGTGAACAATGAAGAAGTATTAACTCCAACTATAAATGAGAGAACACACATTAAAATAAAGCCGCATCAGCTGTTTTCAAGAATGTTCTCTACACGTGCGTTAAACCTTGACTACGATGCGCTTTGAATCCGAAAATCGATGCTGAAGACTAAAAACTTGAGTCGCAAGACGTTCAAGTCCTGAAAAGATCGTGAGTACAATCAGATTTTTGAGTCCTTCATAGTGCTCGTCTGCCCACCCTTTATCACATACCAGGTAAACAATGCGTCGTCCATTACTAGGTGTTCTATCTCCAAGGTTCCAACAAAGAGACCCTCCATTCATTTTCATCCCTTTTTGGTTCATCTTCCCAACAACGAAATTGCATAAGTTTTCATCTTCGGTTTTTCCGCATGTGCGTGGATCTTCTCCTGGAGGATCGATCTTCCTCACGCTCTTATTTAGACGAAAATTGCCTTGACTTCTAAGAAAACACTCCTCTACTCAGGCTAGAACGCCAGATAATGAGTGAACGAATGTACCCACTCCAGTGGTCGTTTAGAAGAGCTCTACACTACTACTGACGTCTACCTTCTTGGCGCGTCCATAGTTCATCTGTGAGCGTAAATTATTCTAAAATTTCTAATTTCTTGATGATGACACACTGGTGCCCTTCCAACCCGAGATAGAAGACCACATGGAACTGTATGCCTGGATCTTCTAACAGTATGCCTCTAACAGTATGCCTGAATGATGATCCCTTATCCTTAACTTATGCAAGCCTGAGAAAACGTGGTAACTTTTTTCAGGAGCGATTCTCCCAGTTCTTCCGCGATGTCCTCTTGGCTAAAAAACAGTGACAAATTATGCGCTACTGCACGGATATGAAGGAGGAAAAATGTGTTAAACAGGACGAAGAACTATGTGACATACGCCACTGCCATTAGATCAAGGAGGAAGAACTATGTCACATACGCCACTTCTACCATTACATCAAGGAGGAAGAACTTGTATCTGACGTATTTGCTTTGACAGGGTAGGGAAAACTGAAAAGTCGAACAGGAAAAATTAACACCACTCTTCTAGTCTAGAGTAGACAAAAAAAACATATAACATCCGTCCATAGGTAAGATAATCCACACTTGGTTCTCCTTCTGATTCATCGCCGTTCTTCACGTAGATGGTACAGGGTAAGAGCAAGCGCCCACTTGTTCCAGTGCTTTGATATCGATTAAAGCAGAGGATCATAGTACTAATCAAGTATTGCTGCACGGAATAAGCCTAGATTTGGTGAGGTGAAAACTATTCGGTTGTTTTACAAATAAAGTAGAACCAAATGCTGCTACATCTTAGTACTTACGCTATATTACTGTGAAATCGTTCTCATTCTGACAAGATTTAGATATCCCAATGTATGGCTCTCAATATCTTTCCCAAAAAATCCCTTTCTTCTCCTTCTATCAATATCTTTCTTATAACAAATTGCCTCAAGATAATCATACCACCGTAACTTGTAGTTGGCCAGCAGCAGCATCGACCATATTTTCGCCACCCTCAGATTCTCGCAAAACAGCCCAGTCTATCGCATCTCGTGAGCAGACCAGAGTGTCCAATAAGGTCTGGGTTTCTTGTTGGGGTGGGCTATGAAGAATATTACAACGAGCCTTGTCATAAACCTCTTTTGTTCTACTACCAGAAGAGGAAGACAACCTTTTTGGACATCGCTCTGAATCTTTTAGTCTTGGCACAACTACAACAAGCTTCTACCCATATTTTGGCTGAAGGGACTAACCTCGCACGATGAAGGAAAAATCAACAGGTTACTTTTCTTATTCTCGTACTAAGACACATGACCAACCATAAATCCCCATGACTTCGACCTCCGCTAGCACACGACGATATATCCACGCTGCTGCGGAATCTTTTGGGTTCTCTGGGTTCACCGTTTCCCACCTGTCTAGTCGACAAACTTCTTCCTTCGTCAGGAAGACTAGAGTGCCACGACAAAGACTTTACTTAGAGGTGCATAGACTTGGCTTAGAGATGAAGAAGGAAAACCGGCGAGATAATTTTTCGGATCTGACTGCGTAAACCCAAGTCCTGGTGACTGGTCTGGATAATTCAGATCTGCTTTTAACATCTGGACACGTCTATCTTCCCTTAATTTCCGGTCTGCTCTCTTTTACAACAGTAGCCACGCTCCCATTCCACCGTTTTGAAAAGCCAACAAAGCGACGCTGGTAATGATGAAGAATCCCTTTCGATTAGCGCTGGTGCCAAGAGGGGAGCTGACTAGGATTTTTTAGGGATAGAGGTTTCAGATTCTAGCCTGCTTCAGATTCTAGCCTGGAGCAGGATTTTTTAGGGATAGAGGTTCACCTAAACAAGGCCACACGCATCGGCATAGGTTCACCTAAACAAGGCCACACGCATCGGCATAGGTTCACCTAAACAAGGCCACACGCATCGGCATAGGTTCACCTAAACAAGGCCACACGCATCGGCATAGGTTCACCTAAACAAGGCCACACGCATCGGCATAGGTTCACCTAAACAAGGCCACACGCATCGGCATAGGTTCACCTAAACAAGGCCACACGCATCGGCATAGGTTCACCTAAACAAGGCCACACGCATCGGCATAGGTTCACCTAAACAAGTCCATAGGCATCGGCATACGTTCACCTAAACAAGGCCATAGGCATCGGCATACGTTCACCTAAACAAGGCCACAGGAATAGGTATATGTTCACCTTATCAAGACATCGAGTGATATCTGTGTTCTCCTGTAAGAGCCTTAACTCACGCACCTTGCTGAGACGTCGGCTCCGACTCGCTGCGACACTTGTTCGATAGAGTTACTCCCATATCCGAATACAGGTACGTACAGCATTTTCTGTACATGGATTATTCGGTTATATAGTCAAGAAAAGCCACACGCACTACATCATCGCTAATAAACTTCTTTTTGGCTCTCAGGAAGTGCTAGTACACACATTTTGACCAATCTTTTCTTGCAGATAAAGCAAAAAGCTGTATAACTCCGGCATTTCTTGTGCCCTCAAGTTTTCTTGGAAATATTCCACATGCAAAATGTAATCGCTATAAGTGCTTCATATTTCTGATGCGTTTGAGAGTACTCGTCCCTTCCCCTGCCTGACCCTCATCAAAATCAGTCTTTAGGTCCAAGACAACTGAGAAATTTTCGCATTCTTATCACGATCCAAATCGGTACTGCTCACAAACACCCCACAATTCTTTCCATACATACCCCTTTCTTGCTCACACTTCATTGCAGCCCAGTTTCTAGCTCATAATTTTGCACCCTAAAAGTTAGTACTCTCAAGTCCTGTACTGATACTTGACTGTCCTTTGTCTGAGGAGGTTGCTTCTGAAGCAAAGCTTTTTTGAGAAGGAAGAGCTTCTCCAGGTCCAGACTCCTCTTCTTCTCGATAAAGATGCAGAATTTCCGAAAAGTGTAACGCCGCCCTCTCAAAGAAATTCAAATCAGCATTTGCTGCTCCATTCGATATCTTGGCAAGGTCCTTCCGTCGCCACTTTTTTTCGCAGGAAACTACATCACGCTCTTTATAGCGTGCATGATGTGGTGCGCGCCAACGTAGTTGCTTGAGAATATACTCCAAAATAGACGGCGGGGCACCTCTCATCTTTTCTTCAGTACTGTCCCCAAGTATTTCCGTGAAATTCAACTGAGCAAAACGACTCTTATACAAGAAGCTTACCCTTTGTTCAACGCTTGTCTTCTTAGCCGTCTTGCTCCCACGTGATGTTCTTTTCGCCGTACTGTTGCTGCACCTTGTTGTATCTCGGATGCCTTCCACCACATCACGACGAGAAAATGCGACAACAGAGGGCTCAGCTGAAAGAGCCGCTGGTCCAGTCGTGTTCGCGTTCTTCAGTGACGCTGAATTTCGTACACGTCCAGTATCTAATATTTTTGGACAAGAACTTTTAATATCATCGTCTTCTCTATTTTTCACGCTGTCCTCGTCTGCCGATCTAGACCACTTAGCAAGGGACGCTTCTGTTGTGACTTTCATGGTAAATGGCGAATGATGAGCTGCGTCACAAATGGAACTGCTGGCAAGTGGCGTTTTCGAACCTGTTGGAACAGCACCCTCTTCCACATCGACGTCAAGCTCCTCCTCCTTTCCCTTTGCAATATTAAAAACACGATGTTGAGGACCATGGAAGTCGTACTGTTGACCAGGCTTGCTTGCCATCTCGTCTTTGCTCAACCCTTCTTCCTGACGACCAGATGGATCATCATCGAGAAAAGCCAGTAGCCCAACCAGAAGGTCCCAAGCAACGGAGACGCACATGGACAATTGGCAATCCCTTTTCTCTGCTTTCTCGTTGTTCACACGGATTTCCTTTCCTAGAGGCCTTTCGAGGGCTGCAGTCTGCGAGAAGTAGGATCCTGGCTTTCCAGCTGTACGAACAAAGCCCGTTGCAAACTTCGAGCTTTCTCGAAAAGTCCATCTTGAGATGCATCTTGTTCTTGGTTCTTCTTTCCCCTTAGTTACTATGGGGCAGCTTCAAAAGCCACTTCCTTAAAGGACACTCAGGCATCAGCACAGGAGGGTTTGACAGTACTAAATCAAGATGCTCCTGCCGATGGATCGTTACGAAAAGAAGCCTTAACAAACCTATTCAACATAAACCATTCCCCAAATGCCCGTATGCTGCCAAGCTCATCACTGTTGTAGTTGCGTGACAAATGTTGCGCCAGGGTGGGCGGACCACCTGCAATTGGATTTTTGCTTCCACTTCCTGCTCCGACTAATGCATGAAGATCGGTTTCCAATTTAGTGGCGGTCTCTTTTTTGCTGACGCCCTCTTTTTTAGTGATGCCTTCTTCTTTACTGACGCCCATCTCCACTATGTGCCCAATGCGATCCTGGAAAACTATTGTCGGATCGCTTGGAAAAATGTCACGAATAGGGGTTTTGAGAAACCTTTTGACGTCCTCGACTAGACCTGCGCTATCACCTACTACTGCCACTTGAAGTGCTAATTCAGACGACAAGGTAACCGCTTGCCTTCGAACTTTCGATACGCATTTCCCGATAGGTTCTAAAATCTGGATTCGGTACCAATCCGCAACTAAATCAGAAAAAGATTGCCGCAAGGTATCCATCTCCCGACCTGAGGTGTCCTCAGCTTTCATCCCCGAGACAATATTAGAGCTCTGATGAAAAATTCTATCGGCATTTTCTTCCCGCAGCAAACGAAGTCTGCGGTTTACTCTCTGTGGCCACTCTGTGTCCGCAGTCCACGTATCAACATTCGGAGGCAGAGAGCAAATGAGGGCGCCAGTAGTTGTGCAATTCCGCTTGAAATCACGAGGATCCACGTGTCGCGTGTCCTCTTCTCGATCGAGGAATGCTCTGGCTTCAAACAGGTTTTTATGCCAGACGTGATTGTCAATCACGAAGGTACGTAAATGGACGGCTATCAGAGGAGAGGTAGAGGAGATTCCTAGCTGCATAGGAGCCGTGGTAGTCGAGGAGATTCCTAGCACTATCGAAGATGTAGTAGTAGAGGAGATGCCTAGCATCATAGGAGACGATGTAGAGGATGATGATGTGGACGACGGAGGCGGTACACTACCTACAGCTCCTGGACGAGGTAGAAATACACTACTACCTAACACAGCTGGAGCACGTTCTAGCAAACTCCGAACGAGGTCGGATGGTCGCACTATTAGGGAAGCAAGGGCCGCTGAGGGCGTCAGGATACCGCGACATCGTACTAATTCCACTAGCTGCTTTTCTTCATTTTGATCCAGGTCGCGGCCATGTCCACGTGCCTTGTCCGCAAAGATAGGAAGGACCCCGACCAGACGCGCACGAAAGATGGTATCCCACAATCGTAGAGGGGCTGGAGACAGGAAGTACTTTGTATTAGAAACGCTGGCATACATCATAGTCCAGTGGTACAGATACTGGCAATAGTAGTCGTAGTTGTCATCCTGGCATCCTGGCACTAGTAGAAGGAGTGGTAGTCACGCCCTCATACTATCTATAAGGTGTAACAGTAAGCCCCCCTGTGTGAGAACAGTAAGACCCCCTCTTCAGTGAGTCTCAGTCGAATATGTACAGTAACTAAGTAGGAGGTGCTTAGCTTACTGAGTTTTTTCAGTAACTAATGTACATTCACATGCCCATAACTAAGGCTTGTTTCTCCTTTCCGCTCATATCGAGTCTGTATCTGTTCAGCTCCAGGTCGGGCAGAAACATTCCACGTTTCTCCCACGATTCCATACGCCTTTCGTCGAAAAATGAAGTAATAGAATATGGCTCATGTAGTCTTTTAGGGTTGGATAGGCTAGGATGCCGTGATGTTAGCTACGTGTGATGTACACCAAAAATCAGCGAATATTGGGCATTTGTCATGTACAACAAAGAAAACTTCAAAAATATTATTTCGACAGGACAACTTCTGGAATGTTTATCCACAGAAGACATTTGTGAATCCATTTTGACGAATGTCCAATATGTTCCCGTCTTAACTTAGGATTGTCCTTTACAAGCATTAAGCTTCGGATTCGCGGGCTCATACCAAGGGTCCATGCTGGCGAGACAATCAGTTTTAGTCGAAAACGAAACTCCTTCCGTTGATCGGACCTCAGCATCCCTGAATGACGAGCCAATCGTTCAAAGGTACTTCTAGGGTCAAAAGGTTAGAAGAAATCAAGACTTCTTCTCATCATCAAAGATAAATGAGATCCATCTCCTTCGATGCTGGGAAGATAAGCATTATGGGTATATTCTCACTCCCGTATCGAATGAAAGTCCAGTAGTGGAACTCACTGTGGACCTCTAGAGTGAAACGTCTTTCGTGCCTTAATCAGTCACAGATTCGCACGTAGCTGCAGAGTGACCTCTTTGGCCCTGTTGTTTTGCGCAAGTAGCGTCAGTTGTACTGTGAGTCTTCTTACACGATTCGCGTCCTTCGCCGCCTCGTAATTTCTTCTCTGCATTGCTTCGGTCTCGGACTTTCTTCGTCGTAGTCGCCTTACCACTACTCCCTCCCTCGCTTTCCCTCTTTTTCGCCATCCCAGTAGTACTTTTGCGGCTTTCCGATGTAGTATCGTCTGTATAAACATGCAAGCACCACCATAACGCTTGCTTGATGACGCCCTCAATCGCATCACCTAGACCAATATTACTCACACGAACGCCCAAAACATCCGCCTCATCCCTTCTTTCAGCCGCATGATACCACTCTACGTAGCTACTTCTATGAAAGGTCGATATTCAAAATGTACCTGTAGGCGTAATGAAGAAATGAATTTTAATTAAAGTCGATAAAAACAAATTTTTTGATTTTTTCAAATGCGTTTTGATATCAATGAGTTCGCATCTTAGCTGTAACGAAGGAGCGAGAGTAATTTTCATACTAGCTACATCCACTCAACATAATCTAGTTTGCCCTGCGCCTCTTCGGAGAGCCCCCAATCGTGGTCGAGAAAGATGTTGCTTCTGCCCTTGCTTAGAGCTGCAAATATTCCAAAAACGAAAGCCCCAAAAGACATGTTGACCGTGGATCAAATGTGGAGTGTCCCTTGCAAAGCGCGTGCTCTCGATCTCAAATAAGACCTTTATCTATCTATGTCATCGATTCGCAAAAACCTTCACTACGTGAAGGAATTTCAGTCAAACCATAACTCTTCTCGATCCAAAGCAACGTCGTGCTCTCCTTGCAGGTTTGCTGTGCTTCCTCTTCCAACGATCAACATCAGCGATAAAGCGCAAGCTGCTAAACTCCAGAGGAGCAGAAGGGGTGCTTTCGAACGTATGCAAATAGGCTTCATCTTTTCATTGCTCTGGAGACAGAAAAACGAAGTGAATTGCGCCAGTAACAAAGATAAGCATGTAGCAGGATGTGTCTTAGGATCATGTCCGTGTGGATCCCTGATGACACTGTTAGCAGTGCCCGTAGAGATTAGTTCTGATATGGTCCAGACAAAAGTCCAGACGATAACAGCACAGGTCGAGCCATGACGGTTAGTAGAGACTCAGACATTACTACCACCCTTCTTAGTCAAACGTGTTGTCTGACATTCTTAGGAGCAAAAATGGCGATGATGTATCAACAACATCAGCTCGGATGAAAAACAACGGGCAATAACCAAGTATCTCCGGTGTAGTTGTTCTTGTACGCGCACCATCCTCACTTTTCGACCAGACAAAGTGTTGCTACAGCAAACTTAGGTGATGAAAGGTCAGACCTTCTTCATCTCTTCTGCGTGGATCACTCAAGTACCAAACAGCCAGCCATATTGGTTCGTTTCTATGCACTGCTAGTCACTGTCAAGAAGGGCCTCTTTCGCGCTCCTCTCAACAATCTCGTTTTCCCCTACAAAAACGCATCTAATAGAAGAATGGGCTCACCCAAGCAGCCATAAAGTTATTGAAGATGTCGCTATCTGCCTCAGGGTGAGTTTTTCTTGCTCATCATAGCGCCACGCTCGAGATAGCGTGAGCACCCACGACTTCGAGCTACTGCACGAACAACTATCATCGTCCCCTTCGTGTAGGCGTCAAAATCAAGAGAAAATCTCTAAGTTATCAAGAGAAAATCTCTAAGTTAGTTCATCTCTAAGTTAGCTCACTACAGCATGGACGAAGTCCATAGAATTCTTCCACCTCTTCCCTTGACTCACCTGAAGAGAATTCAGACTCTGACAATGGTGGCTCCTCTGCGTTTGGTTTCTCAAGTCCTAGAAGGCGTTCCAGATGAAGAATTTCTGCTATAAAGAGGTCCCTTTCCCGTCGCCGTCGTCGTTTCTTAATGTTCGTTGTGTTACCACGACAACTGTCACGGAAGTTCTGCATTGGGTGAGTAGTTGGTTTGCTGTGGTGTTCACTTTTTCCGGCTCCTGCAGTGGTACCAATCAATACCGCATTATCACCTGTCAAGCCAACATCCTCATCGCGATTCTGGTCCTTCCTCGTTTCCGTCACGTCCTGCTGATAGCCATGACCCTTCCTCAGATGTTGATGTCTTTGCCGCTCCGACTGTCTGGTTGAGTCCTCATCTGCGGAAACGGGTGGCACATCATCTACCGATGGCACGTCATCTAGTGGTGGCACAAATATTCCGCGTTGCTTGGCGATCTCTGCTAAATGGCGTGCTCGCAAACGCAGACCCCGAGGACTCGTTTTTCTAAGCCACGCGCTTGATGCGGCTGTTGTATTGCTCGATATCAATGCAGAGGACTCGCGGACGGAGTAGCTCTTCCGTTCTTGCGCACGACGTCTGCTGCGACGTTCTTTTTTCCCTGATGCGAGTGCCTCCATGAAGTATTATTCCCGACGAGGACCATACTTTTATCCATGATTCTCCGTGATACGTGACATAGTGTAAAAATTAGAGGATAGGACGTGGCTTTGCGAAATCAAACTGTAAACTCCCAGCTCCTGATAACCAATGTCGTAGACTAAAAGCAATATAGCACTACAATCGTGTGGTGGATTGAATACAAAGATCTTCATCAAGGCCTGCCGCGAGGAAAGAAAAAATTGCTTCCACACGTCGAGGCGGTATGTGATGCATGTCTCTGCATATTACTGCGCCTGATTTCATTGCAGCTGGGTCTACCAAATATAATTCCTCGCCATAAGAACAAGAGGGACGGATCCTAATCTCCCTGCATCAAGGCAAGGGGAAAATACGGCAAGAGAAGCAGCAAGTTGCACTTAATGGTCATGGTCAATTTGCGCTGCCCACTGTTCTCAACATATTGATTCTCGATCATTGTCTTGTTTTTTTCGTTTCATATCCGGTTCTAACAGCCTCTCAGTGCACTTACGGTCTACTAGCATGGTACTCGTCGTCTTAGTTGTTGTATCTCCTATAATTTCATCGTCTCCTTTCCTCGTTGAGGAACCTGGTCTCTTCTGCCCGCCTCTTGATGGCGGTCCAGAGTGAGAGCGAAGGTTCCCTTGTTGGCGAGTTTTTTTCTTCGGCTTGCTTTGCTTGAGCCTTGATTTTCTTCTCTCCGCTGCGTCCATCACAAGCCACCTCGATTCTCCGAATTAGTATTAGAGAGATTTTTTGTACTACAGCATCTGAAATCAAGATAGTTGTGCCCAGAATTCACAAATTACCAGGGCTATAATCTCCTTAAATATCAACAGCTTGTATGATAAATATTCACACGGATAAATGTCTTAAGATCTCCCTTTCCCTCCCAACGATGTCATGAGCGTCACCAACTCCTTCCCAAGGGTTCGAAGTGCCGCGAGTAACCGAGATGCAACGCGGGGAACCAAGACTTGGTCCAGCAACTTTGCGTTCAAGTTGCCCAACCTTCGCCTTAGCTCTGCTCTAATCGCTGCCAAGTCCGGTGAAAAAAAGTAGATCTTGTTTAGCTGTGATGGAGAAGTTGTTGTAATTTGCTTTGGTGTTCGCTTCGATGTACAAGAATTAGAGCGGACCCTAATCCATCGCGGGATTCATCTTGGACCTATTTTCCCCTTACGGGACAGGTCTAAGTAAGATGCTTCAGAAGATGCATTATAGGGTAACCCTTAAAAGAAGCAGAGCTACTTTGCTTTTGTGTGTTATCCTTGTGAGGTACTATTGTCGTCTTTTTGTCAAGATCACCACAACGTGAGGCTTCTCCTTTTTCGCAACTGCTTTCCACACTGCCGCCCTCCAAGTTGCATCCGTCTTCATTGACGTTAATATGATAGTCCTTTTTTGAAATTTTGACTACTTCACCTGCTGGAGGAGGATTTTCAGAACTAGCATTAGGAACGTCCGATCGGGCACTTCCTGCTGAGTCGTCGTCTCCTTTTGATCTCGTATCACCTATTCTGAAAATCAAAGCGGGCCAACGTGAAAGTGGTGTCTTTTCGCCTGTGCTTGATGTTGTGTCCTTTTCTTCACCTAGTACGAGAGACGTGCTATTCGAAGAATTGAAATTCTCGTGTCCCTCGACAATCGTCCCGAAGCGCAAAATGTAATCCATCAGGTGGCTAGGGTCTTTCTCCCAAACTTCATATCGTGGGAAACGCATGACGCTAGTTCCCTTCATACCAGAGGAGCAAGACGCAAAAGCCTCCATGTTTCCTTTGATTTGGAACCTAGTCAAACAGCACAAGAATATGTTAAACTGCTGTTGTATGAAGATAAAAACTAAATAAAGAAAATCACGATCATGAAACGAACTCCACGACTAATCTAAGTATTTCAAGCGTAAAAAGCAAAGACCTTGGACCAATCAGAGTGTATCACTGGTAGATTCACGCACCCTTCATCTTCGATCTTCAATTTTGGAAGCGTGTGAAAGATAAGCAAGGTTCCTTTTTGCATGCTTGCGGTTCAACGTCCGAAAAAGGTTATGATGTAAAAGTCGTTTTTTCTGCGAGGAATGTGATGGTTGGAACTCGCACTGCTACGAGGAATGGGAACGCGGGTTACGCATCGATTCCCTTCAGTGGGAGAACAAGAATTTGAAGGGGAAGGAATCAGTCAGAATCGATAAGACACGTTTAGAGGAAAAGGAATCAAGCAACGGGATTAAAACTGTCTCGGAACTTGCGCTTGCCGGTGACCTAGTAGAATCAAGAGTAAATGGAATGGTTTTCTTTACCTTTGTCAAAAACTGTTGGAATCAAGAAAGCAGATGACTTCCTAACCTAGTAGTCAAAACAGGACTACTTTGCCACGAGGCCTTCTGCCTGAAGACATCACCTTGCCCCTTCGGAACTTCATACAAAGTGGTGCCCTTTGTACCACTCCTTCACAAGAAAAACACGTTGTACAGGTGTCCGATGCCCGGTTTTCGTTTGCCGTATTTGCCTAATTTTATACATTCTCGCTTCCCCGACCAGCAGACACACTCCCTCCGCGCTTGCCGCAATAAGTTTCTCCCCTTCGGCTCGAGACAGAAAAGTGTCGCGAGTTAGAAGTTTGTAAATGATGGTAGAACTATCCTGCTTCAGATGGGGAAAGGGACGAGAGGTGGCTTCAAGAGCCACGCGATGAAGATGGAAATAGGCAATAGTAGATACTGGCAAACCAGCAGCCCAGTCGTTCTATATCAGGATCAACAGGAACAGCCACGAGACCACTAACAATCCAGCAACAAGCTACAGATTAGCGGGTAGAGGTCGTCGGGGAAATCTTAGGCAGATCGCCGAGTAGATTAACGCCATCAATAATAGATACTGGATGATAAGTGATAGGTGATAGAAGTTAGGTATGTGGCACAAGATGGTGAACTTCCATGCAAGCCTTAACCCGAACTGTCATCGTCTGTGGCGTCGGCTATGTGTGAACGACTCCCCGTCACATCCGCAACTTGAGAAGCTGGTCTTAGACTCAGACATCAATTCAAAACTACTTTTTCACTAAATGCAAACAACTTCCATTCACAACGCCAAAAAGCACCTCCTCCTACGCGCAACTCTTTGCAGAATTCTCTTTCAACCTTATTTTCATAAATCAAAAGCATTTTCCACTGGTCTCATTTCCTGGCAATATTGTCGCATTCGATCCTTATCCACGCCTCCTAGGACACCCCGTGCAAAAGCCAAAACAGGCTGCGTTATGTTGCTCAGGGCCTTTCGCACTCCACGGGGAAACATCGGCGTCGACTCATTGCCGCCTGAAATAGAGACGTTGGAGGCAGCTAGGTATAGAGAGATAGAGGGTTGTTATTGCCACCTGCTGAATGTAGAAATGAAGGGAACCTTCTTTCGCCTAGTAGAAGATATAGAGAGATAGAGGGTTGTTCTTGTTGCCACAAAATATAAGTGGATAGAAAGACAAAGATGATCATAGAGGTCCATTCCCACTGCGCAGAATTACTGTGGGAATAGTCCGTGGGAATAGATACAAGTACTTTAAACAAGCACGATTACCTCCTTTCAAAATCGGTCCGATGAACGGCAGCTCTGGACTTTCCGGCTCCGGCTTAGCGCAACACTTCCACCACTTGTCTTCCGCGACCTCGTAGTAGTACGTAAGCTGCTTACACTGTTGCTCTTGCTCGCCAAAAATCGCTGCCCCGTTTTCTATCACAGTTGAAATTAGAAGATGGAGAGAGTCGAGATGCCGACAGGAAACTTCATCACTATCAGTACAATGCTCGTGCTGGTTGACGGGCTTCTTATGTGGTTCCTCATATTTCCTGAAGAAAATAGAAGCTTGCTAATTAGAGTTCCTTCGCCAGGGCCAGTTGCAGTTCGAAAAAGCATCATAACTTCTCAGCAAATTCGTTCACCGCTCTCTTACAGGGACAGCTGATCGAGCTCAGTCTCGAGAAGAGTCCTCCAGAGCCACAACCATAGGTCTGTACGCAGTCCACGTAGAACGAAGTTGAATGCCTGCTACCATTGCCCTTGTAGTCCACGAAGTTGTGGTTAAGATCCTGGACGGCGTGTGAAGGATCCCACTCTGCGAGGCGCAGCATCTTCATCTTCATTTGCACAACGACCTCTGTCGCTCAGTTCGTGGTTGACGTCGAAAGCTAACCACCCATCACCATAGGGGACTGAAACGGGGCATCCCAGAGACTATCTTCTGAACTGCTCGTACCTCCATGTCTATCCACAATCCAAATAGACGGCAGATCGTACGCGGACGAGGGAAACATGGATGCTGTGCTTATTGAATATGATGTCTCTAAGTTATAAACTCATGATATCTGTCAACGAATGTTTCGGGTTCGAGTCCTTAGGTGCTAGTCAACGCTTCTATTGATTCACGGTTTCAACAGGTCAGATCTAGCATTCAAAAAAAGCTCTTTTCTGTTAAGCACCGATGAACATCAATTCTACACCAACCGAGATTAACACATCCCTTCAAGCGACTGTCACTGATCACAACAGATGTCGATCGATTCGATAGATACTCCGTCAACCGAATCCGAAGCTAGAAGCACCGATGTACGAGGCGATGCATTTTCCAGTCAACCCCGAAGTTACCAAAGTTTCGGACAGTGCAACAGCCGAAGGAGTATCCGAAATTATGATGGTACATGATGATGATTGAGGATCCAACTATTATTTGCTAGCACCATTCAGTGAACAATTAGGAGGCGCATGTCGCTACTTGTATTAAAATTAATCCTATTCTTATTCAGAGTTTTTTCTGTTCTGATCCTTCTTATACTTGTTGAAAGGCGATGCATTTTCCAGTCACCACCGAAGTTACCAAAGTTTCGGACAGTGCTTCAACGAAGGGAGTAAACTTTTCATCATTCTCAAATTCTTCATGTGCGATTTCTCAGCATGGAAAGAAACGACCAGAACTTCGACTTTGCTCAACTTCCAGATTTCAACACTTTCTACCCTCCTTCGAAACAAAGAATACGAGCAAGAAGGCGAACACAAGATGCGATAAGTCTCTCGTGGTTGTCGGTGTGGACATCGGCGGCAAATCATGAAGACAAAACGAGACCGAGACGAACATTTAGGAACTACCGAAATTACAACCTTAGGGCAACACTTGTCGATTTAACAGTTACCAAAGTTTCGGACAGTGCTTCTCTGAAAATCGAGCTAATCAAATGTACCGTACCTTCTTCATACTGTGTGCGTAGATGTGAAGTCACTTGAAGCGTCCATATCTTCTGCGTCATGTTGTCGTGTTTGCCATACTTGTGGTAGTTTCTCAGTTGTATGCGAGCTCGACTCGAAGTAGGGTTCATTCAGTGTACATAGCGCCTTGTTCTGCGACAGCAACCCTGACGGACCACAGTGCTCTAACACTGCTGTACTAACCTTCAGGAGTACCTGACGTTTTAGGTGATCTTCTACAACAAGGTCTTGTTGTCGAGAAGGTCTTGTTGTTTAGGAGTATGTTAGTTTTTCTAGTCTTTGTTCTGTGGTGATACTAGTAACGCGTGTCTCGTTTCTTTCTTCTCGATAGGAGTATCTTCAACCTAATAATTCTTTTCGCTGTAATATTGATTCGGTATTCTTTCCTTGCGCGTATTTCAAGTAGACAACCTAGTAGTCGTACTCCGTCATAATTAGACCTAGTAGTAGTACTCCGTCTTCTGCAAAAGTAAATGTAAATCCGTCGTCGCCCTCGACAACATCAAACGACCCCAACATCGAACGAGAACCACGACTCAACACATCATCAGCACAACTATCATTGGCAACGAACTTCAAGTATCACAAACAGCAACAGGATCAAGGTGGTATTACTCTTTCGAAGTTCAGTTCAACAAGGATTGAGTGCTCCAAGAATTTTCCTAGTCTAACAAACTGACTATCGTTAATATTAGATACAAGGTAGAAGTAGGACAAAAATCAAAGAATAACCAAATTAATTAGTACAACAAAAAGATCGGATTTCAAGAATCAATTCTAGTCAAAAGCTCAATAACATCGAGAAAAATGGAATGCTTTTACGAACTACAACAAACAGGGGGGAGTCAAAGGGAGGGTGCGTAGGGTATTTGTTCGATATTAAACGATGCAGTTCTGCTCTTTGAAAAAAAGGAAGTTCTTCTACAACGAAGTCAAATAATACTTGTTGCCCTATACTAATTGACCTACAGTGGCAGGGTAAACGACTAGTGAGAAACCTCACAGTCAAAGGCATGCACAAAGAATGCATCAATCGAATTAGATGCTGAATCAAGAAGATATCTTTATATTATAATGTTGTAACGTTCTTACGATACTCGTGCTGTGTTTGTACGGAGTACAACTAAATTGTTGAAAATGACATAGATTTGGAAATTTGTTTGCTGTCTCTAATTGACCACTAACCAGGACATATTTACTTAATATACGAAAGGAACGATGAGTATGAGCAGCAGCAGGCACTAATTATATTCGTGCACGCTGAGGGCTCCAGTTACCCAGAGAGATATCAATGACACTGAATTAGGTTCAAAATTTTGTGTTGCGAAAAACAAAAAATGAATTTGAAATGAATACTCAACACTGGAAGAAACGAAGCTCTCACATGACACGCAAACGCAATTTAGTTCAACTATGAATTAGGAATGACAGTAGTTGCAATGACAGTAATTGTAATTAGTTGTAATGACAAGATCAAGACTTACTGACAGAAATTTTAGCACAAAAACAGAAAAGCGTGCAGGTTCAGCAATTTACTTTCTCAAGAACAAACGATTACCAGTAAGATCTAAATATCTATGACACGCATTCGAATATCAATACATAGTAGACGTCGTTGCTTGTCTACTGACAATATCTGAATTTCAATTTACTAGTTAGTCCACCTGATAGGTTATTTTCTTCTACACGAATTATCACATATTCATCAAGCGCACGGCATTCGCAACTTTTCTCCCCCTACTATTAAGTTAGCAACATCATGATCACAATCAATTTATCCCCCAACACAGTGCAAAAACTCTGATTCAGATGCCCACCGGCAATACCCTCTTCTGAATGCTTACTTAGCTACCCGGTTGATCAGACAGATCTTCACTGAATTAGCCTCATCTAAGTTTGTTCAGCACTATCGCAATGCATGCAAGCATGTTTCATTGACGTACCGCAAGTTACCATCCTCCGAATTAGAAACATCAATCAACTTCTCTAAATATCTCAACGACCGAGCAATGATGCAATTCTAACTTCGCAATCCCAGTTGACGTCGCAACAACAGATTTTCGAGACTCGAGCTAGGCGTGTATCTGACAACCTCGGCTTCGAGTAACTGTTCTTCGAAATTCGCCGATGTCTGCAAGAGTTCCTTCAACACTGCCGGATCCGCTGAGGGCCTTAGAGGAGACCAGCTACAATGGTGGAAAATGCAGCCTGCATCTACTGCTAGTTACAGTCAGATAGCATTGGCTACATGGACTACTTAGAACGAGGACGACAGCAACCAATCCAATAATGCTCAGCATTATGTCGCTATCATGTTGTGCATAACTTGTCTTGAACATGTTGTCGCCATCGCGCTTCCCACTCGCGTTTCGCCTCTTCCCGCTGCTCATCACGAGGTCTGCGGCTCACTGTCCTCGTATCCTTCCCCATCCCCGAGCTCTGTAGTGACTCCTGGCCTCGGCTTTTTGTGGAAAGATTAGACAGGAAAGAGATGGTGGTGGAGCAGGTTCCTCTACGTGTCGTTTTAGGTACTGCAAAGAGGTCCCCTGGCTAGCAGTAGTAGTGGTAGCCTGTCGAGGTGTGAATCTAAGAATTCATGGATCTTCAATCTCCCTTGAACCTTTCACCTCATTGGTAGTTCAAGAACCCAGTAGCCTCCATAAGGACTTCTGTCAGGCCCAATTCGAAGGTTCTGCATTCGGTACTCTGGGGCGAAGCGGACACCATATTCCAAGAGCACGACTCTACTTCCTTGATATTAGAAACGCTTACGACTCTTGTCATGTGTGTGCCCCTGTTATGGTCATTCTTGATCACCGTAAATTTTTTTTTTTGCGTTAGGACTATATGCCACCGCCCTTTCAAACAATTAATTAACTTGTTCGTAGAGACCGTGGCAATATCATTTCCAACATCTCTTTAAGCACCAGGGTCCCAGTGCTTGAGCCATCAACGTATTCCGCCAATTGTTCCTTCTAGACAAGACGAAGAGAGACAACATGCAGGCGGTCTCTATTTGTATCAAAAACTACGAATTAAACTTCAAATTAAGACTCTTAATACTAGGACTCGGCTCCGCTGACATGATCATCGTCTCGCTGCCGCATAGTGGCGCTGGCGCTACTTCCAACATCTCGTTCGCCTCTGCATCTACTACATCTTCCCTGCTATCTTCTCCACTACTAGCAGATGATCTTTCTGGGTGAAATACAAAGTCGTTCTCGGTCTCGTTTTCTTCCTTGATGCATTCTACGGCGTTTACGACGTTCCCTTCTAGTGCTGCGCCGTTTCTTTCTGCCACTACTGGCTGGTGCAGGACTTCGACAGGCGAAGGCGCTACAGAAGTCGTGTACTCGGAGTCGTGGTCGCCGACCTGTGTACTGTGCTCTGAGACTGGTGTGTGCGTTGACGGAGCTGTTGACTTGGCTTCTCGGTCCCCTTTTCCGTAGAATAAAACTTGTTTTTCTACTGCTTTATAATTGCTTTTTGAATGTTGTGCAGCATCTGAAAATGTGCAAGTGTTCTTCGTCGTACAACTAGACGGTTGCTCATAAGCATTTCCATCGAATGCTTCATCGCGTTCAACTTGCTCTTCTTGTGCAGCCACTTGCACCAAATAGATGTCGTTCTCCAAAGGTGATGCGTCCTCTACCCGCGCACCACCACACAACTCTGTAGCAACAAGTGAGTCTCCGGCTGACTCTCGTCTTTCAAAGGCGATATCAGTGAGCGGCGAAGCATCGTCAGCACAGAGACCGGCTAATGTTTCGTCCTCAGGTAAATCTTCTACAACAGGCTGTTGGACGTTCTCTTTGCTCATTGCGGAAGTAGTACTAGATGTATGATGTTGTACAGACGGGCGCCTCCAGTCTCCACGACGATCACCCCCACTATGCAAACGGTCAAAAAAGGCTTGCTTCGCATCTCGTTGTCCTCGTCCACGCGTCTCGCCGACTGCAGGACCACTGACAGCCGCTGTTGTGGCACCTGACGAGGTCGCAACAGTTCCAGCATTTGCACTCGCATCGCGAACGCTTGCACGACTATGTGTACTCGCACCACGTGCACTCGGGCCGCGTACACTTGAGCCGCGCAGTGTAGTTTTTCCAAACAATGGCCGTGAGGTGTGCACACGCGACGGTTGCACAGAGGAGGACGCTGATGTTGCTGCAACCTTACTCGCTCCCCCCATGCTCCCGCTGCGCGCAGTAGCCACCGCGCGTGCTGCGGTACTAAACGTACGACGCGAAGTTGTTGTGGTTGTTGTGGTGCGCACTGCACTAGTGCTTGATCCTACGCGGTCACGCGGCGCGAACTCGGGACACCTTGGTGGCCGCAACGGGGCTCCACCCATAGAGCTAGTAGGATTCGACCCCGCACTTCCCGTACTATGTTGCACTCCCAAAAACGGAATCTGATGATCAGAGCCACGACTGCTTCTGCCTGTCTCTCGAATAGATTCCTCCGCTAGGCGTGAAGTGTGAGCCGATAGAGCCTTGAAATTGTTAATCTTTTCAGTGATTTCCTTCGCCAAGATTGCCATTTGAGACATAGCATCTGCTTCCTCAGTGTTTTTAGACATGTTGACGTTTCTAGTAGCGCTGCTAGTCGTCGTTTGCCTATTAGTATAATTAACAGGCTTAGCAGAACGATGACGCCTAGAGGGAATGCTCGTCTCTACAAGACATGGGTTGCTGCTACCAGTCAAGGCACTGAGATGATCCCCTCTACTTCGCTGTTGCTGGAGTGCATGTTGGTGCAGCTGTTGCATCATCTTCTGTTCGTACCCGAATTCATCAGACCCATTCTTTTCTTGTTGCTCTAGACTGGAAGTTGTAGTCGCATTCGATATCTCTGATGACCGCCTACGGCCATACTGCTCGTCGACACGATTCTTCTTGTTGTCGACAACCACGCCAAAACTACCACGACTAGTAGACTTTTTTCCTTTGTCATGGTCTCCAGTGTTTAAAGAAGTAGTACACCATTCCTCAATGCGCGGTGAGAATGGTGGCGGCTTCAGGGTGCTCTTCGTTAGCACTCCCCTAGTTCCTCGTGAATAGGATCTAGTCTTTTCTTCGCCGCCTAACTGTTGTTGTTGTTGACTGGGACTTGTTTTCAGCTCACCTCCTGCTGCCAAACCACGTGCCACACTACTATGTTGACTTGAACCAGCAACATAGTGCGCTGAACGTTGTTCTCGTGTTCGACTGCCGCTCTCGGCTCGACGACGGGCATTGACCGAAGAAGAGCTCGAACGCAACGCGCGAGTATCGTCATGATGGGATGGAAAGCGACTGCTAGTTCCAAAAGTGGACACGCATCGCCCTTTAGACCGCACCACGCTCACTTGTCGCATGGTCACTGGTGGAGGGGCTTGGTAGTTGTTCAGCAAGTTAGCCGTCGTTTGATGGCCCACAGTTGGTGCAGACGGATTTGTCCGAGAAAGTCCTCCTCCTCCTCCCATCCTGGTGGTGCTACTACGACACAGTTCTGTAGTACTAGGTGTTTTCTCTGGTAGAAGTAGTCCTTCATTGGAGCTTGGCGTAGTAGAGTGCGCGGACCGTGAAGAGGACCCTAGCAAGTCGTCCACGCCGTTGATGTTATGTCGACGAAACGGCATGCGCAACCGCTCCAAAATGCTAATCCTATTGGAAAACAACGCCAAGTCTGCTACTGGGGAAGACGCAGGTGCTGGGGGCGGAGACTGTAGGGAAGAAGGCGGACTCGTTTGGATGTGGCGGCGACAGATCTGCTGAATGTTGGACACGATTGCAGTTGCGGGTTCGCGTACCGATGCCATGCCTGCTTTCTCGGGAGTTATCAAATTAGTACTTGGTTTATTCGTATCTTCGCAGGAACCTCCGACAGCATGTTGTTGTGACGTCGTTGGGGAGAATTTCATTCCGTCCTGAGCGCAATTATCACTGCTACTTTTTCTAAGATCGTTGTTGTTAGTGTTTTGCTGATGGAAGTCTGCCTTTCCAGGTACCAGGACCATGCTAGTCCCGCCGTACCCGGGTGAGTCTGCGCTACTGACACTGCCCCAGTCTCGCGAGGCACGTCTTGGTCGTTCCGCCAGAAGCGCTTGAAGGGCTGCGCGCGACGTCGTCGATGCTGGAACTACAGAGGTACTATCCTTACTATCTTCTTGTGCTGGTGGTGGTGCACCCACTGGTTGCTTGGACGAGATGGAAGATGAAGATTGATGACCGTCGTCTCGTAATACAACGCCTGTTGCCAAAACTGGATCTCTCTTTACGACATTGTCACTCTTGCTGCGAGGACGCGACAAAGGGGAACTCTTCAAGCTTTTGAGACGTTCTTGTAACAAGGTGCTCGTGGGCAAATCCAATTTTGCGTCTGATGTGGTCAGAGTTTTCGTGTCCTCCAACATTGAGTCTTCCCTAATGCCTTCCAGTACGCTTCCAACAGCCGCCAACAGATGTCGCTCAAAGGTGAGCAGCAGGTCGTCAGACGGCATGCCACAAAGAACAGCTTTTTTCTTCTCTCCTTGCCCAGGACCGGCACTTGAATCACGAGCACGAGCGGGGTGCAATCATTAGAGCAGGAGACCGTAAGAACGTCTACAGCAAATAACTGTATCCCACATCTTAACCTTTTTTCCTGTTTGGAAAACTGCCATACTCCATATTCACTTTTTCTCATCAACTTATCTATCTCAGTATTCTTTTTGTTCCTGTGAAGATGATGCATTTTTCACAACCCTCGCCTTAATTCCCATGCTTCGCCCAGCGATTACGCGCTACAACCCCGTCAGACATCGTGGAAGCGTTGTGCAGAAGCGGAGGTGCTACTTTATGGCTATGGACAATTGGCGCACCACCCACAGGAGAAGCGGCATCTCCAATAGAGGACAAATCCGCAATCGTACTGGCATTCGGTGAGCCGCCGATGGATGTCGCGCGACCCCTTACATCGACCTTAGCCTTCGAGGATGCAGTATGCTGAAGAGACAGGCAGTTGTAATGACGTTGATTACTAAAGTGTTGGAACCGAGATGATTGACTCGTTCACTTTTTATAATGACGTTGATTAATAAAGCACAGAATGAAGAAAATGAGGAAACCAATACAATAATAGTTCTTCGAAAAAAACTACTAACTCTTGACTACACAAATTGTTCTGAAGAAATGGATCATGAGCTTCGCAAAAAGTACTAGAATTGTCGAACTAGTACTTAAATACCACATTGTCTTCTCCCTGTCTTGGCACAACATTAGCTTGAAATCGTAGACGCTCTTTGCGAGTAAGCGACTGATCCCGCACTTGGGTGTTTCCGTTCCATTCTGGCCTCACAGCTCTTGCCGACATACATCGTGGAACATCAGGAAGATTCGCGCTATTGTTTGTGTAAGTTGACGAGGGTCGAGCGGTTAGGAATCCTCGACTTCGTGCTCGACTCGAAGAGGATCGGTTTGGCGCATGATAGTGGTACTGGAATCCAGCATCGCCTTCCTGTCTCTGCTGCTGGCTCACATCGTACAAGGAAGTCGTAGCGAAACGATTCTTAGAGCAGCTTCTCTCGTGAAGATAAATCGATATGCTGTAACAACAATGATAAAAGATCAACAACCATCTTCGTATTAGACTATTATTAACAAACAAACAAACAAACAAAGATCAGACCTACAACTGGCAATTCCAACTCTTAACATTTGCTGCTTGATTTGTGTTGGATAACGGCAACCGCATCTGTCGCAACGATGCGCTACGGGCACGCGCAGAATACGCAGGCCTTGCGGCCGCCGCAAAAGCAGCACCGCGAAGAGGTACCACTTCACCCTGTACAAGCGGACCAAAGTGCCGACTTCTGTGGAGTAGTGAGGTGTGCTAAGATGACAAAAGCAAGGGACCATCGCCAGCGTTTGAAGAAGAGCAAGAGATAGCTCATGTGAGATAGAGGACATCGTTTTGTCTACATCGATGATCCTGATAATAAGGATGGACTAGAATTACACAGGAGGTACTTGTCATAAAATCACATCTAAAGCTGTACTGCATTTCCTCTCGTTTGCGAATCAGGCGATCCAGAGCGTTCCCCAATGGCACTGATTCTCCCCTTACTGGAAACTTAATCCGCTGTAAGTCTTCCCGAAGCCCCTTTCGCAGATCCTGAGGTTGTGGATTGGTAGAGAAGTTTTAGAAGTAGTACAACTCAGAGACTATCCTACTTCCACGAACATTCAAACAAAAATAAAACAAGTTGAAGTTAGTGTGATTTTTACGTCTTCATAAAGCCGCATGAGTGCTGTAGAGTAGTACCTCTTCCCCAGATGGAGCGATCAGTTCTGGTGGAGAGAGTACTGGAGAGGAAAAATCAGCTGCGCAACGACGAACTGAACTCGGATCCTTGGGAGCATCTTCCAGCATAGTAGCAATCAATTTGCGGTCTGGCGTGACGACTGATTGTGCATGCTCCCCTTCCACGAGCAGAGGATCCGAGTTGCACGAACCGCTCTTCCCGTCTTTGACGTCTTTGACGTGATCAACTCTGCTTGAGAAGGGAGGCGCGTCTAGGTGCTCCTCATCTGCTGGTGTGGTCTTCTCTGGAGTACTGCCGCTGCACCTGAGAGAACGAGAGAACGAGAAGCAGTAAGAAATGTAATCAGGCGCTAAGTGCTTCGCTAAGTGCTTCGTTAAGTGCTTCGCTAAGTGCTTCGCTAAGTGCTTCGCTAAGTGTTTCGTTAAGGGCTTCGCCAAGAAGTGCTTCGTAGAGTGCTTCGTTAAGTTCTTCGCCAAAAAGTGCTTCGTTAGGTGCTTCGTTAAGTGCTTCGCTAAGTGCTTCGCTAAGTGCTTCGCTAAGTGCTTCGCTAAGTGCTTCGCTAAGTTCTTCGCTAAGTGCTTCGCTCAGTGCTTCGCTAAGTGGTTCGCTAAGTGCCTCTCTAAGTGCTGAACGAGGCACTTAGGGGAAGCGCCCCTTGGGTGCCTCGGTAAGTGCCTCGAGCAGTGCTGCGCGAGGCACTTAAGGGAAGCGCCCCTTAATAAGTGCCTCGAGCAGTGCTGCACGAGGCACTTAAGGGAAGCGCCCCCCTAAGTGCCTCGAGCAGTGCTGCACGAGGCACTTAAGGGAAGCGCCCCTTATGTGCCTCGGTAAGTGCCTCGCTAGGTGGTTTGGTCACCGCTTAAGCGACGGCTCGCTTAGGTGATGCGGTCACCACTTAAGCGACGGCTCGCTTAAGTGATGCGGCCACTACTTAATTTTTTTCGATAGCCACAAGCCTGTGGACGAAATTAGTCCGTAACCCATCACGGAGTCAGAAAATGAAAGTCAGCCATATCACTCGGACGGCATTTATGAGAAGTAGTAGAATCATTACTCAGCCAGCATGCTGCCATTGGAGGATCGTTCTTGCGATAAAGAGAGGACGTGGGAAACGACTCGATCGAGCTCCGATTTCTCCGTGATGTGTAGTGTTAGAAACTGTGCGTTCTCCAAAGATTCCTGAGAAGTGCTGTCTGGTGGGCGTCATACATTCATTCTGAGAGTATGTTGAATCAGACTATGGCAGGTGCTAGTGGTAATACTACCATTCATGATCTCAGTAGAGATAATTATGCAAAAAATTATATGAACTCGTCAATCACCAGTCTTAACAGCAGCGCAGTGGTGAATTCCTCTTTTAGGTCGTTTTTTAGCATGTCCGTTTGTGGCAAACCGCCTTCCGGAGTAGGTGGAGGTGCGCCTGTGCCTTGATATTAGACAAGGAAGGGAACATTGCTTTACGACATCCTGGGCTGACTGAGTGCTCTAAACCCTAAGCCCTGATGCATCGGTAGTGCTGGCCAGTAGACTACATGCTGTATCAAAAAGTGATGCAAAAGAGAGTAAAGTGAGTTTTCTGAAACTATTATGGAATGTAATTGCAATCATAAGCACACGGCGAATCTTCAGGAGTAGCTGGAGCAACAGGAATAAGTGGCCCATCGTCATCTCCCGAGCCGACCTCTACCGCATGTGCGTCTTCTTCCTCGTTCGAGTCCGTTTCCAGCAAGGTCTCAAAATCCGGTGGGAACACCTCCACAGCTTGATCGCGTCGCGCAAGGGGTGCTGGAACGAAGCTAGTACTACGAGGATAAATTTCCTCTCCCAGTACACGTGGATCTGTGCGGCCTCGTTTGTTCTGGACCCTGCTAGTTCTGTGAAGATGATGCTGTTGAGTACTAGGTGTTGTACTAGGAGATGTTGTAGCTGCGGTCGAACGGCTGGCTGTACTCTTACTCGCTTGCTGCTGTGATGTTATTGACGTAGTGGTCTGTTGCTGTCCACCTAACGTCAACAAGCCACTGCTTTGTTCTCCCATATCTACGTCTTCAAGCCTACTGCTCGTCCTGCGACTCGGTGGCGCAGAGTGTCGCTTACTCAGATGTGTTTCGCAGGAAACTTCGCTGATTCGAGACAGGTCAGCAGCTGCATATTGACCTCGTTCGACTGGTACAGTTGCTGCTTTGGATAGTGGTGGCAACAAATCTGCGCAACACGGATCTTCAGCGAAGTTGACTCGGCCACCGATTTCACCGTCGAAATAGATGATCTGCTCTTGATCCTCAAGTGCTTCCTCTATGTCCTGGTGAACATCTTCTCCAGTAGAACTACTTCCTACAACTTCGCCACTTGTTCCTGCTCGATGTAGTTCTTGACCTTGAGGACCATGTACTAGATCATGTTTCAGGTTCGCACTAGCAGATGTTGTCGAAGTTTTCCCATCTTCAGCATGATCGTCTCCTCGACCGTCCTTTCCCTGCAACGACCTACGCCGCTTGAGCGGACTAGGAATATCAGCCAGGACTAATCCGGGAGAAAGGGTCTCATCCTCCTTACCCTTCGGGGTCGCATCGGGACTACCGATATTGAAGTGGGCGACCTGAAAGGATGAGAAAGTTTGACCTAGAAGATTTTCTTGCCTACAATCTAGATAAAGTTCTTTCCTCTAGTTTTCTACTTTTAGCAATAGAATTCGTAGTGAGAAAACACTCACAACAGTCGCAACCCTAGTTGATGTGGTAGCAAAGCCAAAAGCAAAAGCGATTCAACTACTTCAATTCGGTCCGAGCGCTCCGGATTACGTGCGTAGAAGCGAGGCACTTCGTGAGAGGTTGACATTATCGTTTAATAGTTGTGAAAAGTTTACTCGTTGTTCTTGCGCTTTCAGAATGAATACGTTCAAACTCTTTGGATGTGACAAAAACTGTAGTTGAAACTATAATGATTAGTTTTTTTGTTGAGTCGTTGAGTATGGGTTTTTTGATTTGATCCGGATGGGAGAGAAAGACCTTTTTTGACTGGGAAAAGAAAGGTTTTCTCTTCATGGTGGGAGTAGTTTTGCTTGCTCATGTTTTTCTTTTTGCGAACGACAATTCTTTTTTCGAAACGAGTTGTCTGCCTCTTTTTTTGTTCTGTGTCTCTCCATCCCTCTGTCACTCTCTCAACCACAAGTTGTTTCGAAACTCTATCCAACTTGTGGTTTATCAATATCGCCTACTTGCGTATTATTTTTAACTGTTGTCCAAACAGCACGAACAAAACCTAGATGAACGAACGAGTTTTCGACTCTGCAGCAAGCAAGTTCGAAGAAGCAGCGATGTGCCAGATAATAGTTCATTTTATTCTGATAAGAAATTTCTGCGATAGGAAAAAATAAGTACCCGCAAAGATCATGTCATAAGATCAAGAGTGTTCATCAAGTAGATATCATACAGCATCCTTCGGTGGTATCCTACATCACTGTATAGTACCGAAGTCAGCAGATCCACATCACTATAGATACCAATATAATAAACACTGCCAAGAAAGGCTTACTTTTCTGTTGTTAATCCGTGTTAGCGGGACGTCTAGGAGGCTTACTTATCCGTCTCGTAGAGGAGGGTCTATCTACTAGAGGAGGGTTTATCTACACGGCGATCGAGAGGGGCAGTGGAGCATCGTAGCCAGCTTTCCCAAAAACGATTTGCACGATTCTGAAATTAGAGGGGACGAAACAAAAACCTAAGCTCTTTAAGCGCTTTACTGTGGACTCTAGTCGCCATGAAGTGATAGACAACTCTTGAGAAAAACATACTCATACCCTCTAAACTACTTTGGACAACACTCATATCAGACAACCCATTACTCTCTGTTCACCATAAGTCAAACAGTTTTTGGTCCTGCATGCTGAGTGCTGCTTCCTCGATGGCTTTCGGAATACTGCGCCACTTGGTCCACTTGAGCACTTCACGCGTCTCCTTCGCGTCATAGCTGTAACCCCGCTCCACGTTGGGCAGGATAAAGGCTGCCTGGTGGAGGAAAAGCGCTGACAAGTAAAAAATCCAATAAGGTCCGATTCGGGAATATGAAGAAAGGATTCGGGAATATGGGACTTAGAGAACTCTTTCAACTGTACTTGAAAGGAATTATGATTAGATCAATGCACTAGCAAGTGGAGCAAGCGACTCACTGGTGGTGATGCCGAGTAATGACGACAGTGTTTAATTAGCGCTCAGACGTAGGACCAATCACAATCATAAAGTAACAGGTGACCACCCAAAGGGTCGCATAGCTTTGTCGCAGATCTGCGCCACTTGCTCCATATCTAGACTTCCTGCAATGCCGGCATCAGCCAAGAAGCGCCCATTCTTCGCAGCAGGTGCCTTTAAGGCCAAGACATGCAGTTCCGCAACGTCTCGGACATCGACACAGGGAGATTAGACAGAGACACAGAGAGATGAAAAGAATCGACTCAAAATACGACCAGAGTACAGACGTCCTCATAGAAGCACAGCTACGGGAAAAAGTTTCCGTACAAAGGCTATCGCGGTACGCATCTTGCAAAAGCAAATCTCAGAAGTTTCTCTCTTCTAAACAGTCGACTTATATAATTTTTTCAACTAAAGTACTTACTCCCCACTGCATAATTGAAGCACAATCTTGGAAGGATCGGGACTTCGTGATTGACTATTTTTCGAACGGCTTCGCCACATGGAGAGACGCGTGGGAGGAGGTTAGGACCCCATATACTGCTTGGCAAGATCACGCAAAGCTCGAGTCCTAACTCATGCGCTAGCTTCCATGCAGTCTTCTCTGCTAGTACCTGGTAGTCGTGGTTATTGTTATTTTCTGGCGACAAGCATAGGACGAACAGGCGCAATTTTATTTACGACGTTCATTCTACGAAGTTGGCGCTGATGCTGTGAACCTCTTCGGCAGTCTGCCTAAGATTTCCCTGACGAAGTTTGAATTAATTGCAGATAGAGATACTCGCAGAAGACCTGAGCCAACCAAAAGTAAGTTACTTATTCACATGGCAATACTTTTGACTTCTCGTAGAGAAATATTCTTTCTCCACCCGCTTGCGCTTCCTTACCTTGTCCTACAGTACTGTTTATTGTTCGCTTTTGAAGGTCAGCGTCTGCTTCCCTAGTCTCTCCACTCCAGTCTTTTGTTGAAAAAGCGGTTTTTTCTTTGGGGTGTCCCGCATTTATTGCGCTAGTGGAGGAGCAAAAAACTACTCTCTGGACCCCTGCTGAAGCACAAGCACGAAGCACCTTACCAGTGCCCTCGACTGCCGGTCGCAACACTGTATCCTCATCGGCTACGTACTCAGTAATAAGGACATTAGAGTATCATCGTGCAATAGGTAGTCCTGGCCTTCAATCCGAAGCTTCTCATTCTATTCTAGTAGTTGCCTCCGCATCAATCCTGACTTAGTACAATATGTACAACTGATGATTTTTATGTCTCTTTTCTATAGAAGATGCTTAACATCCCGCTATGATTTTTTCCCTGTTCTATGGGATCCGGTTTCCTATTCATAGCTGGCGTCGCCAAATGCAAACAGAAGGTACAGCCCTGCGCCGCCTTGTTCCAGGCTTCCTGGTCGCTGTCTGATAAGTCGATCTTCACCAATTCTAAGTCTTCACTTTGATGACGATCCCCGACTGCAACAGCCTTTTTTAACGTGTCTGCTAGGCTGAAGCCTCTGACCGTACCTCTAACGCGAAATCCTTGGTCCAACGCGGTTTTGACACTGTGAGCCCCGACAAAGCCGTAGGCACCCGTAATCAGCACGCGTGGCTTGGTTGACGAGCCGTCTGCGCTAAGACGAGGCTCAGAAGTAGAAACCGAAGCAGCTGTCATTTTCTTGTTGGCTCACTGTAAAAACCAAAGTTTTTAGTCAAGAAAATAAGCCTTCATCCAAGTAATCCATGGTTTTTGATACCTCTCGAAAATTCCAATAGTCTGTAATCCGGATCATGGACGCGGCGTCCGTAAAAAATGTAAAATATTTTGTTTGGTTGGATGGACCTAGAATATGAGGGAAAAACCAACCGGCTACTTTCTCTTTATGTGATTTGAGCGCCTGGTTACTGTTCGAGCATTTGTAGACTTTTTCTGAGAAAGGAGATGGGAGAGCTTAGTATCGATCATTGGAAAAGCGTGTGATTGAGGCACCCTTCAAAAGAAGCGTTGTGTTCCTTGAATTAGATTACAGGAAGGCAAAGGACTCACACTTGATGCGAGACAACAGGGTAAGCATGTTACCCTTACAAGATGGAGAAGCGCCATTCCAAAAAAAAGTTCTTTGTTTCGGTGCGATTAAAATTCATGTCATTCATCAAGAGGTAATATGGTTGTGTTTGTCTTACAAAAATGCCGGCGCCTGCTGCATAATTCGTTGTATTGGCGATCATGTCTTGTGTTTGTGTTGTGGCCCGCACTACTCATGAGCAAGGAAGCATGCGCGGCAAGATCATGCGCCTTATACATTGTGAGCACCGGACTAAACGCTTATGGCCTTGGAGGCAGAAACACCGCGGACACCATTATCTGCGCCGACGGTGCCCTGGCGATGGTAGTCTTGGCGGTCTTCGTGTTCGCAATTCATTGCCGAAGTGGTTCCGCGCGTCCCTCGTCCGCATGGTTCCGCGCTTTGTTCATCAGCGCGTTGGGCCCCCTCCGCTTCTGCTGCATGGGTTTTCTTAACGGTAGAGCACACGGCGCTTCAACTGCCAAGCCCTTTCGAGTGGGCCACAGGGAGCCGCGCGTCCACTGATCGATCTATCGCGAAAGGGCTGCCACAGGTAGCGGGGTACGCGCGTCGGCTTCCTTCCCGACCTATCGCGAGACGGCTGCCACAAGCAGCGGGGTGCCCGCGTCGGCTTATCGACCTATCGGTCCCGCGGAAGGGATCCCACAGGTACCGGGCGGAAGGCGTCGGCCCATCGACTTCTCGCCTAAGGGATACCCCGGGCGGCGGGGGCCAAGCGTCCGCTGATCGACTTCGCGGGAGAGGGTTCCCTCCGATCCACGGGAGACCAGGCGCCGGGGGAAAGCCGGCGCGGCCTTCGTTGCGCCTGCTATACGGAAGAACGCAAACCGCCCCGAGAATCTCGGGCAGAAGTAACTCGCGCTAGATTCTCCGGGAAGCGAATACTTGGGAACATTTGAGAACATTTGGAGAATATTTAGGAATATTCGTCGAATCTTTCAGAGGAATTTTTTAGGTGCGGGAATGGTTTTCGCGTGAATATTTTGCGTTAAGATAAAAAACTGCGTATCCATTTCGTACCATGCGGAAGCCGAACTCGATAAGAGGGCCCAGACATGCTCATCGAGTTCCGCGATAAGTTCTTCTCGTGGGGCTATCTGAGCGAGAAAATGTGGATACGCTTCTCATTAAAAAAGCGAAATACCTGAAAGAGGTGCCAGGGCTTCCTTTTTTAATGAGAAGCGTATCCACATGTGCTCGCTCAGATAGCCCCGCGAGAAAAACTTATCGCGGAACTCGATGAGCGTGTCCGGGCGCTCTTATCGAGTTCGCGCCCCGCATGGTACGAACTGGATACGCAGTTTTTCGCCTCCTTTCAAAATATGCACGCGAAAACCACTCCCGCACTTAAAGAATTGCTTTGAAATAGGCGGCGAATGTTCCCAAATATTCTCCAAAAATTCTTTCACTTCGCGAGATACGCGAGCGAGGTCGCCGCCGTCTGCTTATTTCACGCCGGTCGGCTTGTGGTCCCCTGGCCTGGCTCGTCTGTGTTCCAGTTTGGTCGGTCTGTGTTCTTCTGGCTTGGCTGCTCTTGTGTTTTGCGTCTTCTCATGTGCTCCCCTCGTGTGCTCCTGTCGTATGTCTAATCTCTGCGCCGTGGCGCGTCGTCCCTCCGGCGGCCGTAGGCCGCCAGGGACGAGGGGGCAGAGGGTTGCCTTGCTGGGCTGTTCGCGCTGGATTACGCGGCGCACACCACGCGCCCACCGGCGCCCACCAGCGCAGCGTGGCGCGTCGTCCCTCTGGCGGCCGGCCGCTAGGGACGAGGGGGCAGAGGGTTGCCTTGCTGCTCTGTTCGCGCTGGGTTATGCGGCGCACACCACGCGCCCACCAGCGCCCAACAGCGCAGCGTGGCGCGCCGTCCCTCTGGCGGCCGTAGGCCGCCAGGGACGAGGGGGCAATGCGTGACCACCTCGCCCCCCGCCCCCCTTGTAAAAGGCTAAGGGCTTGCGCGACTGTAAACCCATATAACGAGCCTGCGCCGAAGAGTGCGCCCCCGGACTGCGCCCAACCATGTAACCCTGTACAAGGGGGGCGGGGGGCGCGGGGTACAAGGGGGGCGGGGGAATGCTCCAGACAGACGGCCGCGTAACTGAAGGGCTAGCCCATGCCCCATCGCCAGCGGGACGATGCGCCAGACAGGGCGTCTCGCCAGGCTTCTGCGGTCTTGCCGGAAGATGTTCGCGATTGAAGTTATCTCCTTGGCTCTCTTCGTGTGCGTGTGCTACCTATACCGGGCGCACTTCTGAGAGCTACAGGCGCACAGGGCTAGCCTTTGCCTGTAATGGTGCTCCGGACTCTTAAAAAGGAGGGCGCGCCCGTGTCTCATGGTGTCGCCTGTCGTCTCATTCGGTTCGTATCGGTAGCCGGAGGGATTGCAGAGGAGTCGGGTACGCCGAGCGAGCGACGAAACCGGTAAGAGAACGGCGGAAGCATCTGAACAGAGCCCGGAAAGACAGAGGCGAAACCGATAAGGAAAGGGGAAGAGGAGAGAGACGGACTGGCCTCGCGACCTAGGGACTGGCGTGCCAAACTGTGGAGAAAAGTGGCAAAATATCGAAAACGGCCCAGAAGTGCCACTGTCCCTTAACGGTTTCGCTTAAGAGTTGCGCGAGAAAAATCCCACAACTACAAAGGGCCAGCGCCCTTGCTGCATCGGCTTCCCATCGGGCTCCAGAGGTGGCAGCGTTGTCGCAGACGTCTGTAGCTCGTCCAGCACCCTGCTCAAATTTTTGAAAATTTTTTTTTCAGGAGACTGAAACTTTCCCATTTATGTTCTGAGTAGATCTACTTGCAGCCAAGATCGAAAATCTAGCAAATAAAATTCTCTACACATATTTCACAGACATTCTGCATAAAAAAATTCCAAAAAAACTAAAAAAATAAAAAAAAAAGGTTTTTAAAAGACTGAATAAATATTCGCTGAAGCATATTGAAATGCATACTATTTCTAGCATTTTTAGAACTATCAAATTTATAAACTAGGCACATCTTTTTTTTTTATATTTTTTGCAAATTTTTTTTTTTGGAGGGCCCCCGCCCTGTAGGAGACTAAAACAACCAAAAGAGAGGCCAGGGGAAGCACTGGAGGAAGTTTGGCAGAAAATTTAGTAGGCGGCAGAAACGTCAAAAATTTTCCGCCGCAATATTTTGCCAAATTTTCCGCCAGATAATTTTCTTGAAGTCTTCAAAAAACCCTGCACAATTGTAAAAAGAGCGCCGTGGACAGTTGTGGGAAAATTGGGTGAAAAATGGGGTGCAAGAAGTAGGAAAATGGCGCACCTTCTCGGGGATCGTTTTTTTTCTGACGGGAAATTTTTGGGGAAATTTTTTGGCAGAAAATTTTTACGAAAGTCCAAAAAGTCGCCAAAGTCTCAAAATAAATGCGCAAGGGCTCGCCAGGGACAGCGGTAGGCAAAAACAGACAGCGGGCACGCATTAAAAGTGAAAAGCTGTCTGGGGTGTTTTTTTTCCGGTGGAGAATTTTCCTGCTCGTTTTTTTCTGGCAGAAAAATTTTTAACAAAGTCCAAAAGGCCGCCCAAGGCCTACACGGTTGAAAATTTAGCGCGCAAAGGACGGCAAGCCTCGCGAAACTCCCAGGCGAAACCGTTAAGGGACAGCGGCACTCCTGGGCCGTTTTCGATATTTTGCCGCTTTTCTGTACAGTTTGGCACGCCAGTCCCTAGATCGCGGGGCCAGTCCGTCTCTCTCCTCTTCCCATTTCCTTATCGGTTTCGCCTCTGTCTTTCCAGGCTCTGCCCCGATGCTTCCGCCATTCTCTTATCGGTTTCGCAGCTCGCTCGGCGTGTCCGACTCCTCTGGAATCCCTCCGGCTACCGATGCAAACCGAATGAGACGACAGGCGACGCCGTGAGGCATGGGCTCGCCCTCCTTTTTAAGAGTCCGGAGCATCGCCACAGGCAAAGGCTAGCCCTGTGCGCCTGTATCTCTCAGAAGTGCGCCCGGTATAGGTAGCACACGCACACGAAGAGAGCCAAGGGGATAGCTTCAACCGCGAACGCCTTTCGGTAAGACCGCAGAAGCCCGGCAAGGCGCCCCTTTTGGCGCATCGGCCGCCAGCGGGGCGATAGGGAATGCCTTAGCTCTTCAGTTACACGGGCGACAGTTTGTCTGACGCATCCCCCCGCCTCCCGTTGTACCCCGCGCCCCCCGCCCTCCTTGCACAAGGTTACACGGTTGGGCACAGTCCGGAGGCGCACTCTTCGGCGCAGGCTCGTTAGAGGGACTCACCGTCGCGCAAACATTTAACCTTGTACAAGGGGGGCGGGGGGCGAGATGGTCACGCATTGCCCCCTCGTCCCTGGCGGCCTAGGCCGCCAGAGGGACGACGCGCCACGCTGCGCGGATGGGCGCGTGGTGTGCGCCGCATAATCCAGCGCGAACCGCCCAGCAAGGCAACCCTCTGCCCCCTCGTCCCTGGCGGCCTACGGCCGCCAGAGGGACGACGCGCCACGCTGCGCTGGTGGGCGCGTGGTGTGCGCCGCATAATCCAGCGCGAACAGCCCAGCAAGGCAACCCCCTGCCCCCTCGTCCCTGGCGGCCTACGGCCGCCAGAGAGACGGCGCGCCACGGCACAGAGATTAGGCATGCGGCAAGAGCACACGAGGAGAGCGCATGAGGAGACGTAGAACACAAGAGCAGCCAAGCCAGAAGAACACAGACCGACCAAACTGGAACAAAAACGAGCCAAGCCAGGGGAACACAAGACGGTGGCGACCTCTCTCGCGTATCTCGCGAAATGAAAGAAGTGGAAGCAGATGGATGATGGAGGCGCGCGCGGTTTTATCGAAAAGCCGCCACGTGGAGACCGATGAGGCCTCCCGTCTGTGGCCAATCTTTTGGGAGAATATGACGAAGCGAAACCGATAAGGAGATCCGGGAAACCCTTGCGGCGATTTTTCTCGGAGACGTTTTGGAATAAGATGAAAAACTGCGCATCCAGTTCGTTTCATGCGGGAATCGAACTCGGCGCGAGGGCTTGGGCATGCTCGTCGGGTTCTGCGGTGAGTTCTTCTCGTGGGGCCATCTGAGCGAGCATATGTCGATACGCTTCTCATTAAAAGAGAGGGCGTTAAAGTTCAGGCAGAGGACCAACAAAAAAAAAAAAGAGCAAACAGCCGCCGGCTGTGCCGCGTGCTCCAGCATGGAGAAAGGCGAAACAGGGGAAGGGCAGGGGCGTCGGGCCCTCTCGCGGCCGGCGTCACTTGTCGGGTGTCGTGCCCTATACAATAAAACAAGGGAAGGGAAGACGAGAAAGAGGGACGAGGGCAAAGCAACAGCGCCGGGCCCGTGTGTTTCGCTGTGCCTCGTGCTCTGTCGTGTTTCGTGTCTCTTCGTCTGTGTATCACCAAGCAAGAGAAGGGAAGACGAGCAAGAGGGACGAGGGCAAAGCAACAGCGCCGGGCCCGTGTGTTTCGCTGTGCCTCGTGTTCTGTCGTGTTTCGTGTCTCTTCGTCTGTATATCACCAAGCAAGAGAAGGGAAGACGAGCAAGAGGGAAGAGGGCAAAGCAACAGCGCCGGGCCCGTGTGTTTCGCTGTGCCTCGTGTTCTGTCGTGTTTCGTGTCTCTTCGTCTGTATATCACCAAGCAAGAAAAGGGAAGACGAGCAAGAGGGACGAGGGCAAAGCAGCAGCGCCGGGCCCGTGTGTTTCGCTGTGCCTCGTGTTCTGTCGTGTTTCGTGTCTCTTCGTCTGCATATCATCAAACAAGAAAAGGCAAAACGAGCAAGAAGGACGAGGGCAAAGCAGCAGCGCCGGGCCCTTGTGCTCTGTCGTGTTTTGCGGTTCGTTGTCTCTTTCGTGTGCCTGCGTCTGTGTCTTATAGAAAAAGAAAAGGAGAAACGAGCGAGAGCGACGAGAACCAAGCCACAGCGGCGGGCCCTTGCGCTCTGTCGTCTTTCGCGCTCCGTCGTCTGTCTAGTGTGTCCGCGCCTGTGTTTCATAGAGAAAGAAAAGAAGGAACGAGCGAGAGCGACGAGAACGAAGCCACAGCGCCGGGCCCCTGCGCTCTGTCGTTTTTCGCGCTCCGTCGTCTGTCTAGTGTGTCCGCGTCTGTGTTTTATAGAGAAAGAAGAGAAGAAGGCAAGCGAGAGGGACGAGGGCAAAGCAACAGGGCCGGGCCCTTGTGCCTTTTCGTGTTTCGTGCTTGCTTCGTTGTCTGTCTCGTGCGTCTTCGTCTGTATCGTGCAGAGCAAGAAGAGGGACGAGAACAAAGCAAGAGCGCCGGGCCCCTGTGCTCTGTCGTTGGTCGTGTGTCGCCGTCTGTGTCGTTGGTCGTGGTCTGTGATGAAGAGAGCAAAGACAACAGGGAGGACGAGAGAAACAAGGGCAGAGGCGTCGGGCCCTTCGTCTCCTTTCTCGTGTTTAGTGTGTTACCGTTATCGCCTTGGCATCTTAAAAATTTCGCAGCTTTTTCCTCTCTCTTTCTCTTAGTTTTTGCCTCCCTCCTCAGTCTTTTGACTTCAAAAAAATGGCGAGCAAGTTCGGCAACTGGAGCGCGGAAAAGTTGCACAGCTGGGCCGAAGACATCCACGCGGATGCAGCCGGCTGGAGTCCTCCCGACTCCCTGCAGGTCCGCGACTGTCTGGATGGGGAGAACCTGGGCGGGCTTCGGGTCAACTTGATGCGCTTGCCGAAGTTTCTCGGCCTCGACTACCTCGGCAGCGCGCCGGACACGGTCACCGCCTGCAAACTGATGAACGCGGTCGCAGCGGATTGCGAGCGCTTGGCTGAGTGGTTGGACGGCCCTGGTGTCGGCTCCCTGGTGCTGACTTCTGCGATTTTCTTCACAAAAAGGATGCAGCAGCGCCGCGACCAGGTGAAAAAGGTCGCAAACGGTCGGCCGGCGGCTTCGCTTGTGGTGCGTGAACCAGCGCCAAACGGCTGGCGGCACTTCTCTAGCGGTGAGATGGTTGACGAGGCAGCACGCGCCGAGCCTAGCGACGGGGGGGCGGCTCTTCTCGCGCGCCGGAACCTGCGCGCGGGATGCAGCGACACCGCAAACGCCGGAAGGGTGCAAGCAGCCGCGAAGCGTCACCGCAGAGCCATAGAGGAAGAGGACGGCCGCGGCCTCAGGCAGCTCCAGTGGTGCAGAGCTTCATCGCTGAGAAGAAGAAGAACCGGAGAAAAAGAAGAAAGGGGGGCGCGGAGTTTGATTGTTTCCCTGTTTGATTGTCTCCCTTTTTGATTGTCTCCCTTTTTGATTGTCTTCCCGTTGGATTGTCTTCCTGGCTGCTTGATTGTTTTCCCGCTTGACTGTTTTCAAACAACTCAGCGCAAAAAGCTCGAAACTCTGGCCAGGCCTGGGGCTTACGCTGAGCGTGGAACCCAAGCGGGGCAGGCTGCGGCGCGCTGCGTGTGCGTCTCCTCTGCTCTTCCCTCTTCTTTTTCTTGGGTTTTCTGAACCGCAGGGAGCCCGATGCCAGCAGCCACCGCGGCGCGCCCTCGAATCTCGAGGAGCGAGAAGCGGGGAGAGAAACAAGAGAGGCAAGGGGCGGGATGGCATGACGATGCTGCGGCTTTCGCTGCGCGTGGTTCTCCAGTGGTGACCCAGTCGACACGGCCCCGCCTGTGTTGCCTTTGTCTTCTCTTTTGTTTCCCTCTCGGTTTCCTCTCTTCTAGGAGATTCGACAGCGGTGGCTGGTGGCGGGCTGCACTGCGTGCGCAGTGTGTCCCGCTCGGTCTTCTTCGTGCTTCGTTCGCTCCTGAGATTCGAGGGTGCCGCGCGGTGGCTGGCGGTGGGTTATGAGGCGAGTGCAGTGCGCTCCCCGCCTTTGCCTTTCAGAAAGCTCCGGCCGGGCTCTGGACTCCTTCAAGACGAGGGGCCCGCTTGGGGTCGGGAAGCTCTCGCGACTAGAACCCACACGCGGCCGGGGTCGCTTCTGGTTTCGTTCATCAGGGGAAGGAGATCCATCCCCCCAACGAAATGAAGCCGCTGCGGGTCTTTTCGGGGAGGGGTCGAAATTGTGCGAATTTGATAAATCTGAGACGTGTCCGCCTATCATTTTGGAGGCACTTCTAGAGACGGCTCCAAACTGCCGCAAGAACATAGAAAAAACCAAAAGGGGCGCCGGACTGCTTCGGGACCGCGGGCCCCCCTCGACCCGCCCCGAGACCTTTGCGGCAGCCTGGCCGAGGCTCGTGGCTGAGTCTTCTCCAAGCTTCTCGGAAAGCCTGGGAGGCTGGGGCAGAGCCCGCGGGAGCCGCCTCGCGAAGCCTCCGGCAGGCTCGCAAGAGGCCGCCGCCGAAGCCTTGCGCGGGGGTGCATTCTTCATCGCGTGTCTACAGCGTAACTATTAGAATCATGCGCAGACAGATGGCTGCGTCTAGACTGTGGAGGAATCTGGACACACAGCGGGCGCCGACGCTGTGCGGCGTCGCGGTTCTGATGTTCGAGCAGATGGCCGCGGAGTCCTCTCAATGTCGAGAGGCTCTCCAGCTTGCTTCGTTTTGGGCCCGGCCTGCTTCTGGTCTGATATTGGTAGGCCGCAAGGCTTACCCGCTTCCAATTTTTAAACGCCGGGCGGGGGTACCCTCGCCCGGTGTTTAAACTTTTAGCGCGACTAGATTCCCCCACCTGGCTGCTGCTTCCTGGTTTTTGCCCGTTCTTTAATTTTTTTGGTTTGCTAGAATTTTTGTGAGATTCTGCAGGGCCTCCCCTTCATTTTGGTAAAAGTTTGGATGCTCTCCAAGCTGATCCGGTCGCCTCTAGAAATTGAAAAAAGTCAAGCTTTTGAAAAAAATCCCTGCCACGTCTGCCACGCAAGGAGAAAAATGCTGGCGAGACGAAACAGGAGCAGACTGATTTCTTTCGCCGAGCTGCTACCTTAGAACTTAAAAAAATAAAAGGGCCTTTCTCTAAGTTTTTTTTAAAGTTCTGAGGTGGCAGCTCGGCGAACAAAACCCCTCTGCTCCGGATTCGTCTCGCCTCGTTTTCATTTTCTTTTCGAAGTAGATCGATGGCGAGAAGAGTGCAAATCTATCAAATTCTCCAAGCTTTTTTTGTTCGGTCACCACTGAAAAAGGTTCCAGGGTCTACCGATTTCACGTTGGAAAATGGTCCGAAAGCTGTTAAATCGTGCAAGGAATGCCCTACACGCCACTGGTCAAAAAATCAAAGCCCCGAGAGCTCAAGTTACAAAATGGCCCCGAAGTTGCTAGCCTGTGCTTTCTTTGTTCCAGTCACCACCAGGAAAGAAGTCCAAGACCAGAATGACCAGGCTGAAAGATGTGCAAAACTGCGCCGCGCCACGGGTCGCCATGCTCACTGATGCCCGCGCTTTCCATTCACGCTCGTGGCGGCAGCGCTGCAACGGCCAAAAAACAGGTCCCGACATGCCGCGCTGCTCTTTGCTACTCACGAGCAAAAGTCGCCAGCTTTTGTTCCCGCAGGCCGCTGTAGCGGGTGCCGTAGCCGCACGACGACGACCAGCCCGCGGGACTTGCCGCTGAGCGGGCCGGGCCGCCAGCGCGTCGAATTCCTAGAGGCTGCTGCCGAGCTTTGGGAAGGGCGGTGGCATCCCCCAGACGCGCGAGAGCCGAGGACAGGACGCCATCGGAGAAGCCCGTGTGCGCTTACACCGGTGAGAAATGTGGGCCGCAAAGCGGCGTGGCGAATGCACACGCTGATCAATGCCCCCGTCCGTAAATCGGTAAAGAAAAGTTCAAAATTTCAAAGTCGACCACGCTATCCCCTATTGATCTCAGCAAGGCATTAACGCCTCTCGTGGTGTTCTCGCTGAAAGTAGAACCTGCAATAACACTCTTCCACTGACCTAATCGAATTTTAATATACCGGCTCTGAATCCTACAAATCTCTATGTCATCTTCAACTCGATCTATAATATGAATGTAACGCGGTCAGAGGCTCTCCTGAATAGTGCACCACACGGATCCAGTCGGTCAAAAAAATGCGAGATCCTTGACAAGATGATGTCCTGCAAGACTGAAGGTGGTGATTCGACGTTCACTTTCTGAAACACTTGTCAAAGAAACTTATCAATGTGCCGTTCGCAACTAGTACTTTTTTCTGTCTTACTTTTCAAGCCCATGGAACATCTTGACCAGTCAGCGTGGATTTCATATGAAAGTCCGTGATCTTCATTATTCGTCGATCATTTACAGAGCAGTTGTTGTTTCTTTGATCATTCGGGCGAGCTTTTATAATTGCGGCCGAACAATAAAGTTTAATTGATGACCCCTATAATTCGAAAGTCCAAAATTTATACTTTTCATTGATGAGCATCAGAAGATGGCTTCCTCGTCACCACCGCGAAAGAAGAAGCGGGCGCAAGCCGTCCAAACTTGTTTGCCGATGGACCAACAAGGCAGAGGCCCACTAGTTAGTGGAAGTGCAGCAACCATTGGCGCCTCGCAAGGTGCGGCAACCACTGTTTCTCTCTGCCATGTCCCGGACGGAGTGCCACGGACACTTGCTGAAGAGAGAGCGCTTGAACGGACGAGCAAGCAGAAAAAGTTGGTTTTTTCTTATGCCATAGACGCGACAAAAGCGCCTTCCGACAGAAATACCTACCGCCACCTCCGTCTACAAAATGGCATCCACGCTGTGCTTGTGTCAGTAGATGAAACGGAGGGGGCTGAAGTGAAAGCGGCTTGTGCAGTGTCCGTTGGCGTAGGTCAATTTGACGATCCGCCGGAAGTTCAAGGTATTCCAAGTTAAGAGTAATTCTTGTGACGTATGGTCGTGTCAAGTGAATTTAGTGTTTTAGCTGATGAACGAAACTGCGTGGCAGTAGTAGTTCGTCCTGCTTTTTATTTATCTCCTCACGTATAATCATTGCTGAAAATGTCATGGTTGGTGAACAACAGCAAAGCCGAAATAGATTCAATTGATGTCCAAGATTATAGAACTCATTATCATTGTCAATGATAGGTATCGCCCATTTTTGTGAGCACATGCTTTTTATGGGCAGCGAAAAATATCCTGGAGAAAACGAGCACGAACGCTTTCTGACGCAAAATGGCGGATATTCTAACGCCTTCACGGAAGTGGAACAGACGACCTATTATTTCGAATGCAACGGTAGTGCACTGGAAAAAGCATGTGACATCACTGCGAATTTTTTTGTGAAGCCTTTATTTAACCAAAACGCAGTGGAACGCGAAATTCGTGCCATAGAGCACGAATTCCGATTGACGCAGAACAGTGACACTTCCCGGATAGATCAGGTGTTTGCGCACCAGTGCACGGAAGGGCATCTGTACAACAGCTTTGGGTTATGAACATGGGAAATTTTTTGCTTCATTATTTTGTTGACGCACAGGAGCCTCCAGCTCCTTTTATAGATTGGAAGCGGATGTTGCTTACTAATTGCATTCCTCCGCCGTTTTTGTTGTTAGTATGTACTTCTCTTGTCGATACGGATACAAAAACAAATTTCTTTTAGTATTTACTTCCCTTGTCGATACGGATACTTTTATCTATCGAGTCCTGTCTTCCACCTCTAATCCATTGGGGCAACCTAGAAAGTTTACTAGAAGCACCAAAGCGTCGTGGAGTCGATTTGCACAAAGCGGTCCGCGACTTCTATGAGAAGAACTATGCCACCAACAAAATGCGCGTTTGCCTTGTCTCCACTCAATCGCTGGACGAACTGGAAAAAATTTTGGAGGCTACCTTCGGACAAATACCAATTAAAAAAAGCCAAGATGATGGGGATAAGGATGATGTGGAAAAAAAGGCTGTGAGAGCTGCAGAGACATCGCTGATGAAAGCCAACCAAGAAAGTAGAAGTACTTCTAAGCTCCGATGCTTTCCGCCAATTGAAGACACGTCCTTACCATTATTCTTAAGACAGAAACCTGTCCAGGATACCCACAAGCTTTACGTCAGTTGGGTATTGCCTCCGACTAAACAGGTTTGCGACTACTCTAAGCCGTTAGAGGTCTTCGGCCATTGTTTGGGACACGAAAGCAAGGGCAGCGTCCTCGAATACCTGAAGACAAAACATTTGGCGACGTCTCTGAGCGGAGGGCAAGGGTCCAGTGGGTTTGAGGACTCTACTATTTGTACACTCTTCAACGTGGAAGTAGGCCTGACCAAGCGAGGGATGCAGCAGTGGCCGGAAGTGGTAGAAGTATTACTTGCTGCGATGGAAATGCTCAGGGGTGAACTGAGGAAAGTATGTACGACGAGGACCTCAAACGGAGGTGGCCCTGCTAATCGGGTCGTGAATGGTGACGTTGCCTCCACGAGGAAAACCACATCAATGAAGAAGATAAAAAGCAGCAAAGCGACAAATTCATCAGGCGAGGAACCTTCAAAGGACAATACCCCTACCACAGACGACAAAACCCCCACCGCTGCGACGAACAAATTAGCTCAGATTTATTCAGAAGCTCGATTATTGAACAATCTGGAGTTTCAATTTCAAGAAGAAGAGCGCGCTTCTGAGACTGCACAGAGACTTGTGGGCATCATGGCTCCCAAGAGTGGCGTCGAAGTTTGTGATGTGCTTTCTGGTCCTTACTTTTACCATGAAAAACCCGACTTCGAATTGATTCAAAGATATTGCGACTTGATGACTGTGGATCGACTAGTTCTAGGTATTCTCAGTAGCAGCTACGGTCAAGCGGCGCGGAACGAGGAGGGAGACGAGGACATGAGTGATGGAGACGACGATGGTAAGAGTGACGGTGATGACGGAGGTGCGGGAGGTCGGGGTCCTCGGGATAAAAAAGGTACTGGTGGGAATGGTGGAAAAGCTAGGGAGGACGATGGAGCCTCTAGTGGTTCGGAGGATTCCGAAGGCTCTGATGATTCTTCCAGCAGTGGCCACGGTTCTTCCGGTGAAGAAGATGAGGACCTCTTATCCGGTGACGACGCTTCTCGAATGACGCAAAAGACTGCTTCTTCGTATCAGGCAACACAATCAGTACAATTAGATCCGCTGTTCAACGCAAAAAAGGCGAAATGGGAAGTGGAGCCTCATTTTGGAACGGAGTTCGCCCGGTCTAAGATCCCTGCAAACCTTCTGCGCACTTGGAAAGACACGAAGGGGCTGCGTGCGAAGTATCTAGACACCAAGAAAATATATTTTCCAGATCGAAATCCGTTCATCCCCAGTGACTTTCGGCTGTTAAAAGATTTGAAAGGTGGTCATGGAAAGGTAGGTGTTGTAGCTCAAGATGGATCTCATGCTGGACAGACAAATGGAAAGGTTGTTGATCATGTCAACGGAAGTGCAGCAGCAACATCAAACGGAAACGGTGCAGCTATGAATGGAAATAAGCCCCCGGTGATGAAACGTAGACGAGCAAGCGAAAATGAAACAGAATCTACTAGGGGACAAGTAAGTGCAAAATCAGCAGAGTCCTTACTTCAGCCTTATTTGCTACCGTTTGTCGAATCAACTTTGCCGGAAAGTCGCATTTTGCCTCCTTTGAAAAATGCGATTCAAGGAGAAGGACATCAGAATGGTTCATCCTCTTCTTCTTTGCCGAAAAGTGAAAAGGAGCAAATGCCGGATGTGAGATCCCAGTCTCACCACGTCCCCGTCCTTGTTGAATATTCCACCTTGCTTGTCCCCGACCGCCTTGTCCCAAGATTTGAGAAAAAAGGGTCGAAAAAGCCGATCTCCTGTGACCGCGCCACCTGTATGACGCCAATTTACCGATTCTACACCTTTCCCAAGGACTTCGAGATGCCTAAGACCCAGGTCTGTGTAAGATTATTCCCCTTGTACCATGACGCCTTAGCGGCAGGCGACCAAGTTGCGCTCACCTGGCTGACACGTGCGTTGGAGGATCGGCAAACAGACCTGGCTTACATGGCAGACGTGGCACAGCTCCACTTTTCCTTAGCTCCCGCAGCAGAGGGATTTCTCACACTACAACTGTGGGGATTCACGCAGCAGTTGCCATTGCTGTTTAGCGCGATTCTACGAGACATTTTTCAGTTTTGTGGAGATTTTGGGATAGTACCTGATACTGGAGGTAGCGGTAGAGTCGGACAAGTTAGCAACGGAGGCAGTGCTGTGAAGACGGGAAGGAGGAACAGCTTAACAGAACAAGAAGTGCTGTCAGTAGATAAGAGCTGGAGAAGCACAGCAGCAGAAAAACTTTATGCGAATGGACGCATTGAAGTCATTCGACAAAAGTTGTTGCGGAAGTTCAAGAACGCGAATCTAGACGCGCAAGTGCATGCCGATCGATTAAGACAAGAAATTCTAGTCGCAAACTGTCATGACATGGAGTCTCAAGTGCGGTTCTTGGATCCCATCGAGGTGCCACCTGCCGCAAGAACGTCGCAGAAGATGAAAACGACTGCGATGAAAAATGCTTCTGCAGCTATGCAGAAGAGTGCGTCTTCTACTGCGATGAAGACTGCTGGCTCTACTGCAGTAATGAAAAAGGTCTCTGCTATGAAAACCGCTGCTGCTGCGGCAATGAAAACCGCATCGGCCATGAAGAGTGCGAAACAAGCAGACACAAGTGCAGCCTCGTCTTCGAAATTCAACTTCGCTAATGTGGAAACACGCTTGGGTGGCGGAAAAGAACAAGAAGATCATACTTCTTCTAAGAATAACAACAGCGACAGCACTAATGCATTTGCCTCGCTAGATGAAGAGGAACCACGGTTGCGATCTACCTATGAAGCCTTCGCAGATTACGTTGGACGACTATTTTCTCTCTTTAGGGTGGACGTTTTGGTGGAGGGCAATCAAGATGAAGCACTTTTGGAAACGATTGCCAAAGAAGTGAAGCTGGTCACTGGAATAGATCAGCGTGAGCTTTCTGTTGCTGAAAAGGCAAAGTTCCAACCGACTGGAGAAATGCTCTCAAGCTATAATAGAGAGGGACCGGAGAAATACTCTTCAACATCGTCATCTTCTGGGGCCACCTCCCTGGTTCGCATCGCACCTCAAGACCGCAAACCTGAGTACGACGAACGCACAGCCTACATCTCTTTGTATACAAGCTGTTGTCAGAAAATAGACCGCAAACATGCGATTCTATGCGTGCAAAAAAGCCACGATGATTCACAAAAGAACACTTGTGTGCAAATCTACTTCCAGTTTGAGCGCACTACCGCCACTCTCGCCGCAGGGAACGAGCTTCTCGCAGATCTGCTGTATGAGCCGCTGTTTAACGAATTACGAACGAAACAGCAACTAGGATATTCTGCATCGTGCTGCATTCGAGATAGCTATGGGGTGCAAGGGTTCTTGATTTCGATTGCCAGTAGCACTCACAGCGCAAGTGAGTTGGTGAAACGAACCTTCGAGTTCGTAAGAACCTTCGACATCAAGAAGGAAATTGGAGAAGAATGTGTGGAAGATGTATTCAAATAATTGATCATCACGCCCTTTTACTTTTTATCTGGCCCGAAGTGAGCAATGACTTTACTCCGAAGTTAGTAATGAAACGGGCATTTAAGTATTACCACCTTAGGTAGGAACATTTGATCGCTAGTTCTGCTCTGAGATACGTGAGACTTCGAGACGAGTCATCTTGTGAGACAGCGCCACCCTTGTGAGCCCTAGAAAACTACATTCATTCCCATTTGATAACAAATACTTCACAATCCCCTTCAGGTCCGCAAAAACACCGCAAAGAAACTTCTCGAGCCCAATCGCAATATGACGGATCTGGCGGCACAACATTGGTACGCACTTACGGAGACGCGCTCGCCTCGTTGGCAATATGACCGAGAGCTAGCGGATGGGTTGAAAAGAGCGGACGTCTACCAGTTGTGGGATGCCGTGAAGAAGTTATGTTGATTTAGAAGGTGTACTAGTCGAATGCTTTTTTTCAGAGTCGTATGCAAAGGGAGAAACAGCGTATTGGCACTATTTCTCTTTAAAGTTCAATGACGAGGTCAACAATAAAACTAATGGTTGTTCCTTTTTTACTAAGAGTAGAAAATTGGCTAGAAAAGCAACGACGAATGCAGGATTTCCACAACAGCCCCTTCCACCTCCCCTGTAGTACGTATAACTCCACCCCCACCTTACTTCCCGGGTCAGATGCTCTTTCATGCTCTAGCGAAAAACGCATCGTCACTGCGGTTCTTAGCGCTGCTACCGGAAAGAAGTTGAAGAAAATCGAGGAGGAGATTGTGAAAGAGCTAGGGAGTGGAGGCACGAAAGTGGAGAAGCACCGAGACAGCCGCAAATTCTGGCAATTGAAGAAGAGTAGAGACCCGGATGCTTTCTACGTCTCGGACTTAATGAGCCGTAATGCCGAATTTTAGATGCATTTGGAATTCTGAAACAAACCCTTATACATAGATACTTGAGTGGTTGCGGCGGAACATGAGCCAAGGATGCTCGTGTGCCGTACTAGATTTTGCTTTCTGCTGGAGAAGAGTAGAGACCCGGATGCTTTCTACTGGAAAAAAGTAGAGACCCGGATGCAATTGAAGAAGAGTAGAGACCCGGATCACTAGATTTGATGTAATATTCATATCTGCTCCACCTTTGGTATATGCTGTTAGACCTATGGATTTTCGCTCTCACCTATTTTTACGATTTCACTACGACAACTGACATTACCGACATGATGTCCTTCATCATTTTACCTAGCTTTTCGCTCATACTTATATTTGAATTCGCTTAATTTCTGACTCTGATTCGCTCTCGGTAGCGCCTTGGAATCGAGGTGTCCTCCGTCTATATCATTTAATATTGGAGGAGCAACAAAGCTTTCACGAGTGTCCAAATAGAGAGATGTGCCCGCGCTAAAGAAAGATGGTTTCAAGCTGTGAAACTGTTTCCTAAGAGCTGTCTCTCTGTGTCCAATTGTGTATCCCGCGACCATTTTCTATAAGAGAACGAACAGAAAAATTGCAAGAAAGCTATTGGGATAATGTTCTAGCTGCCAGCAAAGAAACGACATGTGGGAAAAAAGAAGGGGGCTCACACATAAGATTGAAGCGTGTTGAGAGTGTCAAGATTTTGAATTCTCTGTTCTGAACAATTGAGTGATCCGTGGTCTTGTTGAGTGACTCCGTTGTCTGTCTGCCTTAGAGGCATTAATCTTGTATTTTCGGTTGGAGCGATATATCTTTTTCTGTCGAGTGAACAACAGCAAGAGAAAAAAGCGCATATTTTCTAGAACTCTGTCCTGAAAACACCAATCTTCTGTCCTTATGTTCTTTTCTTCTGAGAGTGGTCTGAGGGCTTTTTTCTTAGACTGTCGGAGTCTGATTTTTGATTTTGGACCACTTCATTAATGAGGTTATTTGCTTTTCTTCTCAATCATCACACTTTTTTACGCCAATCCAACACTTGCACAGTCCAAGCGTCATACGGACATATACCACCCTTCCCCCACATAATTGACGATCATCATAGAGGACATTCACCTATAGATTGTTACAACATCCAGAGACTGACATAAGATACGCGCAAATAAAACTCTGAACGCAACGTATGTCATATTTAAAGAATTCACCCATCAAACCAAAACGCTGTAGGTTTTTTTGAATGATTGCTACGGATTGGCATAGGGACATATTTAGCGATAAATTCAGGAAAGAAGTCGGGTCATATCATAGAATTTCTTACATTTGTTCACATTCAGCACTTGTAATATAAGTTGAACTACATTTGAGATATTTTACTTCTTATTTGGGGGGAACGTCGAGATAACGACTACATTAACGACTACATTCATCATTCGATACATAAAAACTACAACGACGAGCGGGCTATCGCAATAGAAGATGGCTGGTCCTGCGAAAAACGCTAAGTATCCAGACCTGGTCGACGTGACCAGGGAGGAGAAGAAGAAGGAGCGACGTGAGATTATGGGCGATTTAGATGGCTACTTCTGTCCTCAAGTAGGTACGGGCAGACACGCGTTCGAGCCCAACATCTTCGCCTACTGTCTTCGTGACCCCATCAAGCCTGATGCGAGCTATCCGAGATTCTTGGTACTATGCTGTTTTTTGAACTACGGAGTGCGAGTAGAGTACATCGTTGATTTTGTTGTAGTAGGTGGTGCGAAACAGGACAACGTGAACAGCACTTAAACGCTTTCCCGATTTTCTTGAGGTACTAATGCTAGGCGTGAACATTTCTCCTGTGAGCATGCATGGTAAGTAACATCACTCTGCAATTTTCCATGAACGGACCAAACATCAAAGGTATGCCACATGTGCGGTAACGAGTTTGGTCCCGACTCTTTGGAGCTCCATCTTAAAGTGTGCGAGGAAAAGTGGGATGCTGCGGAGGCACAGCGAGAACCAGGCGAGCCCACCCGCGATATTCCTAGTCGACCAGGCGTCACGCCAGCAGACCCAAAGAATTGGACTAGAGAGGAATGCGACGAATACAACAAACAAGCATTAGAGGCCTACCATGATAACGCATTGTTCGAATGTGAAAAATGCGGTAGAAAAGTTTTGGAGGAGTCCTTTGCAGCGCATTATATGGGATGTGACGGAAAAGGAGGTGGTGAGAACCCGAAAGTCAAGGTACTAGAACCTACTAGGCCATTAGCTTAGAGGCTGTGTGATGATTAGTTAAGAAGCCGTGACACCAACACTGATTTCCTCTGGACCGCCCGAGGCATAACCTACATTGGCTATGATAATTGTTTTATCTATCATCCGATCTCTCATCATCTATCGTCCCTTTTTCAACGTCTACCCACTTTCTCAAATAAAACCAGCCCTGCGACTTATGCGGCAAGCTATTGTTTGGAGAACAGCATCAGCTCTACCATAAGAGGAAGTGCAGAGCATGCTTTTGGGATATGCCAACATGCACAAGAACTATCGGAGCAGCTTGCTATGTTTGCGGTATTTTTACATGACAAGTTTTAGAGCCGCAGTTTTAGAGGCGGGTACGATTTTTCAATTATCTAGTTTAATTGACAAAAGTGAAGAATATGCCACTTTCATCTTAGTCCTTCGATCTAGTACCTGCTCCATTATCGGCGAACGATTGCTTCACATGTTAGGAGTTATGGCTGACCCACAAGCTCCACTTTTTTTTTTCCACCAGGTAAAGAAGTCGGTGCCCGCGGTTTCGACCGCCATACTGCTATGTGCGAACGTCTGTGGAGCATGCGAGAGGAAAATAAGACCTACCCAGACGAACGCCTACCCGTTCCCTCCAAACAAGGCCCTAGCACCGGCTGGGACGCGCAAAAGCAAGCTCTCTTAGGCTGTGGCGAGATGATGACGTGCCAAAATTGCAACAAGTCTTTCTTCACTGAATCGTACTACAAGCACATCAAGGGCTGTGGGCAAGAACAAACCTTGGAGAACTTTTTGAAACGGGAAAAGATGCTGAAGTCGGGTCAAATAAAACGAGAGCCAGTACTTGGATGCGAAGATGGATATTTTAGGAAGTACAACCGAAATCCGTCAGAAAAGGGAGTGTGCTGCTACATCTGCAGCAGGAAATTTGGCGTGGCGAGTATCGATATCCACATCAAAGGCTGCATTCACATGTGGGAGCAAAGAGAAAAGAGCAAGTCTGATCGGGAAGAGAAGAGGTGTGTTTTCATAAGATTTTGGTTTTGGTTTTTGTAGTCGCTTTTTGAAAAAACATTCTTTAGTACTAGATAGCCATGCTGGTATACGACATCAATCCTCTCTTTGTATACATAGTGACATAACAGCCTTGCATCTCTCTCACACACACACCCTTCAACAGGCCCGTTCCCGCTCGCCCTGCCGAGTTCGATGCATACAAGGCAGGTAAGATGACCTTGTCAGGTTGGAATAAGTGGGTGCTGGAGAACTGCGCACTCTACGTGCCATGCAAAAATTGTGGCCGCACGTTTTTGCCGGAACAGCTTCCTAAGCATCGTAGGGGATGCAAGCCACAGGGCGCTCCATCAGAATGGCGATGCTAGAGTGTGTAGAGTTACTCAGTAGATTTTTGGTGAGTATTTGTGTATAGGTATCTTGCTTATTCTTGTGATTCAACATAGTAGCTCAAAGGTCTTTACCAGCTCACGTTATGATTTACCAAATTTTTGGTCGGGAGCAACTGGGTCATAGAGTCTGCATACAGGTGGAGGTTAGAAATACTAGGGCCCATTCAAGAAGATTTTGGAAATTTTGATATAGCTGCTATGCCAAAACAGGGAGGGAAACTAAGCATGGGTTGTAATTACTGGGACGAATCGCAACTCAAGGGACCACGAGCAGGGGGGAAGACATCAAGGATAAGGCTAGAAATTGATTACTTATAAATGATCTACTACACACATCACTTCTGGTGAGAACTACATCATAGGTAAACTAGTTAAGGGGAAACAGAATTAGAGAGATGAATAATGATAGTTGTTCAGCAGTTTGAGTAAGATTTCTACCCCCTCATACATATTGATATCCCGGCATTACACCTGAACTTCCCCACTTAGACCTACACGTAGTAGCATTTGAAGATAACTACATGAATGAAAGTATAGATGATGAGAGTTAGACCACGCATAAATAATGAAATGAACAATATTGATTGGCAAAAATCACAATAACATGGAAAAATAAACGACTTGAAACTACAACAATATTAACTAGTTTAAGCGAATAAAATTCACACAATCTTGAATTTGAATTCTGAATCAATCTTTTACTGCAAGAACTATGACATTGACGCGATTGACGACCATATTTGTTGGTCTTGTAATATCTTTTTCTGGATAGGACACCTTCACGATAAGACATGATGAAGCAATAGGATAAATAACAGAAACACTGACAATTGAACAATAATGAACAAGGATACTTGCAAAACAATCGGTACTACAATCGATTATCTATTTCTAAGTAATCATTCTACTACAACGCCACATACAATTCACGATATTTCTGGCTTGGGAAGATCACCTCATGGGACGGAGACATCGGGAGAAAAGATCTTCAACTCATATGATCCTGTTGAGACGCAACACGGATTGCTCGCATTTACTTCTGAAATTGAAAAAAGGTCTCACCCGTATGTTCTCTCGAAAGATAGGTCATGGAAATTTACAGCGATGGAGTTCCACTGTTGTGGGAGAGGAACCCGCTCGTGGGCAAGTCGGAATCAGTCTGGGTTCAATTGTAGTGGGATTGGTGTGGTCGGAATCAGTCTGAATCTACTCAAAAGTTTGGGACGGCTCTTGGTGCTTTTAGTATCCCTGAGATTGGTCTCAAAGATTTCTCTGTTGGCCTGTTGTTTGTCTGAACCTCGTTCTCCCTTGTTGGAATGAATTTCGAGGAAGATGAAAGAGCGCGATCTCCGCTGAGAATGCTTGAGTTTTGTTGCATGAACTTCAAAGGCTACAAGCCAGCAACGAGCAAGTGCCACAATAGAAATGCCAAAGAATAGGCCACTCTGGCTGTCTCTGACTGTGGTGCATGTTGTTGGTGATAAGTATCCGCCAGGCTTCTCGAAGAAGTTCCGCAATGTGATGCACCAATAGACTTCTGCGCGTTTTTCATGTGTCAGAGTCTCGCAAGTTGCTGCAAGGATCCTGGAGCATTAGGCGCGTGCGTTATCGTTCGTCATCTTATAGATTAAGTTCCATGCGTAAGGTAACATCCCGAAACTGAATCACTTGCAGCCGCTGTGAATGCAACAAGTTGCTTCCAAAATAGCACTAGATTTTTTGAGTTTGATCTTTGCACTATACGACATTTTCCTTTTCTTACTTCGACGTGGATAATTTCATCTCTCCTTTCCTACTATTGATTTTCAATTATTGATCGAAACCATAACCGATTGGTACACCTAATATTTCAATCTTGTCACTTGCCGGCGTAGTTTTCTTTATCTTTCTCTTTCTTGACCCAAGTAGCAAGTTGGCTGTCTTGGTGTCAATTGTTTCGCTTTAACGTGACACGATGAAGAACACATGAGTGAGTCTCTCGTTGTAGTCTAGCTTGATAGAGATACAACGGGAAGAGATCAAAACTATTACGCATTGTGTTGTTGTATAATGACAGAATTAGACTTTGATCCCACGAAGATTGATAAAACAAGTATGTCGTGACACAGGTATTGAGCAGACGCAGGCATTCCTAAACGAAGGACTCAGTGATTCAACTAGAACATAGGACAGACACGCTTGTGTCAACACTGGACAAGCACAAGTATTTCCCCAAGTGAAGCGCAAGTATTTTCGCAGGAGAGGCAGTACGCAAGCAAGCGGGACGCAGGCAACAGAAAATAGTGCTTGAACAACCTTCCGACTAACATCATCAGTACTCGAACAATCGTAATACTAGTAGTCAACGACGTGAAGAATCCCATACTAGCCTGGAACAGGAAGCCACTTTCTCTGTCAACTGCAAACGAGCCGCACCCGGAGCTTCCCTTCTTCAGCAAGATCACGTCGCCTGAAGTGAAGATTTCTTTTTCTCAGCAGCAAGGGGACAGAGGCAGAGTACCACTACCACTACCACTAGGCATCTGGTTGGGACACATCTTCTACTTCTTCTTACGAGCACTACGACAGAAACTAGCGGTGACGACATTTTTCTATTTCTTCTTGTCGACCAGAAACAACAAAAAACGGGAGACCCACTTCTAAGAAGTACAACAACAACCACCTCCACGACAGCACGACAACTTCTAGTCCAACAACCTCCACACCCTTTCCTGCCAGAAGGCAAGTCTTGTGGGATGTCCAGCTCCGCAGAAGCAGCGTCACTGGACGCGTCTAGAGGCGTTTCACTAGGAGGCGGAATGGTCGTGCACACCAACAGTAAGGGAGATATGGTCTACGAAGCATGTCCTCCGAAGGTTCATCCACCTAGAGGCAGATACGAATGGAATCAAGTACGAGGAGGAGGAATTTTGGTTACGAGGACTTGAAATATAATAGTTGTAAAGGACTTGTAGTTCTATGCTAGATTTTGATTTATAGGCTAAACTAGACTACTCTTGGAGGAAGGAACATGATAATGATAATGCAGGTCTACCTAATTACCTTGGATTTGGTATCCAACGAACGTGAACAAGTTATGCAAATTACCTCCAGGACTGAATGTTTTGAAGAAGATGAGAAGCCAAAGGAAAAAGTAAGCTAGTACTGACTTTCTATAGGATCCCCAAGCATCCGATTTATATCGTTGCCCCTCTCTATTTTCTTCTTCGTGCTATTCTCACTCCCCCGACGAACCTCTCTTTCATTTCCCTGACCTTTAGCGACGTTCCACGTGATGCAATTCTGCATTGGAAAATGGAGTGGCTTAGAGCAGGACACAAGCATGGCTGTAAATTTAGCGGGTACACGACACACACCGACGGCGAGAATAGGAAAGAGGAGTTCACCTCAAATTTTCGGATACAGCCTCATCGAATGGGCTTCATGCGACGCAAACACGGAGAGGGATCCATGTTTTAAGGGAATATCAATATTTTGAAATGTGAGTCGGTCGAAAAGGATAATGCGACAAGATAAGTAGTGCACAGGCTACTTACACTCTCTGAGTTTGGATTATGTACTCTGTAATCAATCAGTAAATGTAATCTGCCCCTCCACAGGGTCTAGCTAAAAAATTTCCATATTTCTTCTTGTCAACTTCTACCTATGTAATCTTCTCCTCCACCGGGTCTAGCTAAAAAATTTCCATATTTCTTCTTGTCAACTTCTACCTATGTAATCTTCTCCTCCACAGGGTCTAGCTAAAAAATTTCCATTTATTTCTTCTTGTCAACTAAGTACCTCAACCTCAATGTTGAGTACTTAGATACTCAATACCTCAACCTCGAAACAAGATAAGTAGTGCACCGGCTACTTCTACCTCAATTCAATAGCTTTTCTTTTTTTTGAGGTAGTTCCGGAACATTGAGGTAGTGGAGGATAATTCAGTTCCGGAACATAAAAATCTAAAAATTTCTCCACTTTCATATTCCGGAACTGAATTATCCTGGCAAGTATCTGCTACAGGCCTGGCTATGCGACGCAAACGAAATCGTGATTAGCAGGGTGACGAGTGTGGTCTACGAGGTAGTGAATGTCGGATTGCTGAAGAGCGACGGATCATCTTCGCGTGGCGGAAAGAAGGAGTAGTGGAGCAGCAATAGCATGATCATGGAGAAAGCAAGGTCATGGGGAGACCTCTGCGCTGCTTATGAGTAAATGAGGACGATTCTTGCAGAGCCAGAGGTGCGACTCCCTCCAGGTCAGCTGTACAATACGAGACCGCATGCTTAGTGCATACCTTGATAGCTGGCGCTCTGGAGAAGATCATTTTCGTCGTTGCGGCTCTGAAGATATTGTTCGCATGCAGCTACCGAGTTTTCTCTTCCAGAACCCGTTGGTTTGCTCTAGCTGAGTGAAAAAGTATGACACGGGGGTTTGAATTTAAAAAACTAGAACTACATTTTTAACGAAGCAGTGAGAAGGGCTTTCTCTAGCCAGAGCCGAATTGCTTGGTTAAGCATAAGTAGTCTGATGTAGTTCACCTCTATTTTTCTTGGATATTCTTCTCCTATCAATCTCGTGCTGCAGTAGACTGAAGGGCTGAAAACTGAAGATCCAACGTCACATGTGAAAGAAATACCCGTGTCCAAATCATGGTCTCCTGTCAGTTGGCGAATTTAGACTCGTGTTTAGTTGTACTACTACTACATTGCCATAGATCTGACTAATTGACTCACGTAAACACAATAAATATGCTGTCTTTTGCCTCTTGTATTGTGTTTACTAACTGGTGTACTAAAAATTAAAATGTGTGATAGTAAATGACTACTGTTACTTAGCGCGATTCCCTCTACATTTCTTGACTATCTTGAGTTTTAGGTACAATCATCATCATCATCATCAAGTGTACTAAATTGCCATGAATCTGACTAGTTGACTCATGTAAACACAAAACAAGCTGTCTCTTGCCTTCGGCCCCTTCGCTTCTTGTGTTGTGTTTAAGTGTACTAAAGATGCGTAAGAATGAATAGCCACTGTTACTTAACACAAGTTAGTTCGGCAGAAACGGAGAAAATTCGACTCCGATTTTCACGGTCAAGGCCATAACCTTGGTCGCATGCAGAAGCCCGCAACAAAGTGAACGAGTCAATCACCTCGGTTCCAAAATTGCTTGCTAATCATGTGAACTCGACGCAAGAGGACCAACCCGCACGCCTCCAACCACAGAGAAAATAGTAATACTCTTGAGCCCGATGCATCCACTCATCGTTCTACTTGTTGCTTTCCCGAGAAAGATTAGAAGAAGGTCGTATACGCGATTACCTTGAGGAGAAGGAGCATCGATATGGTACGCAGCATACCGCCATTACGTAGAGGTCGGTGTGGTGAATTATCTATGGCAACTACGTGATGAGAAGCCCCTCCATTGCCTGTTTCCTTTTCCAATCGAACTTCTACACTTGTTTTGTACCCCTCAAATGCCCCTCATTTTTCCTTGAGATCAGCAGCGAAGAGCTCCACTTTTACGACCCTCCACACACGTACATACTACAAGAAGACTGACTACATGCCATAAAAACTGCAGTCGAGGACAGGAAGGCGGTGCTCGATTGACCGTTCTTGAAGATTTCGAATCCAGTGTCGCGTGTTCCGAAAATCTGTTATATAAGATTGTACTTCAACTTCATCACAATCGGCATAGAGTACTGCATAATCGGTGTGCGACTGCATAATCGGGATTCGATTGCATGATCGGAATAGAACGGCATAATAGCTATAATTTGCGTGCTTGAAGATGATCGGTATAATTTGAATTTTGGTTTTAGTTTTTTTGAATTTTGGTATTGGACAGCGCGCATCTGTAGCCATCGCCTTTTCTGTCTACGATATACATCTATGAACCGATGATCATCTGCGTTATTAATAATAATAATCTGCGAGGACGAGAGATGAACCAATGGTCCTACACACAACGAAACACAATTCCCATTTAAATCCTCATCCGAAGATCCTTGCTTCCCTCATATGAGACTCAGAAGTGTCTTAATCCATGTGTGTGTGTAAATGAACACCTTTGATGTAGTTTTAGGAATAATCAACCGGATTATATCTAGAACATCTTGTGGCTAATCGTTATTAGATGTTTCACGTCCTTCCACGACCTTGTTTTGGGAGAATCATCGTCTACTCGTGCAAGTAGGAGTCCTATGTACGAAGTTAGGAAACAAGACTCGTCTTCAGTGTCTGTGTGAAGTAGGTGATGTACACCTTCGGTGATCGTGACGTCGAGGCATCTTATCCTATCCGACCCTATATCACTGCTAGGTGAAGATTTTTTACACCACAATCATGTCATTTGCATATGGAAGGTGGGCTTCGTCAACGGAAGTGTGTGCCACAGATGAATGGGGATGCTTTCACCACTAGAGTACTTCTAGTACGAATTTAAACAGTGTGTGTCTACTATCAAGAAGGAACAGACGAGTGCGTCTACTTTCAAAGAAGCTACTAGTACCACAGTTGTAACCACGAAAGTTGGGACCTCGACTAGGTGTTGGTATGCTAGCCAGTGTTAGACTCCATGGAATGTAATGAAAAGTAAGGCGATCATGCATTCACCTCTTCTAGTTTACAACGAACTCACCGTATTTTTATTACTCGCGCGGAGCAAAACAACCGGTTACTTTTCACCTCTTCACTATAGCTCTATCCCTTCATGCAATACTCACGCGGAAGAGCTACAGTGGTAAAACTGTAGAAGTAAGCTTTTTGATATTTACTCCCGCGGAAGAAGAAGAAGATGGAAAAGGGTAGAAGAAGTAGAGGGGGGAGAAGCTTAGGCACGTTGCCGAATAGATTCGAAGGATCACCATCAGAAGGGAAAGCTTAGGCTCTGCGTTGTTTTTGCCAAGAAGGCGGATCCAAGAATTGGAAAGCCTCTTCGAGCAGACCAAGACGAAGGAGGAGAGGAGACAGCAGGATGGTGCTGTTGGTGGAGGGCTCCACAGAAGTGGGTATCGATGAGCTGGATATGCCAAAGGCTGACGCTGCATGGGAAAAACAGTGTTAAGAACATGAAAAGTATTAGATACTAGTACTATAATAGTATTTTTGAACAGTAGACATCCCTGCGCTATCCTGATGTGATACTAGTTGTACTATAGTATTTTTGAATAGTAGAGGGCATCCCTGCACTGGCCTGTGATATTACTAGTTGTACAACTATAGTATTTTTGAACAGTAAAGATTAGTTACTGCTTAGTATAATTTTTGAAGGAACAGAAGGCACATGTACAGATTTTAGTGAGCAATCTGGCATCGTTCTCTTTACTGATAGTCAGGCACATCAGTCAATCAATCAATCAATCAATCAATCAAATTGGCTAATCGAAAACTGGAAATAACCGAGGTACTCACTGAAATAAGGCGGGAGTTAGCTGTAGAGGGCTACTCTTCTTTGTTCAGTATCTCGGTTATTCTGATCGGCTCCTCGCTTATTTCAGTTTATCGAATACTATTATAGACTGCATAATGTGCAGTATTACAGTTTATCTATTATATAGACTGCATAATGTGCAGTATTACTTTTCTAAAGAGGCAAGGAGACGCTGAAAAAGCAGGGTAGTGTGGACAAGCAAATGTCGCTGCGCGAGTTAAGCGGACTACTGCCTAAACCATATTCCCCATAGGGAGTTCTATTCCCCATAGGGAGGAGATCATCCCCCACAGTACACGACAGAGGATTCCTTCTATATTTATTTTTTAATTTTTTTTCCTAGGAAGATCATTCTGGAGAGCATTCTGGACGCTTCCTGGTAGAGGTGGCCAATTATGCCAGTCGCCTTGCCTGTGTCATTGGTTTGCATGTTGTGACCCTTCGACTTTTCACAAAGCAGCTGATACTCTGGTCAGCACTAAATTTCTTACACTACTCCCCGTGTCGACGCCAATATGAAAACTAGGAACATGTTTTGGAAGTCGAAGTGAGTAGTGCACTATATTCTGAAAAGAGAGTTCTCTCTCCAGAGTTGCTTCTAAGAGAGTCCTCTCTCCAGAGTTGCTTCTAAGAGAGTCCTCACTCGGCGAATTAATCAGAGAGCAACAAAAGAGAATTGTGGACAACGGCGGAACGGCGCCGAGTAATTATTTATGGCTTCGTCCCCAAATTCATCTTCAGAGAAGTGAAGGTCAGCATTTATTCATCTTTCTCAGCATCTCGATACCCTTTTCTTCCCTTGTATTCCTATCATGGTCAAAGATGGATTTGCAGATGAATTTCGGCTCTTGTAAGGTCTAACTTATCAAAGGCGGACGAAAACCTCGCAAGAAGCATTAAATGTTACGACGAAACCCTCGGAAGATCTTTTAGTTGTACATTCAGTCTAGATTCGTCTTGATGCTCCTCTTGTTGCAGATTGTAGAACTATTGTCTGGAAATCAATAAGCGCCCAAAAAGAAGAAGATGAACTAGCCTAAAGCAACTTGCTACCTTCGCAAAAAGGATACACGACAGTTCAAATTCTCTCGTCTGGTTCTTCCTTTATTTGAGCAGTGGACTCTGACAGCCAAGTCTTCTATTTAGTTCCACTCAACAGCGTCCCTCTAGAAATTTAGACTCTAAAAAAAAGTTGAATTGGTAATCCACGATCTCGATTGCCATATTTTTGAGAAGTGAAATTCTTGGTTCTGCCTTCTTCTAATTCGTACGTCTTGAATGATAGGTCGCTCGACGACTGGGAATGGCTCACATGCAGGAAGATGGATGAGAAGAAGGCGCGAGGAAATTTGAAAAAAACTACAGGAGCTGAAGCCAAAGCTACAACAGCCGAAGGAGGAGGAGGAGGCACAACAGCCGGAGGAGGAGGTACAGCGGGTGGAGGTGATGGTATTAAGGGTCATCCAATTCCTATCCTATCCTATTAAGGGTCATCCTTTTTCTCGTATGATTTTTCCTTGCAGTAGGGCTCCGCAACAATTAAGGGTGGTGTGGGAAATCCTCCATCTCCAAGGAGTCCAAAGCCACTCATCTGGAAGAAGAATGAAAACCTCCCAAAGCTAGTACTTATCATCTGGAGGAAGAAGACGATCCATGGATATCCTAGCACACCACTAATAGTTACAGTAGCAATGCTGCTCGTGCTGTTGCCGCCACAGGAGAAGGTTACGGCGGTTTGTCCTCTTTATTGGAAACTAACTACTTGCTCACAGAGAGGAGGAGTGAACCGAACGTAGATACCCCATGCTGGGTATATCATCATCTTCATCACGAGTTATTTTTCTACTTTGCTCTTCCTCGGTTGCACCTTGAATTATTGGTGAATAGACGCACGATTGTCTATGACCATTATTAGGGAATGATCTCCCTCCAAGACTATTGGAGGAATTCTCACTTGCTTGGAAAATGTAGTTGAAGGTCTTACAAGTTTAGTGTCGAAGGGCACCTGGCACATTCTCCCTTTAGAAGCTTAGCTCTAAGAAGATGCAGGCGCAGCCGAAGATGCCGCAACGACCGAAAAAGCAGCCAAACCTAGTACTTTATGGGCAGTATATGTTGCAGTCATCAGGAGATCTGTAGTATCTTCAAAAGCTTAAGGTACTCTTAGTATTCTTGGAGTGTTCCGCATACTCTTCCATTAAAATCATGTTAACTCCAGGAGATGTGCTGATCATGAAAGATCGTATCTTGCTGATACCTGTAGTTTCAAAAAGAGGAAGTTAGAGTTTCTCTAGAGTGACTCAGAGTTTCTGTAGAACGACTCAGAGGTTCTAGAATGACTCAGAGTTTCTAGAATGACTCAGAGTTGATTGATTCACTCAAAGCACTCTACCCCTACTATTGAGACCCTACTACCCAAAGAGTAACTCAGGAGAGCATTTTGTCGAAAAGAAAAGAACAACCGTAACATAAAATTTGCTGCTACCATCTAAAAAGAAAAGGTACAGGGGTAGTTCGTGTAGGCGGAACCATCTTCGACGCGAGTTGGCCGGGCGCGGTGGAGGCGATCAAAGGTTCTTGGATTATGGAAAAGGAAGTACTGTGCATGATCTTGATTATTGTCCAAATACGAAGTAGCACATTTAAAGTAGCCATTTACTGACAGAGTTCTCTTGAGTGTAAAATTTGCGTGATATTGGCTGTTGTCAACGTCAAGTCAGTTTTTAACGAATATCCTTTGGAGGTACCTCTACACTGAGTGGCCTCACATATAGACGCGAAATGCTATGAAAGAGGTACCATGAAACGACATTTGGCGTTTCCTTTCATATTAGCACCGAGCCTGTCTGCGCCAGGAGAAAGTGAAGTCGGAGTGGGGAGTACGATCAAAGCCCAACAAGAAAAGCCGCCAAAGGCACATAAGGCTTCCAACTGGAAAGATTCAAGACCTGATAACCTCCTATCCTAGCGTCCTAGTCGAGGGAATTCTTATCGTATCCTATCCTGCCTATCGAACTAGATGAAAGGTTCCTCAAGAAGAAATATAGGTCCCAATTGCAAGAACAACCTCCCTAGTAGATCTTCCCAATTGCTCCCAGAATCTAGCGACGTGTTCAAAATTGCGCATTTTTCCCGCTCTTCTTTTCGTTCCTTTTGGGCTTTGTGTTGCACAGGGTGCTTTCCCCGCTGCCAAGGAGGCCACGCAGGCAACTCAAAGGCCCTGGGTGCTCCGCGTCATGCGGTTGAAAACGGGGGAACGGGTTGCACCCGTTGTCGGCCTCGTCTTAGTATCCGCGAATTTGTCAATTATTTCGCACTTAGCTTCGTATCCCACTGCCCCGAGGTCAATAAGTGCCCCAGAATCTTTACATTCCCAGAACCTTTACACTAGTCGTGTGACCTCCGAACGAATCACGGGAGAGCTAAATGCAGTGAATTTGGAGGGCGCCCATCCATGCCAGGCTTGTCATCCATTCCATGCCATTCACAACTTCAAGAGAAAGGAAGTATTCTACTAAACTTAATTCCCCTACCATGTTGTGGTCCTAATATTCTGTGTCTTTTAAAAGACCACTACCATAGTGATCATGTGCCCTCTAATTATAAGGAGCCTGGTTCTTCAGAGGTTCGAACCCTGAAAGACCTACAAAAAGCTGGGGCCGCCAGCACTGGCAGCACTCGTGGTCCAGTTTTATGGAGTCGCTTTAATTGTAATCTTGTTTGGCAACATGATCACCCTCAAATTTATCATTGGATCAGGAACTACCGACAAACTCAATTGATGGTCGTCAACGAACTAGGTACTTTTTAAGCCAATTTTTTCGATAGCTCCCTGCTAAGACGTGGCATTTACTAGCAGTTCCTCTGTACTTCACCATCATATTCCAGAGCTGAGCAGTCACATTTTGTGGCCGCGACGCCGAGGCACCATGCATATCCTATGTATGGTGCTAGTACTGTCATCTTTTTACTATTAATATTAGAAGCTCTACTTTACAAGAGCTACACTCGCTAATTTTCTTCAGTGCTCAACAAGGAGATCTAGTGATCCTATGTTTTTTCAAATGGAGAGCATTCCCAATATTCCTGTTGTTCGTCATGCTCCCAAATAAGGCTCATCCTCATCCCCACTCTAATAAAGCCTCCTGCGCCGCCGCAGACTCCGACAAGCAGCACCAGCTCACAAGAATCTGCGGGAGCTGTTCATGTTAAGGCTTACCGCAATTCACCCCTCAACTCAATTCCTAGGTTAGTCCCTCCAAACAATTCATCTTGAGAAGCTGCATCTTCGGTCCTTCATCTTCTTGAGAAAAGGGAAAGGTGTCAAAGATAGCCTCCAACCTGTGTTCGTGTTGATGTGGATTGACTTTGGAGTATATTCATTGTTGAGAATGTAATGGACCGACTGGGGATGAATTAGGGTAAGCTCTAATGTTAAGGCTGTACCTAATACATCTTTGGACGCATCCTGGAAACGTATGGAAGAGTATCCTAAGGGAATACTCTCCCATACTTTTCAAGGATGCACTTGAAAGATGAATTACGACAGCTCTAATAATGAAGGTTCGAACCCCCGGTCGAACCTCTCGGGAGCCGCTGCATCTGAAGGGAGCGGAGATCAGCCAGCAACTACTGGAGAAACGCCACCAACTAGTGCAGAAACAGAAACACCATTAAGAATGAGGGAAGGAGGTTTTTAATACATGGACATCATACACCAACGGTTCCTACTTGGATTTGTCCAATAGCTTAACCTTTTATTTCCGTGAATTTTTCCAGTTATAGAAGTGCCACCTCTTCTAACTTTGACTGCAACCAAGAAAAAGGGGGCGTCGTGCGGCTCATTTACGGAAACCTGTCCTTCGTGTGAGCGGTCACATGGTACTTTAAATCATTCAATTTGCATATCATTTGCTGAAGTGTTTCTATTCTCTCCACTTTTCTCTGAATCCACATTTTTTTCTGACACACCAATTGCAATTAATCTCACACTTTATATTCACACTTTACTTCTACACCTTGTTTGTCGACCTGCCAGGTACAGAGCTCGAGCAGGAATGCAGGGCTCTGCATGATAGGATGGTGTCCTCTCAGCTCACGACGGTTTGCGCGTTGACGCTTTGTGTCATCGTCACCCTGCTGTGCATTCTCTTTTCACTAGTGAGATCCCGAACAGGTCGAGGAGGGTGCATTTTAGGGAGGATGTTCCGCTCGAATGGCTTTGGCGGACGCAGTTTTATGCACATGACACCCTCTAGACAAGACACCTTCGTTATGGCGTGATGTAGTTGTTTCCTACTACCATCTAGCCTCTATCCTGTATTGTCTACGGCCATCACGAACGATGACAACAGAGACCACAGCATGCATAGCATCTAGCAGACGTGATGTAAGTAGACATACTAGGCTTCATGGTCTAGTAAGGGACACCAACATGGGTTACGTTAACTAGAGGACACCACGGACGAATGAATTATTACGTCATGATCCAGTAGACGCCGTGATTCTTCCGTAATATTGATTGCTCTAGAGCACAATTTTCGATATGAGCAGGCTTCTCTAATGACGATCTCGGTGCCACGGCTGTGGAGGAACTGGAGTCGGATGACGAGGGGGGCGAGGTTAGGAGAGCACACGGCAGCTGTTGTAGCAGACCTAATCATGGCTGTTGTAGCAGAATTGGTGACGAAGATTTCAGTCTTGGTTCGCCAATGCGTTGTGGTGACCCTCTCACGTCTAGGAGCGGCGAAGCAATAGAGGTCGTAACCAGGTCATCCTCTTCCACTACGACCTGTTGTACGACTTCCTCGTCAGCGGCTTCCTATTATATGGCAGGAAATCGTTCACCTGGTTTAGCGAGTACAGATCCAGAGCTAGGAATGATGGCTGCTACAGCCATGGGAGGAGGAGAACTGCTGTTCACGAGAACAAGCACGACAACTACAATTAAGGCCTTGGGAGGAGATTTCGTCTGACCTAAATACTTAAACAATACTTTCGCTAAGTAGAAGTCATGTAGTTCATGTTTTTCAAAGCAACTACAGGACTTGTTGGGTAAGTACCTGTTGTCTTTGTCCTTCAGAATTCAAAATACGAGTACTTTTGAAGTAGCACGACCACAACGTGCACTTCATCTAGAAAAAGGGAAAGAACTTTTTAAGGCCTCAGTCGTCTTCTAATGCCCCAACTTCTCGTCGAGAACTGATGTTTCGATCCACACGAGGTGGTGCGAGTACTAGAACTAGTACTAGTACTAGAGGACAAGGACAACCTTCAAGCGGGACGAACTCATCATGGTGGATGAAGAATCCTCTGTCTCACTTTAGGCTGAAGGGCATGAACAAGGTGGGCGTGGAGGAGGAGACGCCTCTGATACCAGACGAGGTGGATCTTAAGGCTCAAGAATACAGTCCATTCTGACAAGAAACCTTTTCTCCCTGTTACCTTCTTAAGGATACACATGAAGTAGATTTGCAATAATTTACTGCTCCTTCCACTCTTCATATACTGTTCCTTCTTAGGATGGGTGGGGAGAAATGCAGGCAACAAATGAATCGTTCAGGGCTCTAAGGATCAGCTTTCTTCGTCCATTTAGTAGGTTTGCTGCTTCGAAGATTCCGCACTGAGTGAATAGGAGGGACCAGGGAGATAGAGTCTTGTTAACGTCAAAACAGAAGAACGGATGGTAATAGTTTCATGTCTTCAAGGACCGCGATCACGTTTGACAAAATTTGTATTTTCTTACCCGGACTTTGACTTACCCCTACTTCATACTACATACTATTACTACATCGATCGAAATTTTTTTTGTATTCTATTTGTCGCTATATACTTTATTCTATATCTACTCATACTTTGTCACGTATAGTCCTAAAATTACATCGGTAAGTAGTTACACATTTATGCCTATTCTCATACAACAAACTCAAAATTACATCATGCTTAAATTTTCATACAACGAAGTAGTAGACACATTCTTACATGCTTATCCTCATACTAGCACAAAACACTCACAATTACATGCTTATACATCCTTATTCCTAGAAGTAGAAGATTTCAACAGAACCTTTTTTTACTCGAACAACACACATTATCCAATACACACGTAATATCTTCTTCTTACTAAGCAACGATACAACCTAAACCTACGATGATAGCAATACACAGCTTTCTGTTCCTCCCTCCTGTTACAGACTCACATGAAATTGACTTACGACTTACGAAAACCCTGATAAATTGACCCATGACTTACGAAACCAACAATGCCCCAACTCATAATGCTCTGTTACCTTGTCACTTAGAGATGTTTGGTGTAGCAGAGCATTATGAGTTGTGCGGTGTAAGGTGTAACAGAGATGTTGTGCTGTGTAAGCAGAGATGCTTGACTTTGAGAGCGAGAGTCGTGTTATCAATTATTATGAGTGAGCTTCGTCGATAACTACTTTGTCGAGTGAATGCCAGCGTCTTCGGCACGAGTGTATCGATTAATCGAACTTTGCCCCAAAACCCCTTTTAGCCGACCTATGGTAGACAGCGAAATATCGAAGAAAAACCTTTAAACTACCCCTCTTACAAAAAACGAACACCAGGTCGTTTCTGTGATGGTCGACGTACTCTACCGAAAAGGAGTGTGTACAGGACAAATAGAATAGACATCGAAAATCGAGGCTCGGCCTTGCCATGTTTCGACCTTATCCGATAACGGGCTTGTAAAGAAACTGCAACAACAGGTGTAAATAAGTCCCTCTCGTCCTCACAAAAGCTCCGTGTTTTATTCCGTGATTTTTGAGTCAAAAACGCGACCACGACCGATGTAGAAAGATCACTAGATTAGTTGAAAAATAGATGACGCAATCGTATATCTGGCCTTTAGGGCCGACGGGCCCTCTCCCGGCCGGGCAGAAATTTTCTCAAGTCCGCAACCTTGAGACCTCGAGGGAGCTGCGGGCTTAGAAAGAGCGTCTGAGAAGTGCGATTCAATGACAGTGTTGCTTAATTTGCACGACATCAGAGGGCCAGATAGAAAGCGGTGCTGGAGGACTAAATGATTTAGTACAATCAGAGGGTCGTGTCACTTTTGAGTTGTGACGAGCGCCAGCTGGTGTAAATTAATTTGAATACTACTAGTGTCAACATCTTCTTCAGCGATTACTGTTTTTCAGCGGTGGCTAAGGCGAAGCAAGTACCGAAGCGACACTTCTGAGGAGACTGCCTTACTATAGCGGAGTAGTCTTCCAAAGGACGAGCACAACAGAACACACCTGAAGTAAAGGCGGAGTACAACTAGTGATCGGAAGGTGTGGTGATTGCGACACCGTTTTTACTACTACAGCATTGGTCGCTTTTTTCCTTCAGTGCGCGCAGACTACACCCTACGAAGAAGAGTTGCCTCCAAGTGACGGCTGAGAAGCGACTTCTGCCACCACGACAGCGTGTTTCATCTCGTCTGAGAACATACAAGCGGCGTTACGAGGATTCGACTGATCCTAGAAGTTAGAAGTACTAGACTTCTAGTACACGAGGAACAAAGTAGTTTCATCTAGTACTGCTAGTGGAAGTGAAGAACTAGTAGTGTTCCTTTTCCCGATTCTTTGCGTTCTCGTTTTTTCTTTGCTCGAACAAGGCAAACGTGAAAGCGACAAGATGGCGTTGGTTGCAGTGAATAAGAATAGTACGCAACACACGGAGAACTTCCGTTCTACCAATGTGCGCTTTTTGCAGGAGCAGAACAAGCAGGCGCTTTCTGCCTTACAGAAAGTCGAGGAGGAAAGGAATGAGGTACTTCTACAGGAATACGTAGAATTTTGCAAAACGTACTTATACTAAGTTGTACTGGAATGACTGTAGAGTTTTTTTGGTGAAGACTTCTACGTATCATGTTGAGAATGTTCGCATTTTTTACTACGTGCGAGAAGAGGTAATACGTATCCATTGAGGTGGGTACGTCGTAGACACGCACTACCTTCTATTTTTGGAGTAGAAATTCAATCTTCAGCACTCGAATTAGTTCAATCCCAACTGCTCCAGGCGTTTATGGTGATCAAAGAGTGGGAGGCGAAGCAGAGCAAATTGGAGAATGAGTATGACGATTTGCAGTACAATCTGGAGGACCTGGAGCAGTCCAATATCAAATCACGAGCTGCTTTGCAACAAAAGGATGAACATATACGCGTGCTGTCCGAGCAAAATCGGCAGTTGCTGTCGATGCTCGAGACAGAGGAGAGCAAGAGCAAGGAGAAGGAGGGGGAGTTCGGAGCGGCGAGGGACTTGAACATCTCGTTGAAAGAACTGCAGGTCCTCACGTTTTCTTTGGTTGAAAGAACCGATTTCGTTTATTTTTTTTGGTTACAGGATTAAGCAGCTAGAAGAATCGGTGATGTAAGTGAAAATGAAGGAGTGGCTGGAGATCTTCATTCTCTTGCGGTGATTCTTCATTCATCAGGCCGTCAAGCTATAAGGTGCAAGAACTTGTTGTTCCATCAGTCACGAAGAAAACTACGATTTGGAAAAACTACCATTCCCCACAGTTGTAAGCATCTTTTTTCCCACATCAGGTCAAGTTCGAGAAGATGAAAGCATCTGGGGACGCGCAATTACTAGCAGTGACGACAGAAGTGGTTAAACTCCAGGAAGAATGCAAAAACTCGAGAAACGAGACAGAACAACTCCAAACCGCCGCTCGAAACTTCACTGCGCAAGCAAAAATTATGAGGAGGACTTGTTTCTGTCTTCTGATGATTCGTAGGAGTATGATTTTTAGTGCTTCTAGAAGACCATGAGCATGATTTTTCTGCGATCATACAGATGTAACAGAGTCTGTCAGTTTCAAGAATGCATCTTGTTCAGCAGTATTCCTTTAATATCAGTTCTTGTTGTCTCCCATTTATTTCTCTACGACGCACTGACTTTTTCAGTCTAAGAAAAAGGACATCGAGGAGCTCGAGGAAAGGCTGCAGGAGGCGAAAAAGCAGAATGTTATGCACCTGCAACAAATCCAGCACAACGAGGTGAATGAGCATCGGTTACTAGAGAAAATCAACAGTTGGAAACTGCAAATCGAGGAGCTTGGAGTCCAGAAGAAGAGCATAAAGGTAAACGATTCCAAATCAATAGACATTGATTGTGATGCAGGACATTCAGTGCAGTATAACTCAGGCCTTGCAGTATGACTCTCATCCCCTTTCCTGTGACCTACTACTACTTCTTACACTACTCTCCTTGGCATGAAACTTTTATGTGAACTAATAACTGATGTGGCTTTCAATCATTATAGTTCTCAACATTCTGCAACCTAACCAACCTAACCAAACGTGAAAATGCACAAAGATCCAACTCGACGGCGACCTGATGGCTCGTGGCAGTTGGAGCAAGAGCAAGATGGACATCATGAAGCGCACAGACATGTTAGAGGAGACGGCTTCGGAATTGAGAGCGGCAATAGTAGCAGCCGAGCAGACGAATTCGAATATGACAGAAGAAAACAGGAATTATGGCTTGAAAATTGGCTCAAGTTGATGATGATGATGATGATGACGATGATGATGTCGATTCAATCCACATAGCTTCATCGAGTTTTCTTCGCAGCAGAAATGAGTAGGAGACATCCGTTGCCGTCCTTGAAGACGTAGCTTAGCATCGTGGTGTTATCTAGTTCTTGTACAAACAATGTACACATCCTCTTCGACACATCAATCATTACAACATTGTCTATCCTCTAAGTCACAGGAGCCGAGAACTTTCGGGAGATGGGCGACAAGGTTTACTCGCTTATGGACCAGCTGCGGATGAATCAGGTGAATCTGAAGAAAGAGGAGTCAACAGCCAAAGATAGGGAGAAAAAAATCGTGCAGTTGGAGAAACAGTAATACAGTTTAATATTGTAATTGTTTTGTTGCTTAGGTGGAAGTTGGATTTCTGGTTTTTGTGGAACCTTTCCAGTTATCATGTCTATGCTCCTGGCTCGTGTTCTTCACATTCTTCTCGAGCGCGTCCAAGGTATCAGCTCTTGCAGCAGAAGTTGGCATTAGAGGTCGAAGCTAAGCAGCAGGCTGAGCAGGAAAGTCGAGCTAGCGCGCAGATGCAGGCGCTTTTGCAAAAGAAGAATAAGAAGTTAGAGGAGGGTCTGCAACTCGCACTGCGAGGTCAGGAAAAAGCTGAGAAAAAACAGCAAGAGCTTAGCGACAAGGGCAATGCTTTGCAGACACAGAATGCCTACTTTTATGACCTGCTTGATATAGTTTTTTTCGAGTATTAGATCATTGAGTGACACTGACCACAATGGCCTGTACTACATAGGTAAAAAGTATTAGCTGACTTGAATCTTCGGCCTTGTTCGAGGTACTTCGAAGATGTAGGTGTAAAACTCGCAAAAGGCTTTCTCTCTCTCTAAGCCCCAGCAGCGCGAGTCGACGGTCAGGAGGAGGATAAGATGGCCTTGAAGGCTGAGATACGGAAGCAAGCTGAAGATCAAAAGCAGTGCCAACTGACCTACCAATCATTGCAGACGCAAAAAACTGAGAAAGAAGACGAATCGAATGCATTGGAGGCGGAAAGGGCAGCAATAAGTGCCGAACTCGACTATATCCGACGAGAGGATATGTTGGATGAGACAGGGAGGACGAAGGTACAACTAGAAGTTTTTGTTTTCTTGCTATAAGGATGATCTGGTGTACTTGGATATGTGGTGAGGCAGAACTTTCTCCAGTTTCGGAATACTGATCATCTGGGCAACATTCCATTCCATTTCTCCAGTCCTACGTCCCCACTTTAACAGCCCGTGCTAATCGAGTCAAACGATAGCAAATTAGTCGAGCGGTTGCAGATAAACGAGTTCTTGTATTCTGCCCAGCAGGCACGTAACCCAGTCCCGATGATCATTGACTATGGCATGGCCTCTAGCTGTAATCATTTTCCGGAAAGTCGGAGATAGGTCAAAAATATTTTGACTGATCTTCAATCTGATTTTTTGTTCCTTCTCCTTCTATGCAAAATGCCCCGACATGTTTGTTTCCCTCCGACCACACCACTTCTCCTCTTTCATACTCAAAAAGTTTCGCACATCCTCGAGTTGCTGCATACTGCCCAAACGCAGAGTGACCAATACCTCCTCGACTTGCAGAAGTCGAACTCCCTACTACAAGCCTTGAGACAGAAGAACCTAACGCTCTACGAGAAGTCTCAGGCTTGCGAGTCATGGAAGTTGAGGGCTTTGATGAAGATCGTGGCGAATGCCTTTCAGACTAGGGAGTCTTATAGCGGAATGCATTCCAGTGACACTTGCAACCTCTTCTTGGACGGCTTGCAGTACACGAATAAGGAGTTGCAGCAGTTGAAAGAACTAGTGATCAGCTACGATAGACAGGATAAAGTACCTTTTTACCTTTTTACCTTTCATCAGCAATTTTGCATGCTGATTCTGCTACATTCTGACTTAACAGCCTCATTCGCAACTTCTGAACCTCCTAATCCAACATCGAATCTTTCTCTCTCCTCGAATACTCACACCACCAATACCACCACCATCACCATCATCACCATCACCACCACCACCGTCATCACCATCACCACCACAACAGGTGCATCAACTACACCTTCAAGATAACGGCCTGTCAGACGACTCCTTGCCGATAATACAAGAGTTGCTGACGACAATGCCCTACATGAAGATCCTAGACTTGAGGAAAAACCGGCTCTCAGATATCGGTCTGCAATCCTTACGTGCGTGGCTCTCGAATCAACCTGGTGAGATTTTCTGATTTTGAGATCTCATGCGAAGACATGAGAAAAAATGCAAATGGGGAGCAAAAAAAGAAGAGAAAAAGAAGGATAGACAATGAACTCTTCAACATCGACCTCATGCCAGGCACATCAATCAATCAATCAATCAATCAATCAATCAGTCGACACTTCTCTTCCGCACTACCTCTGATCACGATTTGACCAGTTGTTAAAAACTATTTCTCACGACAGGTATAACGGAAGGGGTGATAGAAACGGAGGTGAGAAATAGTTTTTAACAACTGGTTAATAACTTCTCAACCACAGGTATAACGGAGGTGATTTCTCAACCACATAGAAATTGAATTTAATTCACGACAGGTATAACGGAAGTGACCCGCGATTTGCAGGAGATCAGAGCAAGATCTGGTAATCAGATTAGGTTACGAGTTTTGGTGGAGGAGCAAGGAGACCAGCAGCACGAGCCTCTCCCAGTGGCTTTTGCGAATGATAGGACTGGCAGAACCGATATGGCCGGCGTGCAGGCAGATGACTTCCTCGCTTCAGCTGCCGGCGTTACGGCTGAGAAAGGTGGTTAATATTTGTCATGGTCTTGTCATGCAGTTCTTGCAATAATAAACTTCTCTCGAAGATATGATAGATTAGCGACGTGATATCGAACTTGCAAGACAGAGAAGGATACTTTTAAGAGTAGCTGTTATCATCTATCACTCAAAAAAATGCATTTTTGGGCTATCTTGGATAAGAAAATGCTTTGACGATCATTTCCGCTCCTACCCAATCCTTCTACACACTGACTTGCTTCCAGGTCCTCTTTCCTCCTACATTGACGTACCCGTCGGCAGTGGTGGAGGTGAGGCAGCAGGTAAATCGGGTCCCGAATATGGTGGTGTCCCAGTGGGTCTGGGAGGCGCGGGAGACGCCGTTGGTGGTCTCGGCGCCAAACGCGATGGCTTGCCTGACGTTGGAGGACCCAAGGGTAAAGCGAAAGCGAAGGCGAGGAGATAGTCGTCGTTCTTGTTCCTTGTATTTCCAAGTACGACCAGACTAGCGCATAGCCATACCTACTAGTTTGGCTATATAGAAGGTGGCAAGAACGCGCTTTATCCAATCAAGGTAAGTAATGTGACCTAAGATACTTCAGTTACAAGATTCACTTCAGAGTGACTTCAGAGTTAGCACTTCAGAGTTCAGAATGAATGACCTAAGATACTTCACAAATTTAAGATACGATTCTTTGAGGAAAAGAAAATTAAGGCATGACTGTCTGTAGTATGCAAATGTATAGTCAGGGTTTGGCGAATATCTTTTTGAGAGTGTTATTTTCCTCTAGTACTTGCTCATACTTGCTTCAGAGTTCAGAATGAATGACTTGCTATCAGATTGAGACTACACACTTAACGAGTGCCAAAAATGTAACGTGGTGAAGACTGAGTGCCGCATGGTCTTCGCGATGATGTTATGAAGCTACGGCCTGAAGGGCTTGGACGAAAAAAAAGTACCTTGCTTTGGCATCAAAGGGGTGCGACGTGTGGAACTACATGCTTGTACAACATGTATTCGTATCAGCGAAGTAGAAGGACGTGCGACACTTGATTGAATTTCCGGTTGCTGTGAAGTGACTTGATTGAATTTCCTCTCTATTTCTGCGGGTAGGAGTGCGACATGAAAAAATGCGAGAGGTAGAAGGAAAAGGTGGAACAAGGTACAAAAGAAAGGTCATAGAAGGAGAGAGCAAATGGGAGATGATAAAGAAAAAGCAGTAGCAATAGTAGCAACTACAGACGTCAACACGCAACTCATAATCTATTGTTGAGTGAAGTGCGATAGTGAAGAAAAAATCGGTGGTTGCAGCATCAGTAAGGACCTGCTCTGTTACTATAGCTAACGGAGTGGTAGTGCTTGCTGAGTCAAAACTTTTTTCTTCATCCTGTTAACATCCTGGCCTCTGGCCCTGAATTGTTATCAGTATTAGTCTCTACGGGCACTACGGACAGTGTCATCAGAGGCCCATACATGACAGAAAAAATCCCATCTTGGTTCAAAAATGGCACTGAAATTATAGACTGAGACTATTTCAGTACTTGTAGTTTATCTCCGTCCAGCATGATACTGGAATAGGATGGAGGATCGAAATTCAAGGCCGACGACTCCGAGAGGCGACTTGATGTCAATGTCGCCAAGAGTTAAGAACTATGTATGCCCTTGTAAGTGGAAGGAGATAGAAAGATGTGTAAGTTGTACTTAGGTGGATACAGAAACACGAATTCAGAAGTCAGAATGTTTCGCAAGCATCTATTTTTCTAGGACAGGAAGGATGACCTATACGTACACGAGCATGTCGACCTACACGTACACGAGTATAGTATTCAACAGTCTAATCCATGCAACGACCGCTCGAAATTGACGCTGACGGAGGGCGACCAGGAGGAAGACATTTACGTCCTATATGTAGTTGTAATTGTATAGTAGAGGAGATGAAACAAATGATAGAGAGCAAATCCGTCCTTTTTTTAGGGGCATCCATGTGATACATTTAAACCCATGTGATACATATTATAGTTTGTAGTTGGAACAACCACTTAATTTTTCTTCGTAGCGCTTTCGCCCTTCATGAGAGTCATGCAGATGTCCGCATCGACATCGAGCAGCTGTCCTATCTCGTTGACCAGGTAGAAGTAAGTAGATTTACTTTCTTGAGAAAGTAGAGGCACGTGTTTAATTCACATCTCGACGTCTAAGACAGTGACCTTCTCCTCTTCTAAAATTCAGAATTACCACCTGGGATAGTCTTGACGCCGGAAGAGAACTCCGCACCACCTCCTTCGCAGATTCCTATCTTAAGAAGGGCTTGTGGTCTTCGAGATGAGTTGTCCTTCGAGATGAGACGTAAGTAATGGGATTTTACTAGTTCTCAGTTTTCCCTCGTGTCAACGTTTTCGTTTTTCGTGAGGTTAAGCATGAGCCTACAAGTTGTTGATGAAGAAAATGTCCCAATTCATACGAAGAAAACCCTTAGGCTTGTCTACTTACAAGGTTCTTGTCTACATCATCTTTTTCGTTTCTACATCTCTTTTCTTGGACTACTTCTAAAGCCCCATCTATCATTTTTTTCTTTCCTTCCTGCGCGTTCTTTGCTCTAACTACCAGGGGTTTGAGCTTGAGCCAGCAGAGGGCTGCTTTGGAGCAGGCACAGAGACAAGAAGAGACAGGTGTCCCTGCAATGAAGGGGTCCACGCCTAGTGGTAGTTCTGTGCGCGGTTTGTCAGTTGCTAAAGAGGATAGGTACCGACGTCATCGTGATTATGATCTGAAACGACTCCTGTGTCTACTACGTAGTTGTTGACCGAAGTCTTTCAGTCCATTCACATTGCATGTCCTTTCAAATACAATATTACTACTTCTCCTACTAAAGACTTGCTCTTTTCATAAAATCGCCATGCCGCAAGAAGTGTCTTAGAATCGGCGTATAAGAGGCACATACATGACAAGTGTCTATCACCTATCACCTAACGTCGCCTCACCTATCACCTAACGTCACCTAACCTATCACCTAACGTCACCTAACGTCACCTAACGTCACCTAACCTATCACCTAACGTCACCTAACCTATCACCTAACGTCACCTAACGTCACCTCACCTATCACCTAACCTATCACCTAACGTCACCTAACCTATCACCTAACGTCACCTAACCTATCACCTAACGTCACCTAACGTCACCTAACGTCACCTAACCTATCACCTAACGTCACCTAACCTATCACCTAACGTCACCTAACCTATCACCTATCACCTATCTCTAAAGAATCAATGCCGATGTGACGCATCTGGAGGGTAGCAGTGACAGTGAGGTGCACTTGGTTTCTCCTGGATCGGGGAAGAATATGCGGGCGACCCCTGAACGCATCGCCGTACAGGGAGTGAAGGGAGCGGCGAAGATTATGGCACATTATAAGTTGGAACCAGAGTAGACAATGCAATTTAGTTAGAAATAAGAAATCGATAGTGTTGGATAGGCGTCCAAGTCGGTTCTTCGGTGCCCCTTGCCGGGCTTTCAGTGGCCATCTATTGCTCGACCTGAGTGGAGGGTCTTTTTGGTTCAGGATGGCAAATAACTAGGATCGTGGTATTATAGGTCTGAAGTTTTGAGTCCCTTGTTCATCCAAAATACCATTAGGCCCTGTTCATCCAAAATACCATTAGTCCCCGTTCATCCAAAATACTATTCTTCTAATCATGAAGTAGCCGCAAAGCCAGCTGCAAAGCGCCATAATCTTAAGGCCACCGCTAGAGCATCCTCGGCATGGCCCTTGGCCTCTTTTTCAATGGGAGAAAGGACCCAGGGACTCGCTCAGGGATGCGAGCGCGGTATTCGAAATCTTAACAGTTTATTGAATAGCCAACTAGGATAGCGCAAACCGCAAACCCTACTTCTATAATATATTATAGCCCTAATAATCACCATCACCATGGCAACGATGCCCATCACCGAATCACACTGGGTGACACGAGTACGAGTAGCGACGAAGTGGATATCCATGTGGTGGAGACCATCCGGCCTACTCTGACTGTCAAGGCGGGGTCTCGCCCTTATGTTGCGACGTGGCGGTTCTTGGTTTTTATAGATACTTGGTATTGTTAAAAAAAAGCTTATTAAAGGAATTATAGTATTGTTATCGGTGTTTGTTAAGCTTAAGCTTATCGGTGTACTCAACAAAGGAATTAGAGGGAAAGGGTAAAAAAGCTGAGACCCTTAAGGAGATAAGGGACAAGTAATCTGGATAGATTCAGTGAGGACAAAAGCAAGATCTCGACTTGCCTAGTGCAAGATCTCGACTTGCCTAGTTAGCAGGAGTGTGCTTCGTATCGGGTTCTTGTTGTATCTTCTAGCATCATGGATGCGTCATATCTTCTAGCATAAGGCTTCATATTTTTCATTCGTGTCGTTGTATGTAATATAGTGATTAATTATGCTGCATGTTATAGCGATTCATTCCCCTCTAGCAACCTGCAGTCAAGTAATAGGATTTCATGGAGTGATCCAATGATCCCCACACCCAATCCCCACACATACTAGATTTCAATTTTCTATGTTGCCTCTTGTTCTAATACTGCGTATCGAGAAAAACGCAATTGAATGCAGTGAAGCCACTTCCTATGTCGCCCTTAACTCCGGCCAAGTCCGAGGAAAGTGATATCAGTAAACTCGCGGAGGTCCTACGTGGGCTCAGTTCGGGTAAAGATGCGGCGCCATGCCTGTTGTGCTTAGATTGCTTACACATCACAGCTACTAGACATCAATATAATAATGTGACGAGCACTCAAAATCTGTGTCATTGGTTTGGTTGTGGAAGGCCTCTAGGATTATATGATGTTATTCAGACGATGTCCAGGTGCCGGGGGGCTCGATGTGCAGGATTCACAACCTAACCGAACCTGTCCAGATGCTCAGATAGCGACGCCTAATAGAGATTGCCAACTTATCATGTAGCGAGGACCACTTCTAGCACAGGCCTTATTGCCAAACTTACTATCTGATGTAGCGAGGATCACTTCTTCTAGTAGAGGACGAGAATACAGGTGAACGCTCTAACTCTTACGAAGCGAAAAAGAAAAAGCAGGACTCATCTTCAAGCGATAGCAGTGACACATTTGTTGGGAGTAAGAAGGGCGCTTCCAGTAGCAAGAACAAAAAACATTTAAGAAGTGCTGGAACTACATCAATTACTTACTACACGAAGATTATCAAAGATTTTAATCTGTACTGGACCATTTCATCCATCTATTTTTATCAATGTATACTAGACAGATGTTTTTTTTCAATATGAGGATGAAGATGCTATATGATTCGCATTTCAATACGTAAGAAATAAGTGCCTCGATGGGTACTAGAACTGGATATAATCTTCATGTGTGATGGATCTCGTACTACGAAGGTACTTTAGACACGAACTAAACTCTGAGAACCCTTCTCTAAGAACCGACAAGAAGAAAAGAGCTAAGTCTGCGTCGTCGTCATCCTCGTCTTCATCGTCCGAACGCGACAAAAAGAAATTACGCTATTCATGGTGCTAACCTTGAAAATTTGAATCTAGATCGGAATCTAGTTCTTTACAAGCTTCCGAGTACAAGCTTCCAATTGTTCCTTCCTGTTGACTTACATAAAGTTGTAAGCATTCTTCCATCTTCTTCGTATCATGATAACTTTCTTTATAACTACCCCTCCCACGACAAGTTCGTTGTAACGAAGAAACTTTCGCTGTAGAACAAGTATATTATCTTCATACTGTAGTAGTAGTTGTAGTGGACGAGACGTGTCCGTGTTCGCAATAAGACTTCGTTCCTTTGTCTCTTCTCTAGCATCATCCTATTTTCATACAAGAAGAAAAAAGCGGGAGGTGACGCGCAACCTGGTCCGATTGGGATGGTACCTGGAGTAATGGCAGGAGTTTCATCCTACGAACATCAATCTGTCGTCGCGCATCCGGGTTTCGTCGCGCATCCGGGTGTCGTCGGTCACCCAGGCGTCGTCGGTCACCCAGGTGTCGTCGGTCACCCAGGCGTCGTCGGTCACCCAGGCGTCGTCGGTCACCCAGGCGTCGTCGGTCACCCAGGCGTCGTCGGTCACCCAGGAGTTGCCACTCCTTAAGGCTAGTTTTTCACTACCCCATGTGGACTATGCGGAGTGGAGTCCCCCTCGATTTCAAGAGGAAAATGGGAAACCTCACAGGACCAGGCATAGTGAAAGAGTAGCTTTAAACTCCGCTTGCCGCACATCCGCATGACCCGCTGGCCTCGCAGCAACTCCTCGCGCAGCAACAACGGTTATCCGGAATTGCGGGACCTCCAGGCTCTGCCCCACCACCCGGAAGAAGAGATGACGACAGGCGGCCATTTGACGATAGGCCGCGGTCGAGTGATAGGCGCCCGCCTTTTGACGGTGGGCGTCCGCCGGACGATAGGCGATTGTCGAATGAAAGGCGCCCGCCGAACGATAGGCGATTGTCGAATGAGAGGCGCCCGCCGGACGATAGGTTGCGGTCGTCTGATAGGCGGCCTTTTGACGATAGGCGTCCGCCAAGCGATAGGCGTCCGCCCGACGATAGGCGATTGTCGAGTGAAAGGCGCCCGCCGAACGATAGGCGATTGTCGAATGAGAGGCGCCCGCCGGACGATAGGTTGCGGTCGTCTGATAGGCGGCCTTTTGACGATAGGCGTCCGCCAAGCGATAGGCGTCCGCCCGACGATAGGCGATTGTCGAGTGAAAGGCGCCCGCCGAACGATAGGCGATTGTCGAATGAGAGGCGCCCGCCGGACGATAGGCGGCGGTCATCTGATAGGCGGCCTTTTGACGATAGGCGTCCGCCAAGCGATAGGCGTCCGCCCGACGATAGGCGACGGGAGGAGGATAGGCGGCGGGAGGAGTCTCTGAGAAGACGCGACGAGGATAGGCGGCGTAGCGAAGCTAGGAGGCGCGATGAGGATAGGCGGCGTAGCGAAGCTAGGAGGCGCGATGAAGATATGAAGCGGCGTGAGGATGCTAAGAAGCGCGATGAGGATAGGCGGCGTAGCGAAGCTAGGAGGCGCGATGAAGATATGAAGCGGCGTGAGGATGCTAAGAAGCGCGATGAAGATATCAAGCGGCGTGACGAGGCTACAAAGCGCGAACAAGATGTGAAGTTAGGGGTTGGAATTTTACCTCTCAGCTATGAGCATTATATAGATTTTGAAGCTTGCTTACTTCAAGTACTAGGAAAGGTATACTCGGCTCTTTAGATATGCGAACTACTACAAAATATATGGGCCAACAAGGACTTGCAGCGTCTAAGGAAGCGGCGTGAGGAAGATCTAAAGCGGCGTGAGGAGGCCACAAAGAAGGATGAGGAGAAGAAGAAGGAAGAGGAGAAAAAGAAGGAAGAGGAGAAAAAGAAGGCAGAGAAAGAGAAGAGGGAAGAGGAAAAAAAGAAGCGGGAAGAGGAAAAAACGAAGCGGGAAGAGGAAAAAAAGAAAGCAGAGGAAGAGAAGAGGGAAGAGGAAAAAAAGAAGCGGGAGGAAGCGCTAAAGAAGCGGGAAGAAGAGCTGATAAAGCAGCTGGAAGAGATGCGAAAAATGGCCGAACAAGTCGAACGCGAAAGTGCGGCGCGCGATTCGGCAGAATACCGAGGTGCATCTTTAAGGGGTTAACTGTGTAGTTTGTAATAACAAGAAGGATTGATGATTCATCATCCTCTCATTGACGAGTGCATCTCATCTTTGTCTGTAGAAAAAAAGTTGTACGGAAACTACTAATGTCCACTCGGAGTTCTACGTATGCAACAACGAAAGATTAGAAAGACTGACGTCACTACTCCTCTCAATCACTATATCTCAACCGTCCTAGCGGCTGTTACCAACGTTATGATCTCAATAGTCCTAACAAACCTATCTCAACAGTCTGACGTTACCTATGATCCTCTCAACGTTAACCATAAATAAGTATTTCAGCCTCTCCTGCTCCTTACGAGTCATTATATTTTTAGTGTCAACCATTATAGGTATCTCAGCCTCTCCTCTTCTCTAAAATGTACAGCGGCCGATGAAGAGAGGAGAAAGCAAACACAACAGATGGAGGTGATTCAGGCTCAGCTTCAGGCTCTCCAATCGCAACAGTTACAGGCGCAGGTGAATTAAGAAAAGAGTTATATTTGTATAGATACGATAAGCTGAAATAACCGAGAGCAAAGTGACCTAACCGAGCAAAGTGACCTTAACTTAGAACTGCTTATTTCAAATTTTATAGTCCACCGACCTAGAATTATCTGTATCTCCAACTCATTTTCTCTCTTAGCACTTTCTACACTCATTAATTCTATAATTCTAATTCCAACTCATCAATTCTGTAGCTCTCCAACTCATTAATTCTAATTCTAATTCTCTTAGCGCGAATTATTTCCAACTACTCAACTCTCCAACTGTAGCGCTTTCGCTTTCTTGCTACCTTCTAGTCTTTCTAAGGCACCAACCTAGAATCTCGATTGAACAAAAGACACTCGGAGGACGAAGACTACCTAGGGATGCCTCAGAGTCAGCAGAATTTCTTTGCGCAAGCATTGATGAGCGGAATGCAGATGGGGATGGGCTCACCACGTCAATCTACTTTTTAAGGATGCACGTAGTTGTTCATCGATCTGTTTTGATCTTGATAAGTCACGCATGATCCCATTGATGGAAATCTAGTTGCCGCCCTCGTGACTGAATGGGGGAATGAGTGATAAGTTCTAAAGCCGAAGAGGGCCTTCAAACACTGTACAACATTCATAGCAAAAATGTACCAGTCATACCCTTAGTATCCTCTATCTAATGATAGCATCCTCTAACAATAGCAACCGCCACAAGCACCGCCTCCGGCAATCAACGTGACGATAGCGGAACCGCCACAAGCACCGCCTCCGGCAATCAACGTGAGGGTCATGGCAGGAGGGGATGCGCCAGGATCGGAAGACGAATTATGGTCAACATTTAGTGTCCATCTTTCTCAGCGTCTCTTGTTCGGTATCTATAGTCCCCTTAGAAATGCCATAGAAAAATAGTACAAGGGCAGAGGTACTCATATCGGTATCCTCTTTCAATCCCATAGAAGAAGACAACAAGGGAATAGGTAAAAATACCGAGATGAGCAGAGGACTGAGGTAGTTGAATAACGCCTGACTGCTTTAATGTATGAGCCGACACACTTATCGCCAGGGGGACGGACGGTAACGCCACTACCTCGCTCACGAGATGTTCCGCTACTTGATTATGTTAAGGACGGATGCGCGATGGATCATGTTCTTGCCTAACAAAGAGGAATAAGTAACTATAATGGCGCTAAGTCAGTTAAGAACTGCACAAAGGCGGCCACTCTTGTCGCCTCCTAGTCCTGGAAGTGCTCCACTTAGCGACCTTTACAACTTGCCTTCTCTGGGTTTTTCTGTCTTTTGGTTTCGTTTCATGTGATTCCCCGCGCCCCTCCAGAGTCCACCGCGTCAGCCTGCGAGTGTGTGCCGGGGGATTCTGGAAAGGCGCGGGGATTTGGAGGGTGCCCGAGGTTCTTGGCTCGCAATTGGGGGAGAGTTTTCCTGAAGGGAGCGCAGTAGGCGGCGAGTGTCCTGCGGATTCGTATCATGCCTGGCGAGATTGAATTCTGTCCGGATTTTTGCAGTCCTTGGCTGAGTTTTCTCCATTGTTTTTGCTTCTTTTCTGTAGGGGGTTTGTGTTCTTTGCTAAGTACAAGCAGTGGCGTTGTCTTCTCTCTAGTATAATTTGTGTTTTCATCATCTTCATAGGCTATATGTGAAGCTATACGGAGCCGCCCTCTAAGAGAAAGCTAGAGGATTCGTACTATAGGGGTCGCACCAGGAGATCTGAGTTGCCAAGTAGTAGGCCTGAAAGTTTCGCAGATGACATAGAAGACCTCGTTCCAGAACTACGAAAAACGAGGCGAGCGAGCAGTGGACCGTGCTTCATATTATGGAACTTTTTGTGAATCAATGAGATGAATATCTCCTTTCCGGAATGAGATGAATATCTTCTTTCTGTGTTTACATTTCGTCTTTCCTTCGATTCTCTCAAGGAAGCAGATGAATCTCCCCAAGAAGTACTTAAATCTGCACTTCCATCTACTCCTATGCCCGCAATCAGAACCTCCATACCGAGCTGATCGCTCCCCTTAAAGGTGCCATGTTGAGTGAAAGGTGTTCTTCATCAACTACGAACAACTCCATGACCTCTTACACTTCTTACTCTTCTAATCCACATATGCTGCGTGATCTTTACGCATTTTGTTCCTGCGATCGTATTCGGTGTGTTGCTGATCGGTTCCGTCATAAGACCAAAAAATCCAGTCGTCCCGAAGATATTGGACCACTTGATTATGATGGGATAGGAATGTGAGGAGCAATTATAGCTTCCCCATGTGATGAGTCTTTAGGTAACCCCCCCCATAGCGGGAACTTGGTAATTTTTTCCCCTTTGGCTTAGTAGAGGTGTGCTGCAGATCTTGATTGGCTTCTTCCTTTGTATAAGGATGAGGCTTCGGTCCAGCGACGCTTAAAGCACTAAAGTAAGGCAACCGGCTAGCTTTCCCTCTATCCTTAGGCTTATAATCCCTTCAAACAACAACTAAGATTAAGATTGAGGAAGAAGCAGAAGGAGAAAAGTTGGAATTCGAAAGAAAGATAGATCTAGTATGGATGGAATGGGAACATTAGGGCCGCAGTTAACGATGCTGATCTCGTTTTCTATAGCATGATGTTGAAGACGTAATCCCATGTTATATCAACTTTATGAGTCTACTGTTGTAGTTCTTACACGTAGTAGTTGAAATCCTCTGTGGAGGATCCGTTCTTCTTCCAAGTTTTACGAGAAACGAGGCAAGACGTCTGGGAGATCCGGAGAAGAGGCAGATGAGGACAGTTCCTTCATAGAAACTGGGAGAACCGAAACTGGGAGAATTGTTACGTCATAGGTTATTCCTTTCATCCTCCAAAAGTTCTCGAAGTAGATCTGAACAAGATTGGTCAGCACGTGATTTTCTTCCCTCTAATCGTAAAAATCTATCAAGCGGCTCCACTACTGCCCAAAGCAGTGACTCCACAGCCGCAGAAAGCAGTGACAGTGGGGAAGAGGAGCTTACCATCAAGGACTTCATCCTGGAGGAGCTGACGGGTGTCACTGCTTTATTCGAAACCAAGCCGGAGACTAGACGATCCGGTGTAGGGGGATCGCCACGGACGGGCACTTCTTAAGAGAGATGGGTGCTTGGGTGATGTGAGTAAGTATCGTGCTGAGTGAGCGAGTAGAAGGCAACAAAGACGCCATCGCTTATTCAGTCAGTCTAACAAACTCGGCCAGGTAGGGTCAAACCTGAAGTGCATGACCATGACGTGGCTGATGTGATCATGGGGCAGCCCTTAAAAGAAAGCATTTCCGATTGAGTACTTACAAGGAACGACTTACGAACGACTTATTTTACACGAACGGCTTATTTTACACGAACGACTTTTTGATGATTCCTTTCTCTCTAATTTTTTCTTCGCAGTTCCGGGGATGCGTCAGGCAATAGGGCTAGTTCCTTCCTGTTAACACCTCCGACGAAGAAAGAGACGGGCCATGCTATTCTCAAGACTGTAAAAGAAGTGGGAGAACCAGTACAGTCATACGGCTGGGCGTGGATCTGGATGGGTGGATTTTGGAAGAACACAAAGGCTGACAACGATATTTTGTTTGCCATGGCTGCTGTTTTTAGAGCGGTATTTTTGTATCTTAATAGTTAGTCCTTTGTATTGTGACATAGACATGGTCAGAAGTCTTGATTGTAGTTTTTAGGTAATACCGAATTACACGGCATGATGCTCGCTCTAGGTAATACCGAATTATACGACAAACAGCTGATGAACGCTCTAGTTTGTTATCACCTCTCGGTTTAAAACTCATTTGAAATAGTGTTCCACATGCTTTTCATCTAAGATCCAAAGTACCTTTTTCCGAATAATAAAAAATCGAGACCCTTGGTCTAAAACTGATTATCACCTCTCCGTTAGACATTTCTAATTCCAACTGACAACATCCAGCTAGCGGATATCTTCACGCAACCGGGTGGTAAGGGCGCTGCTATCATAGCCATACTCCAAGCAGCGGATGCAAAGGACTATGAGGGTACGAACTTTACCTTGCTTGTTGATGTACTTCACCTTGTACTTTGCAAGAAAGGAATACCAGAATCTGAACCTTACTCATTTGGGTTGGATGTTGGTATTCCTCTCCTAGAAGCGATGCTTTTGCTTATTAGTATAGCCGTCCTAGCTCTAATAAAGCAGCCGTGGATGTAGTGAAAATAGCGGTCGGCGATGGGATCGATGAAGCAGCACCCTCGATGGCTAAGCGAGTGGACACGCTACTAGCGAGCTTTGAGTTAAGCCTAGTGGTCGTCGGATTACACGTATATCATTGAGTGAGTGTTCGAAAAGTCTTCTCTTCTATCTAGAGACTCTCTTGTCCTCGATTTGGTAGACGTTCTCCACTGACGTATTACGCCACTGCAGGGCTCCAGAGCATAGCATAGTCTAGGTGCTGTGATCTGACTTCATGGAGTTAAGGACTCCTGTTCAATTCTCCACACTCTAATTCCTGACGCTGCCACCATGGATCGCGACCAAATCTACAACTGGAACGTACAGCAGTGTCAACTGATCTTTAGATATTTCTTTGTGTCAGTTTGCTCTCCTTTTTTTAACTCATATGGGTACAACCCTCCTTCCCCCCTGTTTCATCTTTCTGATGATAGTAATTATTGTAACTGGCATGATACGCCCCTGCTCAGGTATGCTATCACTAGGTGTCTATCTCTGTCTTCTAGCACTGCTCTCTCCGCTTCAAAGCATATGCCATCTACATGAGACGTTAGTAGATTGAAATCCATCTTCCTCAACTTCATCTTCTCCATCTAGACCACGTGCCAGTAAGTTAATTGTAGCAAACCCTAAACCCTAGAAACAAATACAGCTGTACACTGGCATATTGCTGTTTGTGGCTACCTTATTGTGGTGGTCTTTCTCGTGTTGCAATACGAAGGAGCGTCTGGGACGAGGCCTCAAGATGTGTTATGGACTTGTTGAGCTATGATTACTTGTTGTCGTTCACGGGACATGTTGAGCTTACTTCACGATCAAAAAAAAATGCGGTGACCGTGATGAATGAATGAATGGTAACAATCTCTCCTGTCGCCACGACATGCATTCTCTCTTTTTCATATTGAGTTGTGGTCATAATCAGCTGGAAAAATTTTGTAACCCGAGAAGGAGAAAGAAGGATATAAATTCTTCATCAAAATAGACCTCTTGCCAGGCACATCAATCAATCAATCAATCAAGTCCTTACTTCACTCCCTAACTTTCCTCTTTCATTCCTCCACCCTCCTCTATATCGTGCTTGCATTGGATGCTGCTACTGTCGGAGTACGTGTTGGGTATATGGCCTTGGTACCGATAAAGTATGGCGCTGCGGCAGAAGCCATGGCTGGGTCGCCATTTGCGTCGCTACGCTGGCTGAGTGAGCGAGTGGAAGGCAACAAAGACGCCATCGCTTATTCAGTCACTGGAGTCAGTGCAGGAGTAGTTGCGAAAGAAGATAGTAGTGGTAGTGGTGATGCTGCTGGTGCTGGTGGCGTTTGTGGTGGCGGCGGTAGTCTTGGCGGCATTTGTGGTGGTGGTAGTGGTGATGGTGATGCTCCTGGTGGTGACGGTGCTGGTGGCGTTTGTGGTGGCGGCGGTAGTGTTGGCGGCATTTGTGGTGGTGGTGGTGGTGGTGGTGGTGGTAGTGGAGAAGCTGCAGTTGAAGCAGGCGACGGTGAAGCAGGCGACGGTGAAGCAGGCGACGGTGAAGGAGCAGCTGCAGGAGAAGGCTCCGGCGAGGATCTGGTGGAAGCTGCTGATGGGCAGTCTTTCACTCAGATAGGACAGAAGGTGATGGGGGAAGCCGAATCAAGTGAGACGACTGCTGAAACGGAAAAGAAGGTGGATCTCACAGCTCTAGATTATGATGAAAGTACGGAAACTTTGGATTTTGTTGTCGATCATCATCTGAAACTCTTCTTTTAGAGCACATTATGTACAGTGCTATCTTCCGCAATGTACGATGCTTGTGCTTTCGTCCTCCTCCTCACAAAATTTACAGTTAGTGCCTCCTTCTACCTTCTAACTCCCAAACGATGTAGAGCTAGGCGTACTACGGATCAGCTTCTTGGCTCAGTGTGGCAGGAAGGACAATGCAGACGAACAAGACGTCCGCGAACGTGCTAGCATGCTGTTGACGAATCTAGCGACGTTTTCCGTGGCCGGACTTAAGGCTATAATCCGATTTAGAAGATACAGAAGAAAGAATACCTGTGAGTTTCGATTTTTAGCAAGACCGGTTAGTTTTCACCTCCACACTCTTAGGCTTATCCCATGCGACAACTTTTAGCAAGACCTGGCTGATGTAGTTTGAAACCGTATTAAGCCCTAATAATCAGGAACCATCTAGTGGTCATGTCACATCTCGAACCGCGGTGGGGGAGTTTGTGGATGGCCTAGTGGAAGGTGTCCGCGGCTTCGACATGGCCTTTGCCGCATCGAGTGTGGCGCAGGCAGAGACCTCAGCAAATCCAGAACAAGCATCCGATATTACGGCTTCTTGTAGACTTTCATCCTACCAGTATTTTTTATTTCCTGCTTGAGGTACAACTACCGTCTGGCACAAAGGAAAGAATTGGAAACAGCTCGTCCAGCAAGATGCTTATTAATGGATCGATGGATCTATGACTATGGATGGTCTAGGACACGGCCGCGCCGTCGCATAGGTTGGATAAATAGATCAGAAAGAAAGCAGAATAATGGAAGAAGGAAAAAGAAGATGGAAAGAATTGGAAACAGCGGGGATCAAGTTTTGATTAGACCATCCATAGCCATAGATCCATCGATCCATTAAAGGAATTACTTGGAAACGCTTATTAATGGAAGATCGATGGATCTATGACTATGGATGGTCTAATCAAAACTTGATCGCCGCTGTCGCCAGAAGGGCCTCTGAGGGAGGGCGGGAAGCTGTTGAGCCATCGGAGCAGTGCGATCGTTCGGGAGAGGACAAAGGCCTCAACCTTTGGAACCCAGAACATCTTCAGCAATTGAAGACTAATCCAAACTTCTCTGTCAGAGAAATGCTCAAGAAGTACCAGAGACTTGGTTTGGCGCTCGACTCGCTGGCGCGGGTGCTGTATGTTAAGACGAAGGATTGTGTTACACTAACAGGGGCATACACATGACATGACATCGCATCTGCCTCCTCATAAGCAGACAAGGAGGTGAAGGCAGTACGTTCACAATGTGATCAAGAAAAACGTTACCGTGGTAGCTAGACAATAGGATTTGGGTTGATGGCTGTATTCTCTCTCTTCTAACAAAAACAACCTCGGCGCCCACTCTCCGGAAGCACCCTTGCGCGTCCTCACCGACGGCCGAGAGATCGTTCACGAATGCACAACAGCGAGCGTGCAAAATGTCTGGATGGCAGAACTCTGGGTCATTGTGCTGGCATTGGTCAATTATGGTTCTTTTATCCATAAATCTAGCGATCTTGATGATGTCTGACCTCCACCTTCTTCATAGCACTTTTTTGCAGAGTACTTAACAATTAGAAGTAGGCTGATTATTTTTGACTAATTCATAGAGGAGATCAAATCTTCTAATCCTACATAATACTCCTGATTCCGAGCATTGTTCTGCAGGGGCACACTTGTGGTGGCTTTCTTGCCAACGACCAATAAGGAAAGTCGAACTGTAGTTCTTGGAAGGTGGGAGCGGAACCGAAATGTGGATGTGTGAGGTGCAGGAATGGAAGGGTTTATTTGGGGAAGTGATAAAACAGGGATGAGATTGAGCTGAAAGGAGGAATTCGATTATTAACGAGACAATCACAAGAAAGTTTGGTTCTGGACAACGATAGGCCATCTTCTATCGGCTAATTCTGTTGTAAAGAGGATCCGGTCTACGATGAATGAGTAATTTTGCTATTGGGTGTTCGGGTTGCTTAAGTTGGGATGTCTTTTCTGTAGAATTTGTAATCGCTAACAATACGTGTCCGTGTTAATACCAGGAAGTAGGAGTTGTGAGGAAATCCACTAGTTGTAAAGCGTATCCTTAGAAATTTCGAAGAAAATTGGAATTCGGCCAATAGAATTGATTTCCTGTATTTTTTTGAACTTTTTGGTGTTTGTTGGTGGCTACTAGCTACAACGAACTGTGTACGTAGTCCTCCAAATGGGAACAGAAAATGAGTACATTTATTTTCAAAATTTTCAACTGGTTCCGTCTGCACAGATTGATTAAGCGCAGAAGAGCATGAAAAACCTGAAAATTTTCATGGCGGTCTGAGTCTCTCTTTCACTAGTAACCGAAGAAGCCAATTAGTTGCAAAGCCAATCTCGCTTGTCTTGGGAATCAAAATCGACCAAGGGCTGTAGAAATCAATGCTTCTTGTCTCATTCTACGGAATCATATTCTAAAAACATGCGGTCGTTTTTCTCACGCGCTACTTTCTCACGCGAGTGGCTCGCTAAAAGGGAAGGATCTTCTCTCTGTGATGATGAATCGAAATTTGATTTCAAACGACCAATGTTGCGCGTAGGATGGTGTGATCTATGGGTTTGCCGTGGGATCTACATCAGCTGCATTGCTGTCAACTTTCATCGTGAAGAATGCAAAGTGTGGAGCATGAGGATGATTTGCGATCAAGTTCGTTCATTCGATGGCGTGGTGAAGACATGCTCGAAATGTTGATCTCGGCTCTATGATAACTAAGTTTTCATGTTGTACTTTTCAGCGACGCCTTGCTAGAGGAGGTCCTGCAGCTTTTCTTAGCTCTTTAATATTTGGCGCGGCCCGAATAGAGATAAACATTCGTCCCTTGGTCTTCATCGTTGTAGCGTCTCCTTGTTTTCCATCATCCTTTCTTTCTTCACTCGTTGTAGCGTCTCCTTGTTTTCCATTTCTTCACTTCCAGGCCAGAACAGATAAACCATGTCAAAGAAGCAAGAGATCCCCGAAGAGAAGGAGGATGAGTCGTCATCCGACGACTGTGGGCCGATGCCTGTGGCTGAGGAGCCGAAAAAGAAGAAAAGGAAAATCCTCCAGCATGCGGATGTCTACAGGGGAAATTTACCCAATGGGTTGATGTATGAGAGGAGCTTCATGCACAGGGAGCCGTTGAAACATGTACAACTCTTTGTTCTTCTTGTTACTTTCTTTGGAGGATTATAATTTTGACTCGGAGTTATTCTCCGAGAACAAAACACAAAATTATAGAACCAGATTGGGGCGCAATTCTGTCTAAGATTCTGATAATCATCCCCACAACGAACTTTATAATCCTCCTGATACATGAACCCTCTCTAGATCTGCGTCTCCCCCGAAACCGACTTCGTCGTAACCGGGAGTGAAAAAGACGGCGTGGTGAAATTCTGGAAGAAACAATATGAGGGTATCGAATTCGTCAAGCTCTACAGAGCACACGCTTTGTCTTTGCTCCATATGTCGATCTCCAAAGCGGACGGCAGAAATATGTGCAGCATTGGTGTGGACTGTCAATTCGACTCCAAAGGGAAGCCGATAGCTTCGACTAGAACCTGTGCTCTGAAGTACTTCGACGTGGTAAATTTCGACTTGTCCCAGATGACAAAGCTGAATTTCGTGCCACTCTCCTGTGAATTCGTCAATCGAAAAGAAGCTGCAAGCTTGAAAGTGGCGGTGTCTGACGCAAATAGTGGGGAAATTCGGATCTTCACCAATGCATCGGAACAACCTATCGCAGTTTATTCGCAGAGACATCAACATCCAGTGACGATGTTGAGGTACCATCCGGCTTTGGACTGTGTGTTGAGTCACGACAAAAAAGGGTTTTTGGAAATCTGGGACCCAGCAACGGGGAAATGGCCTGAACAACAAGGCGGAAGCAGTTCGAGTTCAGTTAAGGCTTGCTTCGAAATTTCCTCTCTTCCTCGCTTGCCTAGTAGTAAACTGCCTTCCGAACAAGGGCTTTTGATTACCTTTAAACCCTATCTCTCACTGTACGTGTTTGCAGAAATCATTCAGCCAAATGTACTTGAGTGTAACATGAGAGAAACTCATCACCAACCTAATTATACCCACCTCTAATCCAAGCGGCAAGAATAAGGTGAAAGCCGGTACAGCATTTAGCGCCAAGAAACCTCCTCTAGAGAATCGATCTCTCTTGCAGTTTCGGAGCAAAACCGATGGCACTGACTTGTACGAGCTCAACAAGGCTCAAAGCTATGCCCTCGACTTGCAGTGGAGTGCCGATGGCGAGTATTTCGCTATGCTTTGCGCCGATGACCGCGTCCGCGTTTTCCGCACAAGGACTGGCAAGAAGATGATCGAAATCGATGAAGGCGTAGATGTGGTTACGATTGCACAGAATGATCCAGGACAACAGATTTTGCATTTAGATCACTTCGATTTCGGAAAACGAGTAGCCGTCGAGCGAGAACTCAAAAAAGCCCCAAGTTTTGGATGGCAGTCGATTAGCTTCGATGAAAGTAGCAACTTTCTTTTTTATCCGACGTTAGCTGGGATCAAAGTGTTCAACTTGGTGACGAAGAAACTCGACAATTTGCTAGGAAAAGTGGAGTCTAGTGAAAGGTTTCTGCAGTGCGTGCTGTTTCAGGGTAGGAGTTTGAAGCAAGGCGTCGCAGCAGGAGAAAGTGTGGCTGGGAAAGCACGGTATACTTATAAGGTTAGAGCTAGCAGGTACTTAGTAGATGCACTTGTTTGTATAGATCTAGATGAGTCATGCTATAATTTGTCTTGCTTCTTCGTCGCTTCAAAAGCATTCTCAACAGCACCGTAGACACAAGACAGGAAAACAGACTTCGACGAGATCGGAAATGTCGACCACAACCAAGAAGTGCAACGGAATAATTAATTTCATCATCAAAATCTTCAATGTAATTATACAGGGCCGAAAATCGTGACCCGACTCTTTTTGCGACTTCCTTTCGACGTAACCGGTTCTACTTGTTCACTCGTCGTGATCCAGATGAAACGTTGGGCGCTGATGACGTGGGTCGTGATGTCTTCAACGAAAAACCGACCAAGGAAGATCAAGCTCTCGCTCTCGCAGCTGCCGACACTGTGCGCCTCGGCAAGGAAGCCATTATCCATACGACCCTTGGCGACATTGTCATCAGCTTGTTCTACAACGAGTGCCCGAAAACAGTGGAGAATTTTTGTACTCACGCAAGGAACAAGTATTACGATGGCATCATGTTTCACCGTATCATCAAGGGTTTCATGATCCAAACTGGCGATCCATTGGGCAACGGAACGGGTGGTGAGTCCATTTGGGGAGGAAACTTCGAAGACGAGATCCGACCCCAATTGCGCCACGATCGGCCTTTCACGGTATCGATGGCGAACGCGGGACCAAACACAAACGGCTCACAATTCTTCATCACGACTGTGAACTGTCCGCATTTGGATCGAAAGCACACAGTATTTGGCAGGGTTGTCAGGGGAGAAGACGTGGTAACGCGTATTGAAAGAATACCAACAAGGTCAGATGACAGACCGATTCAAGAAATCAAGATGGTCTCGATTCAGATCACCTAGAAAACCACTTCCGTGGTTCTGTTGGAGTTCTTCTAGTGGTCAAAAGTAAGGATGCTATGAAAATCATGTGGAGTTCTCTCTTTTGTACCAGTTTGAATTTGATACTTTTTCCCGAGAACCGCAACCCGGTCTTCTTCCTCGAGTAGTTTCTTGAACAACAAAAGCAACCTCACACAAGCAACGCACCACGTCGCATCTGTTTCTACCGGTGGCCGTGTTCAACTCATTGTGCAACGCACTTCTTCTTCATGACGCTACGTCGTGGACGAGAGAAAAATTAGGGTCAACACCACTGAGAGACAGTAAACGGGTATAGAAAATCGCATTTTGGGTGCAAAAGAGTGCAGCCAGCTTTAATTGGCTTATCCAACACATTCACAATAAAATGCGCACTTTCGCTCCTGGGGTAGCGGCTGCTGCCCACAGGCGGACCCCGAGACGTCGAAACTCGACTATTGCTGTGATGGTGGATGGGATGTCGTGGGTGAAAAAAGTAGCGGGAGATGCAGTAGCCGATGCTGTTGCCAAGGAGAATCTCGATTGGCAAACGCTGTGTGAATTAGACACTTTCGGTTGGAAAGAGCTTGGTGCTACTGCTGTTCAAGCGGCTAAGTTAAATGCTATGTTGCTGATATTGGATCCGTCGGAAGAGTTGAAGAGTTCCCTGAGTTGTATGGAGATGGCATGAGTGGGGTGACAGATGATCAATCTATGTCAACGAAAGAGCAAGATGGTGGTGGAGGAGCATTCAGAATTACACCGTCAATGGGCAACAGAGAGGCTGATCCCAGTGTAAACACGCCACCCACTGACTTCATGCTGTGTGCGGGCTCTTCTCCTCTCCTCTGGTACTTCATGAAGAAATACGCGAAAGGAGGCGCAGAGCACTACAGCTTTTGGTTTGCGGCTATTGCCGAAGCGAGGTCATCTCCACACGAGATCACGTTGGGCATGTTGAAACTTCACATTTCTTAAAAGGCATGCTTTTCTGTCTTTCTCTAAGAAATGTTTCGTCAGACTGAATACCTCGCAGAACCCAATCAAGCTCTAGTCTAAACAAGCCCTTCACCATGGTCGTGATGACCCTGAAGCTCTGTTTTGATGAAGACCCAGTCACAAAAGAGAAGCTTGCGCCAGATTGGGCAAAGTATGCGGTGTTTCCGATTTCGATAGGCCTGCTCTTCGGCGTCTTTATGCCGAAGGTGTTTTGGATGGTTATCGGCGCTACATGGTCAGCTTCATTCGGCGGTCTGTTTTCCGACACTGAAGTAAGGGCAAATAGAGTAGAAGCACCGCAAAAAATCGCTCTAGACAATATGAAGAGGTGGGGGTGTAAAGGAGGCTTTTGGCCGTATGGTTAATCGATATTGTAGTATGAGAATGCAGTATCTTGAAGAACAAGGTTGGTTTCAAAAATTATGATACTGGTCGAGTAGCTCTCCTCAGGAGGTACTACTGCACTGGTTGGCCTCACAAGTAAGTAGACAATAATTGCTACAGAAGAGGCACCATGACATGACATTTGGGCGAGGAAGGTGATTGAGAAAGGGGTGTGGAACGAAGTTGACTCCAGACTCTCTTTCCTTCTAGCTTTGTTTTTGTGTACATTGATTATCGACGTAGAAGTCTTTAGCAGGAGATCCACCAAGATCAACGCAGATAACGCAAAGAAGAAACACACAGATTGAAAGCCATTAGTCGGTTATGTCGTCTTGAAAAGGCAAAAAGTGTGTTCGTCGAATGAGGTTATTTGCAATGTCGACCGTTTTGTCCTGATAATAGGCTATCGGTTGTAGTGTAATGCTAATGAGTTAGTCGGTCTCTCGGCTTGTGTGGACGAGATATTATCGTTAGATAGCGAGCGTAACATCGGATACGTACAACGGACCCTCTTTTCCCCCTACCCCCCTGATTCCCCCGCCCGTTTACTCTTGAAGGTATTGTGACTATTGTGTTACTCTACTTGAAGGCATTTTGATTTCAATTTAGATGAGTTGCTACGTGGTTCGAATGAATGAATGAACGAGTTTCTATTTCAATTTAGACATACAAGAACCTAGGTCCTGTTTTCTAAATCACTTCATCTTCATCATCAAAAAATTCTTAGGGAAAGACAGGTGCGGATCAGGCCGCGCGGCCCAAACAGGGTCGGGGTCTAGTAGGATCTCACACGCTACATTAGTAACTGCGAGGAAAGGTGGATCCTCGTGTTTGATTTAGAAAGGCATAGGCCCAAAAAAATCCGAGCATTCATTCTACTCTAATGAGTCATTCAACAAAACCTCTCATAAGATAAGTAGTATCAAACACGTAGCACTATCATTTTCGTTCGACACTACAAAGATGTCAATCGCCCAGCAAGGTTCTTTGAAGGATATGCCTGTGCCGCCACCAGGCGGCCCAGGCATGCCTCCTCCGGTTAAACCCTCCAAAGCAGTGTCATTTGGCGCAGATAGGCAGGGAACGAAGCCCGTTCCGGATGGCTTGGGCGTGCTCAATGCTGACGTTAAGGCTTACTCATATTCATCTACTTGAGAGGCATCTTTAACGTGCTTCCAAAGGGAAAGATAAGGCAAAGATGCACTTCAAGACGAATATCGGGAGCCTCTAATGATTGGACCTTGTCCATGGAAGCTTTGGAAAACCGGTTGGGTCAGATCGACAATGAAGACGAGCATATGGATAACTTCAAGAAAATTGTCAGTGCGCAAAAGGAAACGATCGATGGATTGAAAGTGAACATCGATGAAGATCGGTACTGCTGCTTTTCATAGTAAGTAGGTGGTCATAGTAACTGCTTTTTCTAGATGCTCATAGTAGGTCATAGTAGGTGGTCATAGTAAGTAGGTGGTTTGTTGAGAAAAGAGATGACAATTGAGATGCACCTGTAGTACCTAGTACGTTGGTTATATTGTTCTTGCTCTTGTAGTTGATCCACCTGAAGAATAACGCTTCTGATCCACCTTGATAACGCTTCCAAACCAACATCAAGGTTAAAAAAGCGCACCCGTCAGCAGCAGAGGTTAGAATTGCTCAAGGAATATGGGCAGGCCGATCTGGAGGAATCTATGGCTCCCCAGGTTATCACCGACCCGGATGATCCGCTGTGGAAACCGAAGCTGTCCGCATGGCAGAGACAGGACATTCTGCAACAGCGCAAAATGCGCAAAAAGAAGGAAGACCAAGGCCGGATTGATACGATTGGCAGAGCGAGGTTTCTGGCGGTAAGAATAAGATATAATTTCTTTAGATGCTGAAGCTGAAGTAAATAAACTTTAACTTCATGCATTAGGATTACGCACTGGGTAGCCGCACTTGGTTTCTGCTAGTTGTTTCCAATGAATGAGTAAGAAATAGTCATTCTCGGACTCTGACCTGCAACTACATCACTCTGACCCACATCACTCTGACCCACTTTTCTAGGTCCTCAACGAAGCCAAAGAGGAGATGTCACGTGCTATGCCAGGAGAGGCAGGAGCAGAAGGAAGGCCCAAAGGCCAAGCGACAGTTCGCGAGATGTTGACTGCTGCTCGGACGAGGCAAACACCAGATACTTATCAAGCCGTATTGCATCAAGCTGAGCGTGAAATGGACCCGACGAGAATGACGATCGATGCGTCAGGTACGTACTAAGGGTTATTGTCAGTGCTCACCCTTATCCATCTTCAGAGAGTCATTCCAGGACCCTTTTCCCCTTGAAAGCCTCGCTAGGATGCTTCCTGAGATGGATTAGGGAAAGCCTTAATATTGATAACGATGAGTCAGTATGGAGAAGCTTTGTACTTGCTTATGAGGACTTTTTACGATGTCTACTAAAGTGCTTGAGAAGCGTCTTTGTAGTAGTCTACTTGTGTGACCCCATTCTTTTTTTCTCCCGAAATGATTGTTAAGTCAGTCTATCAAACAGTTCCACGTCGTCTCTGAGGTATCGATTTGGATCGTAAAGTGGTTATTTTGCTTCTCTCACACTAAAAATCAGGTATCGATTTGGATCGTAAAGTGGTTATTCCGCGTGACTCGGTGCAAAGGGCTGCAAACGCACATCGGAGCAAACAACAGGAGAATGCCCCATTCGAAATGGGAGAGAAGGAGTTGGATAAATTATGGATGATAGAGTAGCTCACTAGTTGCTTTCTCAGGTCGGATGATAGAGTAGCTCACTAGTTGCTTTCCCAGGTCTATTGCGGGGCTGAATGATCATGTAGTACGGTTCTTGAACAATTTGACCTCTTGCTTCTAATTAAAGTAGCCAAGCGGGCCTTGGCTCCAGGACAAAAGAAGAGAGGCAAACGAATGGTGAAGAAGGCGCCACCTCCTCCACCGCCTGAAGACGCTAACAACCCCGAAGATGTGGACCCGAAGTGGGGGCGTGTAATAACGAACGCCGATGGGACAACGATTGTGATGAAGGTATAGCTCTTACTCCTGCTTTGTTGACAAATTGGTTAAGTAATCGTAAGAACATCACCTTAAGAACCTTCTTCTCCTCTCGTGCGAAGAAACTGAGTCCGATCGTCTAGATTACTACGATGGGACCAGTCGGATCAAAATTCGCCTTGAATTCTTGATTCTTACAGGTGAAGCATGAACGTTTGAGTTGTTTCCGATTATCCAAGTTGGAGGAACGCATGATGGAGGAACGGGAACGCTTCTATTTGACGCACCTCATTAGAGGCGTTTCTAAGATGTCGCGAAGATTTGATGATCTGATGTCACTTGTCGGGAGGAGGCTGTTATGATAACCATTGATTGCCCTCGATTGTCACCTTGATTAGTAGCTTACAACTTCATAGTAGAATGAAGAAAGAACGATCTCCAGTGCCTCATCTGCAGTATAGCTAAAACGTTTTCTAAGTTGAAGAATCCATCTTTTCGAGTAGTTCACATTGATTTGCCGCACAAAAGAAATGTACTTATATATACTTGACTCCACGTGACACCTTATTCATTACACATCTTAGTAGCTTGACAAGCTTTAGTTAGTAATCTCTTGTGCCTCATAGTTAGAATACCTTAATAGAATACTTCTACTTGTATTCACCTTTCTAACTTCCATGGGAAAGCGTCTACCAGCTTCCTCTGGTGCGGCGGACGGCCTGGATATGCTTGGAGATTGTCAAGGCTCTGCGGATTGGGAGGACGATGCTAGAGATGAAGCTCGAATTGTGGCTGCCTTAAACCGAATCGCCAAAAGTACGAAGCTGCGAGAAGCACCGAGAACGATAGGTTTGGTACTGCTTACATTTTTATATTACTAACGTGTAACGTTATTTACTCGAAAAGTAAAGATATTATGCGAGCAGCGAAGTGAAGTAACAGAGTCACTACGTTGCTCCCTTTTCAGTATCTCGCTCATTTTAAGTAGTTACTTGCTTATTTCAGCTTATCGAGTTGTTTTTTTTAGGATGATGATTCATAGTGCATGGCTCTTTTTCACTGTGTCATTAACTTCCTTGCAAGATTTTAGAGATTGTGATTCGAAAGGATCTCCAACTACAAAATTCTATGTTGACGCTCTTCATCAATGATACATTCAAACTCCCACCAGGTTCCCTACCTAAAACCGTTCCATCGCGAAGAAGCGCACTTTCTTAAAGAAGGTCGTGGAGCGAGGGAGCGGGAGAGGTCAGCTGCGAGGATCCGAGACGACCGACGTAGCAAGGGCTTTGAGACGCCCTCAACCTCAGAGTCGGATGATGGCAGTCAGGCAGCAGAATCTGAGATGGCTGAGTTCGAGACGAGGCTTGAAGCCCGTATCACACAGATTCGAGGCGTTATTGTCGGAGCAAGAAACTTGTACAAGGACATTGTTGTCGGGGATGGCATCTCTATGGCTCCTCGCATTGGCGATGTGAATAGGGAAGTCCCTGTTCCGGATGGCATGACCTGGCAACGAGCTGAGAAACTAGCCCGATCTGCCGATGCGCGTGCGAAAAGGCGTGGTAGTGTTTTTACTAGTGCCACGGCAAGGGTGTTCAACGGCATGGATCCGTTTGAGCGGGAGTATAATCCGAACCCATACGTCGTGATCAAGGGCATCGATGCGGATACGACGATCTTCGAGCTGTGTAGGACAGAGCCACTGTTGGAAACTAAAGCGCCTTGCTGGGATTTGGATTTCAATGTGACGATTCCAGAACACCTGAGTAAAATTCGCGGTATCGAATTTCACGTCTACGACTACAACGACTGGCTGACGGCGCCGGAGCCACTGGGCTTGATGCCCTGGGATAAAGGAGATTATTCTCTAGGTACAACTTAGGTTGTACTACTAGCCAACGTGGTGGAATTATGAATGATTAGATTTTTCTTGGACATCAACTGGTAATTATATTCACCTTCTATGACAGAACCTCTTTCTCTACTCTTGATTGATGCTTTGCAATGCATCCTTTCCACTACAACTCTCATTCAGGTAAGTGGGTCGTCGATCTGCACAGTTTGTCGAATAATTTGACGCAATCTGACGCCGAGCTTCGTGGTATGAAGCACATGAATGAGCACAAAGGGCGTCTCATCTTCCAAGCTGCTATGGTTAGGCGCAAGATTCATTGTCTGAAGCACCGGCTGAACGTAGAAACCGAGTACGAGTACCTCCGACAGCGTATTACTGGACTCTACGGCATTCAGAACTTGTATCAGATGTGCTTGCCGGAACGCAAGCTGCCGAAGAGCATTGTAGAATTAGGTTTTGTCGAGGCGCCAACGCGAGAGGCAGTAGAGGATACCATTTTAGAGTGCCATGGGGAGAAGTCAAAGCGCAGACCCTTTGACAAAATGGGGGATGACGAACAAGAAGCGGCAGCTCAACCTCCCCAACTTGAGATCCCAACCGACATTCAGCCGCCACCTGGTGCTCCGAAACGGCATCGAGCAGTGATTCGTAGAGACAAAATCATTGCAGAAGCGCTGGAGAAGAGAAGGTTGCAGTTGGAGGAGGAGTATCAGCAACGCCTCGCAGCGTATCAAGCGTACTTGGCGGAAGTAGAGCGAATGCGCTTGCAGGAAGAAGCCAGTGAACAAGAACGGCTGCGGAAGGAGAAGGAGGATCGGAGAAGGCGACTAGGATTAGACGGTGGCCAGGATGATACCTTGATGTCGACTCTGGAGGAAGAGGGAACGGTACTAGACGATGTCACTGCCCTCTCTGGTACGAAACTCTCAGCTTCTCACGGTGATGCGATTGGAGCTTCTACGGTAAGTTCCTTGCTGGTGCCGCCAAGAGTGCCTCAGCGAGTCCATCAGTCAAGCGAAGGCGGTGAAAGCGAAGGTAGTCCTCTTAGTAGAGTGGAGTCGCCTCAATCTGGAGAGCGACCTCTTCAAGATGCGGGACCACCTAGTCCCAAAAAGCTCGATGAAGAGGAGATGCCAGGGATGAACTCTAAGACCAAGGGCAAGTCGATGGCTGCTGCTAGTGGGAATCGATCCAGAGAACCCTCTACAGAATCCGGTGGCGGTGCTGGTTCTAGCATAGATTTGAAGAACCTTGTACGGGAGGGTTCACATGAAGCCGAAGACCCTGCTGTGGCGGTGGATCCGAAGACCACTGCTTCTGGAGCTCCAGCAGAGCAAGCTGGAGGTGCAGCCGCGACTACTTCTGCCTCTGCTGGAGACGCTACAAAACAAGTAGCTGAGCACGATGTTGATCAAGTTTCACTAGATAGCAGAGGCTTGCCAAAGATGCAGAAGGCTCCCACTGGTGGGATCGGACTAGTCGGCTTTCGGCATATTTCCAACATCGTGAATGAGCGCGGTGGCGGTGGCCACAAAGCAGACGAAGAGAAGCTCGCTGCCGCTAACGCATGTTTTGCGCTGATTGAAACCAAGCAAAAGGAGCGGGAAAACGCGAAGAAGGGGATTATAGTTGAGGAGGATCCAGAGAACCAGGAGGGAGAGGGAGGCACAGCTGTAGGCACAGCTGCAGGTGGAGCGTCGCCTGGTGGTGGTTCTCCGCGTGAGCAGAGTTTAAACGCCACTTTCCGTACGAACGCTACTATGATGAAAACGATCTCTCAGTCTGAACTCCATGCCGGCGGTCCAAGTCGCAATACCGGAACTGCTGGCGGTGAGCGGTCTCTCTTTTCTCTAGGACACACACTCAGTTCAGCAGCTTTGATGAGTTCAAAGCATGGCACCACCGGGAACAGGGGTCTGCAGCCATCGCAATCGAAGAGCTTTCTCGCTCAACAATCTAGGACTTTGAGTTCGGCAGGCGTAGTAGAAAGCGACGCAGGGAAAATCAAAGGCATGAGCAGTAGTTCTAGTAGCTCTGGGCAAAAAGGCTCTTCTAGTTCTGGTAATAAGGACTCGGACGAGAGCGACAAGCGGTCACTGCTATCGAGCATTGCTAGTTCGTTCACCAAGAAGAAGGTGGAAGAAAAGAAGTCGGACGATCTACCAGGTTTAAAGGAGTCTTTGCAATTAGATGCTCTCACCAGTCGCATCCATCGCGAACGGAGACAAGCTAAAAAACGCATTTACGGCGACACCTCTTTGCCTGCTTTTACGGTGGTTGTTTTTGGCGTGTTTTCGAATGGTGAAGAACGAGAATTGCATAGGTTTCCTCTCGTCACCAGCTACAACACTTTCGGTATGTGCCCGGTCGACATGCTTGTCGGCGACTCCACCTTACTTGGTCCCAACGGCGCTACTAGTAACAAGATCAAGTACGCTTTGCGGTTGCCCACTACGAGACCACCACCGACCGAGATAGAGATGGACTTGGTCAATACTCTAAAAGAGATTCGTGCTAAGCGGCAACCGAACTCACCGGCTAATAAGATTTTCGCGGATCAGTTAAACCGCTGCAAGCCCGTGGTTGGCGTGAAAGGGTTTGAACCATTAGATTCCGGTATGAAGAACGTGACTCAAGGCCGCTCTTTGGGTGGTATCTACGGTTTTCATCCCTTGGCGGAGTCTTTTGTGATATCAGTGCCAGGCTTGAAAGGCGGAAACGACGAAGAATTTAAGAAAAAGTTCGAAGAGGCGCAGCAAAGGATGCTGCAGGCAAATACGACACGCATGGATAAGGAGAAATCGTCTTTGAAAAAGGACCCAAGACAGGAAGCGAGAGATGCTGTTGCTGCTGCGTACTTTTTTTTTTTTAGTCATGATTAACATTGTAGATTTTTTTACAGTTTCTTGTTTCTGATTATCGAATCTTGGCTAGCTCGAAAACTAACAAACATCCGATGAATGTATACTCACCTTCATCCAGTCTAATCGTTTGTAATCCTTTGAATTTTCTACCCTACCCTCACCTCAGTGCCAGTAGTGAGAACGACGGCGGATCGCCGGCTGAGAGTTCTCGTGCCGAAAAAGAGGCGCGCAAACGTAAGCGCATTCGCGTGAAGGAAAGGCTGAGGGCTCAGGCGGCGAAGGAAGCAGGTGAAAACAGTCCAGGCGGTTTCTCAAAAGATTTCTCGGAAGCACCAACCAGTCCATCGAATAAGAGCCAGAGTGGCGAAGATGAGAACGAGGAGAAAGAAGGCGACAAATCCGAAGGCGGAGAGCAGCTTGGCGCAACAATCAGTGCTACTGGCGAAGTGATTTTCTCTGGCGACAAGAGCAAGGATGCTGATGAAGATGAAGACTACAAGACCTTGCTATTCTCTGACCACGGATTATCCACGAAAGTGGAAAAAGCGTTGAACAAGGTGGACGAAGACTTGCATAGTTTTGTCAATCCTAGGTGGACCTATGACTTCAACAGGGATAACCCCTTTGCTCGTCAAAACTCGACTTACGGCTTCCCCCAATCCATCTTCGGAAGCATCCGGAAGCTGTCCCATTTAAGGGGAAAATAAAAGCATCAGGATGCATCTCAAGATGGATAAGGCTGAGCTCTAATCAACTCTATTGGCAGAGCGCACCTACGCTCGTAAGAATCAGATGGGGGAGGGAATGGTGGAGGGGTTGCTGAACGAACCAACTACGGATTTGCTCTATTTGCGCTTCAGAGTGTTTGAGCCATCTACAGAGTTAATGGAGCAGATGCCATTGGTAACGGCAGCAGCGGAACGGCGAAAAGACCGAAGAAAACGAGAGTTGGATACTTATGAAGTAGACAGTCGATTCTATTCAGTAGAGAAGCTTCTTCAGTAGATTTAGAACTGGATAGTAGAGAATCTCTCAAGGTCATCTTCCCAACAAGAAACAGGGAACATGTTGAGGTCATGTACTATATGAATCAGTAGCTAGAGGTCATTGATGACTTTCGAAACTGGAATCAAGTCAAATAAAGTAAGCCCTCGTCTTCTAACAGCCTTTTCCGCTCTTCCCCGAACACATGCCTTACGATTTGCAGAAACGTGCTGTTGAAAACAAGTCCGTGTACATGCACTTTCGCGGTGGTCATAAACGTTTAGACGGCCTTTTTGCAAAAGAGGAGATGATGGCGTTGGTCGCAGAAAGGAAAAGGCTGCAGGAAGAAGCCGAAGCACGCGATTGGAAGGCTCAGCTGCGAATGAACCAGGTGAAAGCGAAGCATTCCTCTTCCGTTAGCAAGGCGGCAGGTCGCTGGATGCGTCGCGCCGAAAACGCAGGGGGGCTGCAGGACAGGAAGAAGAAACTGGAGGAGGAAGCCGAACGACTGAGGGATGAAGTTACGGGTAACTACGCCAACCCATCTCCAATAGAGCACCTTTTGGCCAGTTTCTACTCGAAAACTCTTTAGCTAAGAGATGTTTCTTCTATAAAAACATGGGTACTTCTTCTTGTGAAGTCGTGTCTCTAACGAGGAGGAGGAAGACGAGGAAGATACACTAGTAGGTAATAGACACGACGAGGGGGACGAGGACTTGAGCGACTCTGCGTTAGATGTGGGGCTTGAAGACATAGGAGGTCGGTCACGCGAGGTTTCGCGCATGCTTCGTAGGGCTGAAGAGGCGCGCCGAAAAGCAGAGGGACAGAAAAAATCCAACGTTATGGTCAGCTTTTATCCGTCTTTCTCGGCATCTTGGCTCCCTTTTGCCTTGTATTCCCATGAAATACAACAAGGGGAAAGGGGTCGAGATGAGGGGACCAAGATGGGCGAAAGCTGAGTCTAATAGAGAGGAGGCTCTGCTGAACCAGCGAAAGGGGCCACCGCAAAAACAACAGGCTGGTAGATCTGATGAGGAGGAAGATGCCTATTGGAGTGTAGAGATGTCGAAGCGGTTGGCTGAAGGTTCACCGAAGAACAACATAGGATCAGCGCCAACGTTGCGGATCGATGCGCAAATGGCTCTAGACGCGGCTGAGTTTTCTAGTTCTGCAGCGGACACGGAGAGTGTAATGAGCGGCGATTCTTCTATCACGGGGGGTCGCGGTGGTGCACCGGCAAAGGCCTTTCCAGGACTGAGCACTATCAAAGAAGGAAGGCACAAATCCTCGGAGGAAGTAGAAGTTGGAGGAGAGTTGGTAGACGTAAAGGCAGTGATGGAGGAGGAAGAAGAAGCGGCAATAGATCAAGGTGATGATATCACTGCTTCCTCGTCTCGTTGTCCTTCTAAAAGCAATACTTCTCCTGACACCTCTCCTTCGAAAAATGACCCTTCTACGACTTCGGCGACTACCATCAAAGCCCCTGCGGTTTCGACTGGTCGCTTTGGCCTTGCTTCCAAGGTTGGTTCATTTTTGAAAAAGCATGTCGTGAAACCCGTGAAAAAGAAGATCGTGCAGCATCAGGAAAATGTTAGAACTGGAACAGAAGTATCTTCCAGTACCACGACTAGCAGTGGCAAGCGACAGCCGTTGAAGATGTTCTATAGTGAGGAAGCACTGAGAAGATTCCCCGGGCTTCGCGTTGATATTACCCGTGGTAGCAAGCAGCCTGACACATCATCGTCGGCGAGGGTAGAAGAAGGCAGCGAAAACAAAACTGCTAAGCATGCGAGTGTAGCATGTCATGAAGACGCAGAAGAAGCTTCAGACACGGACCCGGAACAAGTTCATATAGACCATCATCCTTCTTTTGCTTCTGCCACTAGAATTAGCCCACCTCCTCTGGCGGAACCTCAACACACTTTTTCTTCCTCAGAGGCTGACGACGTCTGGAGCCTCAAGAGTGGCAGTAGTGCTAGAGGCGAAGCTGCTCCAACAGAATTCCTTCACGAGATTCTGTCAGATCTGATCTCGGAATCTTCGACTCGTAGCCCTCTCAAAGGACACGAAGAAGAGGAGATCGTGCTGTTGGAGTCGGAACACAGGAGACCCTACATTTGGAGTAGGAAAACAGAGGATTTTGCGCCAATTGACTTGGTGGAAGAACCTGGCACTTCTGGTATTGGACGAGCAGTTGGATCATCTGGATCATCATCATTTTCCAGTTGTCCAAACATGATGAGCAATGCGAAGAGCCAACCGAGCATGTTTAGTCTGAAGATTGATGGTGGAGCCGGGACTTGCTCAGTTGGATCCTCCTCCAACACAACTGGTACAAATTTGCGACACATGACTCTCGAAGAAAAGGAGCTTTTGAACAATAGAAGAAGTAGAGGAAGCTCCATGATGAGTAATATGCAAATTGGCGGTAGCAGTGGTTCTACAGGTCCTATGAAACGACCTAGAATATCCATCTTCGACGACCCTGAAGATGACGAAAAGAAGGATCCGAGACGTGAAATTTCGGGTTTCTCAGCTACGCGTACGAGTGACTGGCGCGCCAGTAGGGCGGCATATCGCAAGCGCATAAAGTATTTGCCACCTCCGCGAAAAAACAAGATGGGTCCAATCCAAGAAGAAGGAGCTTCAGATCTAGAGTGGACACCACCTGTGTCGCCTAAGAGGAGGCGAAGAACTTCTGGTTCTGGTACGCAAGGGGATGACACTAGAAGTAGAAGAACAGCGCATAGAAGAAGTACTTCTAGTAGTGCTGATGCGCCTGTACAATCTTCAGGCGGAACAAGCCGACAGGTTCTAATGGAAACGCCACCGCTACGAAAAAAGAGCACTCCTCTGGTGGCGCCCCATAGACAAGAAGTTGAGCAAGAGCCTGTACGAGAAGGATTACACTCCATGGCCGAGGAGGACAGTGCAGACCAGAAAAAGTTGAAGGACAAGACGAAGATGGAAAACCCAGATGATAACTTGGCGCCTCTGAAAGTGTTCGGACCACCACCCTTTGTCACTGACGGGGACGTTCCGATGTTAAGGCTACCGCTGAAGCATCCTCAGCGTCAACTTCCTTGGCCCTTTTACTACTGAGTTGAAAAACGTTCACCAAGGATATGACACTCAAGGAAGATGCCAGCGCGGTAGCTCTAACGATGGGCGGCCGTGATGATAAGCGCTTAGTGCATGGTGGTCGAACGAAGATGCAAGACGAATACGAGCACGATGAGGACATGGATCACGAGCCATTTCCAGCCGGATCGATGGTGAGAGTGCCGCATACTCCGATGCCTCAGCCTGACAGGCACTTGCCAGAAGAGGTGTTGCAGGCGCGGAAGTTGCTGTTGCCGCAGATCAGCGAGGATACTAGGGAGATAGAAAGGGACAAGCTGTTAAACTGGCAACGGCAGCGGTACGAGTACCGCACGAAAACGGGGACAGCAGTTTCTCTACAGATCCCAGAGGATTTGGTAACAGAGGGCTTTGCGGCCGAAGACTGGCGTAAAAAGTCAGCGCGACTCTATGGTCCGCCGGAGCAGGACAATGACCGAGACGGGGAGAAGGCATTTCGAGACTTGATCGAGCAGGAGGACAGAGAAAAGTCCGAGATGTTGAATTCAGTTTGGGGCGCTTATCGAGCCACGGATTCCTCCGACGACGATGCCGAAATCATGGACGCTTTCCGGGTCGAGGGTGTCGGTCAACTACTCGCTGAAGGCGTCTATTTCCTCAACAGTGCTTCGCTCCATGAGCCGGCGACCATTGAGGTCGCCTTGTTCCCGAGTCAGGCGGTTGCGGAATCCATTGAGCGCGAGTCAATGCGCGCTTTAGGCGGTGCGGCGGGTGAAGGTACAACAACAACAACAACGGCGACTGGCGCTACTAATTATACCAACGCGGGAACTGGAGGCAGTGGGAGAGACAACAAAAGCACCAATAGCAACGCTGCCAATTTGAGCAAGAAGAAACGAATTGCGCTCGCTCGTGCTCGCTCCGTTGCTTTTGGAGGTCAGCGGTCTATTGCGCGTATGACATTGAAGCAGAAGATTCGACGAGTGGTCAAATTTCCCATCGATTATGGCCGTGAGGCCCGTGAGCGAGATGCGGGACTGGCTAAGGCGAGAACAAGACGCGAAATCGCGCGCATCGAACAAGTGTTTGTTATGGCTTCCCCGCAGTATTCGTCTTAAGACCCCGCATCTTTGCCGTGTTTTCAAGGGTAAAATGGTCAAGGGTGCGCTTCAAGATGAATAGGGGTAAGGTCTAAGGTTGGCACTACTCTGCCGGGTGAAGGCGCTTTGAGGGCCTTCCAGGAAAAGATGCAAGCGAAAACGAAGTCTTTTGAGGGCCGTTCGGACGCCACAGGGAAGAAAAAAGAGATGTTCCCAGTACGCTGGAGCATGGCGACAATGAAAAGCACTAGGATGCTTCTCTTCTTTCATTATGGGCGGCTTTTCTTCATCTCACTCAGCATCTTGGCACCCTTTTCCCCTGTATTCCCACATGAAGTGCAATGGCATCATGGGACGTATAATCAAGGTGAGGGGACCCCCGAGATTAAAAATTCTAGCACACTCTTCTAAAGTCCGTTAGAGATTGCGGGGCGCCGCTACCTGCAGGAAGAAGACATCACACGGTATGTTAGGTCACGAGATTTTGCGCGCAAAGTCGAACAGACGAATCGTTTACGACGGATGGCAAAGCTCAAGGAGAGTGGCCCGAGCGCGCCAAAAACCAACGAGGACGAAGAAAACCAACTAGAATTAAGGGTAGGTTAAAGGTGCTTTTCTTACCGCTTTTTATGACTCTCCCAAGGGAGAAAGGCATAAAAAGCGGGGGAACCCGCGAGCACCAAAAACGTACCTCTAATAGAAGCTGCAAATGCTGCAGAGGGCGCTATGGACACCACCAAGGCAGCAAAGGGGGAGGACGAGGAACTGGGTTAAGGCTCATAACGATTCCTCTCCAGAACCAGAACCTTCTTCTTAATGAACCTTCTTGTCTCAGTTTCCTACTTGGATTCTACTTAGACTATAAAGGTAGAATTTGAATTATTATGAGCTCTAAGGAGAGCCCGAAGTGGAGTATCGACCAGTGACGGAAATTACGCAGGTCTACGGAATGATCGTGAAATGCAGCAATGTCGCGACTGACGCTCGTGGCATCATGGACACGGCAGAGTGCGAAGAGTTCTACAGAGCGCAACAAGGACAGCTGCTGCAGAGCACCTTAAGGCTTTCGCTTATCCATCTTCCGGAGCATCTGGGTAGCTTATGGAACAAAAGCACCAAGAGGATGTTTGCTAAGATGGATATAATGGGGAACGTCTAAGCACTAGGCGCAACGGAAAGCCCTATGATCCGGAAAAATTGGAATCCGAGGTATTGGCGAAATTGAAAAACCGTAGCTCTCTGTGGACCGGTGTGGGCGACAGCTTGTTCCGGAAGCATCGTAGTATGTTTCGGCGAACGAGAAAGACGACCAAGGTGAGCTCGACGGGTGCCGAGACGGTGCGCGAGCATCCCGTGATGCCACCAATGACCAAAAAAATGCAGTGTGCCCATCTCTATATTGTTGCGACGGTTCTAGATGAACAGAACAGACCCTGGAGGAAGAGCGTAGTTACGCGCGTGAACGGTTCCTGCAGTGCGAATGGCTTGGGGCAGATGCCGTTCTTCAACTCAGATTTCATGTTTGCTTTTGGTGGCGAAGAACGCGGGGAATTTGGTGTTCCAGAGAAACTAGAGTTTTCTCTCTACCAAAAGGCCGATATGCGATTGACGGAGGAGGAAATCGCTGAACAGCACCGACGCCGCATGGATAAGATCGAGATTGAGAAGGACGACTTTTTGTTACAGTTAAGGCTTCATCTGGAAATCCATCTTCTGGGAATCGATCCATCTTCTTCAAGAAGAAAAGAGGACCTACGTACAGGATGCTTCTCAAGATAGATTGGATTTTTTTTAGGGTAAGTTCTAATACAGGGCGCGGGGGAAAGTACGGAGATCGGCGATCAGGAGTCACCTCGTGAAGACCCGTTGCAGGATACAAGCCAAATGATGCAGGAGGGAGGTCACAGTAGTCCGCGAGGAGGCGGTACGAGACATCATCGATCAAGAAGTAAAATCCTAGAACGAGCAGCAGGTCAGGATGGTAGTAGGATGGAATATCGCGGAGGCGCTGAGGGTCAGCAGCGTAGTCGACCAGAATCTAAACGGTCCTCTTCGTCTTCTTCTGCCGCTAGTGGAGCTTTTCTCCCAGTCTCAGCTGTGAACAGCCGCACAGTGAGCAAGGATCTGAGCAATGCGAGCCGAGCGGCCAATATGCGAAGTAATTTTAGCTATGGGAGTTTCAACAGATGGGGAGGAGGAAATTCTTCGCAGAATTCGCTGTACCACCAGCACGATTCCTACAACCAACGAACCGGAGAGAGAGACGTGAACTCGATGCGAGGCGCCAGCCGTGTAGTAGAGACTAACAGCTTGATCGGTCCACACTCTCTAGCCGCTCAGAACACAGTCAAGCTGGCAAACTTCCCTGGTGGCGGTGAGGGACGGCGCGTGCGCGGTGACGTGCAGTACCAACCACCGCAAGGAGGGTCCAGTGGAAAAGACCAGGCTACTTCTAGCGGCAAGGCTGCTCTCAATGCTAGCGAGGCAGCAGCCGACGAATTGGCTGAGAGAAAGTTGGGCGGTCTGCGAAAGACTCATCGCACGCGGAACGAAGAAAGGCTCGCGCAGTACGGACGACTCGGGAAGAAAGTGCGGTTGCCGAAACGACCACGTGATCGGAAAAAGTTTTGGGGTTCTAAGTACGGAAGTCGTGTTCTCAGCGAGGCTGGCAGCTTGAATCGGAGTCGAGGTTTCGCCTCTGCTGAAGACTACTACGTCGAAGACGACTCCACAGTTTTTGGCAGTATCCTGGGTAATCGACGAGGAGGTGAAAAGCGATCGCGCTTGATGAATTCTAGTCGAGATTTCGGAAGCTCCACAGGAGCTTTTAGCGGCATACTGCCAACCAGTCACAACACCAGCAAAATGCTCTACACTCAACCTAGCAGAGACTTCTCGAACTACCAGCAAGACGTTAGCAAAGTTTTTCTAGCAGCTGAGCAGAGATCTGTGGGTGATCACTACAGCACTGTGGGAAGTGAGGCAGTGCCGATGCTAAGAGGCGACGACGGCGATGATACATGGTTAAGGGTTACCACATTGCATTCTTCACCACCATCCTTGGCTTTTTTTCCAGTAGGAAAAGGGTCACGGATGATCTGAAGAATGCAATGTCGCAACCTCTAACATGGGAAGAGTCCATTGTCAGCGGATCAGAACAGATCGGTGGAAGCGCCAGTTCTAGTGCTGACGCAGCGGAGGCTAGAGACCGCAAATCTGAATGGTACTTCCCGGGAAAGAAGAATCAGACAGAACGAGGGCCGTTTGCTGCTGGAGGTGGAGGTGTAGAAGATGAACATGGACGAGGAGCAAGGGCGAATGAACGTCGTGGACCTCCACGGTTTCATCACTCTCGTGCGGAATCCCAATCCTCCTCCTCTCCATCAAAACAGCGAGGGGAGGCAATTCCAAAGTCTCTAGAGGATCGTTTGAGAGAGGCGTCAGAAGCTATGAACTCCTATGACGACACCGTTTCAGACGCTCTAGGTTACACCATGGAGAACGTGGATTATGAAGTGGACAACGATAGTGTGCCTGGTGGAGTGAAGAGTAGTAGCAAGAGGAAGGATCGCAAGGTGCAGAACTTCACGGAGAGAGCGAAGTACAGCTTGTCGATGGACGACGACGACGACGAGCTCGGCGACGACGAACTGGAGCAGCTAGAAGCGTATCTGAGGAATCGAGAGCAGGAGTCAGGCAGTGACGCAGAGTTGATTTTGCCTGCTTTTAAGGTTCGCCAGTAATTCAGTCGTTCGCACTACAGGTCAGCTATTTTGCTCTGGAATACTGAGAAAAGACGCGGTTGCGTCTTGTGTCTTCTCTTCTGAGGGCGCAGAGCATCGCATAGCCTAGCTGCTGGTATGCTAGCCAGTGATAGACTTCATGGAATGGAAAAATGGCCTAAGAAATGAATTGTTTCGAGCTCATCTAATTCTTCTGCGGCAGATGCGAGTTTGGATGGCGCGAAGTCGCTGACGAGAGGTGCTAGAATACCGCCATACGTGAGTGGGGACACCGACGAAGACGCGGTGAGCGAGGGAAGCAGTCTAGGGGCTAACGCCAACACGAGGTCATCTGCTCCAGAGTGGAGCACGAGTAGATCGCTGGAAGCTGGTGATAGCCGGAGTGTAGCTGGAGTTCCACGAAAACATACCACCAGAGCAAATTTAGTGTTGAACAATAGGGCTACAAGAGATCGTCGCAACGACAATCAAACTCCACAAGATCATCTCACAGCGGCACAACAGCAGCAACGCAGTGAGCGACGACAGCGCAACGAGCACATGAACAGCAGTTTCCACAATAGTAGAGGATTTCAACAGCAGAAGCAGTTGCCAGACGTCGATGAGGATGGGCCGAGTCTGTTCGAAGAGGAGCAAGGCAGCTTTCATCATGCTTTCAATCAAGGAGAGCCTAGTGTGCTGCAACAGCCGAGCACCTTGCACGGAACAGTGCATGAGTCGTCCTTTCAAGGGTCAAACAAGGAGAACACGGAGATGTTTGAGGAGGATCAGCTGCTTCCTGGCTCTCAGTCTCTGGAAATTATGCAGGAGTGGGAACAGGTGAAAACAGTCGGCAGCTCATGGTTGAAAATGCCGAAGTTTTTGAAGAATCTCCATTTCCGGAAGAAGGGTAGCGCGAAGAGCAAGCTAGTGCAGATGTCCTCAAAACAACAGGCAGAGAGGCGCTTGATGGAGCGTCATCACAATGCACGCTTCGAACGCAAAGTCGGCGAAGCATTGAGAGAAGGAAAAGCAATATCGGCTGTGGTCAACACTACTGCTACTGCTCCTAACGGTAATGGAGGAGGTCTAGTCGATGGCTACAACATCAATCCTCTTGATTCTAGTACTGCCGAAGGCGAACAAAATCGTGGTGTTTCTCGGGAGGGAACCTCTAGTCGTCCGGGTACTGGGGATATCCCGGATTCCTACCAAGATTTCCGTAGTGGGTTTGGGAAGGCACAGATCAATGTTTTCAACAATCCTAGTTTTCAACAATCCAAGAAATCATCGGGTCTACTAGGATCTGTCGACACCAGCGGTCTCCCTCTCGGATTGCAACCCGTCGACCCGTTTGGAACCACCTCTTCTTCGCAAGGTAGTACCATGAGTCGTGTGCCGACCAAATATTTAGTGCCGCCTCCGATGCAGAGTCGTCGTGTCGCTGGTCAAGATTCAGCGAACACTACTGGAGGCAGCTCTGCCAATCTGAATGCTAGAGGAGGAGGTAACGGTGTGGTGCATAGGCAAGCACAGGAGCTACGTCGCATGACATCCGCGATCATAGATTCCCCACAAAAATCGGAAAAGAACCCATTTCAGAGTAGAAGAGCAGAATTGCGAAAACGCAGACAAAAAGCTAGGGGCAAGATCCTTGTCGAAGGCGAACATTTAGCTGCGGCGCCGCCTCCCAAGAGACGGAAAAGGCGTGTTCGCTTTGAAGATGAAGTTGGCAATAGTGAAGAGATAGAGTCTGACTATCAGGATGCAGATGCTAGATGTGAAGCACTAGAGGACGGGGAAGAGGAAGAACAAGAAGACGTAGTAGTATCTTCGATGTTGACATCAACATCTTCAACCAAGAAGAAGAAAAAAGTGAGGCCAGACTTCCGTTCGCGCACTTTGTCCTACTTCCATCTCCGTTCGTTGCGATCCTACAGAATGGTGACACCTTCTACGGTCAAAGAGCCTGCTAGAAGGAGACTTCCTAAGAACTTGAATGTGAAATTTGCTGAAGATCGTCTACTTCATCCTGGAGGTACTAGAACTACACCTCCGAGAGCGTCTTCTCCTAAGAGTAGGAACAACAAGAGGGTCCTCGAGGGTTCGCACTTCTATGAATCGCCGGACAAGATCGCTTATTGTTCTTCAGAGGGTGAGCACGCTGCTGCACCAAAGGCTGCTGAAAAGAAGAAAGCGCGTCAGGGTGCGGGCATGACGATGGCTGTGAACGGAGTGGAGCAACTCGACGATGATCTCAAGGCGCTTCTCGGCAATGAGGACAGCAGTAATTAAGGTTTCTTCCTAAGTATATTAATTCGTAGTAAGGAGAAGCTTCTCCTTGTTTGGCCTCCTTCTCTTCAAGGGAAAGAAAAGACTCGTCGAAGGTGCGTCCTCTGCTCAAGATGAGGAAGACATCATAGTATGCATAGGTATTACGGTCTTCTGTACAGTTCGTTGGTTCTACCTTTTCGAGAAATTTAGACTTTGAAAAACCTCATTTAGCTCCTCTACAAGACGCCGCTCAACCTGTACATCCACTTCAAGAACAGGGCTAGTAATGATGCACGCAATTATTATTTGAAAAGTCCAAGGTGTAGTAAGTACGTCGTTATAGTTAGGAGGTAAGGTCTAAAGTGACGAAGAAGAAGAGGAGGAGGAAGAAGGAGGTTTAGATGCACGACAACGGCGCAAAATGATTCGGCAGCTGGAGAAACAGGAGAAAGCGCGAAAGCTGAAAGCTGTTCAAGAAGCTGATGAAGAGTCCGATGGAGACCAAAGTGTTATCATGGAACCTGAGGACTTGCTGATTGCCACCGGGTCCATGTCTCTGTTGACCGTCAAAGCCGCTGGCTGTTTCGTGGAAGTCGCGATGCAAACCGACAAACGTCGAAAACAGGCGGTCATGGACTTCTTAGGCAAAAGAAATTCCGAAAAGGCGAACGAGGACTATTTCCCGAGTATCCAGTGCAGTCTGACGGTGATAGTTTTTGTAGAGACCAGTCTGTTCTTTCCTCGATTCGCGGAACTCGAGCAATTCGAGTTGCAGAACCAACAGGCGGACTCCGATGATGAAGGCCAGGATAACAAAGCGAATAAAAACCAAGGTGGAGATGATGAAGACGAGAACGGAGAAGGCGGAAAGGAAGGCAAAGACAAGGACGGTAAAGGCAAGGATAAGACGCCTAGTCCAATTAAGGCTACTTAGACCGTGGATTCATCTTGAGGTCTCAGCATCTTACTTTCTTTGACCGACGTGTTTTCAAAGGGAAAATCACTATGGTCAAAGAAGATGCACTTCAAGATGGACGATATCGGTAAAAATGTCTCTAAGACAGGTAAGAAGGTGATGACGGAAGTTCCTCCTCGTAACATCGTCGCTCGACCAGAATTGTACGAGATCGAGAATCCTGACAGACCATTGGACATGGATTCGGACGATGAAACGATTCCGAAATTGATCACGTTGCCAGATCCAGGTCAAATCGCTGTTCCTATTCATCCTCATCCAGAGTCGGTGGACAGAACTTTTTCGATGATGAAGTTATGGTTGAAGTTGATTGAGATTCTTTTGGGAGCTTTGATCTGTTACTTTTTTAGGGTTTCATCTTATTTCTTTCTAGTGTGATTTCATGTTTCTGCTTCTGGCAGTATGTAGATTCATTTGTAGAAAGTAGAGTTATCAATTGTGAATATGCGATTCTACTGCGTAGTATACTAGTGCGTTGTGGATCAGTGATCATAGGCCTTCTGCAGTAGGAGTTATAAAAAGACAACTTGTTGTTCTAGCCCCCCTTCGTGCATACTCGAGTATAGACGGAATCGGTTTGAAAGCCCAACTTGTTCTAGCCCCCCTTCGTGCATACTCGAGTATAGACGGAATCGGTTTGAAAGCCCAACTTGTTCTAGCCCCCCTTCGTGCATACTTGAGTATAGACGGAATCCTCTAATCTTCAGTCGCACGTTGCGTGACACCGACCCAGCACACCGATTCTCTACGCACAACGACGAATGGCGGCAAATTCCCGACAACGATCGCATCGGCTGGGTGCGACAGGGCTTCATCGACCGCACACCGAACCCACGCTGCCCAACACATGAACCTAGCGCCATGCCCTACAGAGACCCACTCGACTCGCCCAGACAGTTGGAGGAATTCGTGCAGTTGTGCGAGTTCGAAGCCGACCCAAGACGCAATGCGAAACGCAGCCTGGTCAACTTGGCGCAGACAGGCGCCTTGGAATTGCAGGACACGTTGCATGAGATCCGGGATGAGCAGTACTTGAATGTGTTGGGGAAAAATCGGGAAGCGTACATCCAAATGCTGATGCAGCGCGATGCGGAGGCGAAAGAGAGGGCTTGGCAACTGGAACTGAAGAAAAACCCATTGCTCGCCAAAAAGGTCGCCCAGAAAAAACGCAGGGAAGCGCGGCAAGCGAAGGGGATACCGGAAACGACGACGAGCAGTTTCGACAGTTTCGGGTCCAGGGGTGGCAACAAGGACAGTCTAGACACGAACAAACTAAGTTTAAGGCTGTAGATAATTCATCTTCAGAAGCATGTTGGAGCTGCTGTCGACTTCCCCTTAAGACGAGGATGGAAAAGAACACACAGCTCCAAGATGTTGAGTCTCCACTACGACCTAGAAAGATGGATTTCTGCAACATCTAAAAATAAGTTCTCTAGGCATGGGAGGATCTCTGATGTCTCAGACTCAAATGACCGGCTCTACATCGCACGCATCGCACGAAGAGTCTACAGACAGTACCGCACCACAGGTCTTTCGAACGGAAGAACAGAAGCGACAGGCAGAGGTCGACCGTGTCGTGAAAAAAACCAAGCTGCCTTGGGTCGAGAAGAAGATCGTCAAGGTGGTGCAGGAGCAAAATTTGTTCCCGCGTTTTGGCAAAATCTTCGGTTCCGGCAGATACGCACGAAGCGAGGACGAGAATATCCTTGATAATCGACGTAAGTGGGTGGACCTAGAGTATCCACATAACACGGAAATCAAGGCGTTGCGGAACTTGAAGAAAGGAAATCACTAGTTGAGTTTGGTAGGCTCACTCCTCTCCACCTCGTTTTTGTTGAAAACAGCATGATCACAAGGGAATAAGTATATAAAATCAGGTGTCCGAAATAAAGCATAAGAATGAACCAACTTTCTTCAACGTTGCATTTGCATACTCAGACCAAGAAATCTTCATCAATGCACATCAATTATTTAAATAATGAATGTATCCACCACTGACTTCTAAAATTCTATCGAAATTAGTCAAATCTGGAAGAAAATCCTCAAGTTCCTCAATCTATTGCTTACGACAGCTGAAGCAGCTCTGCCTGTGTGATTATTCAAGACATGAAAAGATTAAGATGATAGTACTAGATTATGATAGTTACTACTAGATCATGATAAATGATAGTGACTACTCTAGATTATGATAGAAGTTACTACTTAGATTAAGATGATACTACTAGATCATGAAAAGACTAAGATGATTACTATGATAGTAGGTACCATTCCAATGCATGTACTACAGCAGATTTACTCTCTTAAAGATGTTTGTTTTGTCATGTGAGCTCTCCCTTTCGAGAATGAATACCCTACTAAAACTAAAGTCTTCCCTACTAAAACTAAAGTCTACTGTACCACGTCTGAACTGTATTTCGTATACGACGCCAATAATAAGACTACATTGTTGAGACTATAATAGGCAAAAATATCTTGACCACGATCTTTTCAAAAGTAGAAGTAACTAATGTAACTGTTATCAACAAAAAAGACGTCGACAAAGACGGCCGGTCTCTTATCAGGCAGGTATAATTCAACACTCAATGCGGACACGTAGTTGTCGACCAATATTATGCATGACTTCAAAGTAAAAAGATCAATTCGAATGATGAAGATGATGATCAAGACCCTGAATAATATAGGTGATGAAAAGAGACATGGATAAGCTCACTATGTGATGGATTTCTGATTTGTTCTGGCAAAAATCGTGGTCTGAATAAAACTGAAGCAAGGCTGGCATTGTCAGCTATTACAGCTATTACTAGCTATTACGTTACTATTACTATTATTCGAGATCGACCCCATTTCCTCAGATTGATTTTCTATCCCCATGCTTCAATCCAATCAATGTCCCATTCTTCAATTTAATAACGTGGATTCTCTAGCGCCGCTCGATGTGACTGTATTGGGAGTGTAGTTGCTTTGCAACATCACTCCTGTGGGTGCCTTGTTGACGAGGAAGAGATGAGAACGAAGTCGAGTAGTTACAGAGTGGGTTGAGAGACTTCTAAGTGATCCCGACACTGAGAGAATGAGACACTGAGTTAACAGGTAGAGAAAAATCGATCGTTAAAAAGAAGGTCGTTGGCTGGCTAAGACGTACGCTCGTAATCGTTTCAAAAATCCATTCCATATCATTCATCTTTTTGAAAAACATCAACTTCATCATACATCGTTTCGTCTACATGAATCATCAATATTAACCATCTGATTTCTTCGTTCGTTTATCTACTTAATCTATCGCTTGTTTCCCATCCACTACACACATCCTCCACACACATCCATCGTCTGTATAATCAATCGTCAATATAAATATTCAGTACCAGAAAAAGAATGGCGGAGCCCTCGTCCGGCACCGGGTCGAGGGATACCTCGAAAGACCGGACTGAAGGCGGCGGCAGAGGAGACTCAAAGCAGAGGCGAAGTTCACTGGCGAAAGATTTTAAGGCTTTCCCTAATCCATCTCTATAGGGATCTCTCAACAGCATGCGTCCCAATACAAGGGAGACACTGACGCAGATTCTTGAGGGATTTCTACAGGGATGAATTGGGAAGAGATCTAAGGACTTAGGACAAAGCTTACAGGATTTAGCGCAGCAGAGGGAATTCACAAAGCCAGCGTTCTTGCAGGATGTAACTGTCGATTGAAATTTGTTCTCCTCTATATTTGCAAATGATAGTTAGTAGCCATTTTCGTGCCTACGTCGTACTAAAATCTGGTTTATTGATATTTCTTTCCTAGCACGACCGTCCTGGTATTGCATCTACAAGAATCACTCTAAAATTTATTACAACAACCTTCCCTCGTCCGAAGAAATGGAATCCAACCCTCCACTTGCTCCTTAGGTCCTCAATCCAGTCCTAGAAGCGATGGCATTGCAGTATTTTGAGAAAGATGAGATGGAGCAATTGAGTACTTCTTATGAGGACACCGTGAAGCAATACATAAAGTGGGTCCAGGAAAGTCAAAATCTTTCACCACCCCCAGAATACGATGCCCCTGATCCATCAAGAGAAGAACTGCAGAGATTGAGGGATGGTACTACAACTGTCGGGATTTACCCTCATTTTTGGGTAGAGCAAGCACAAGCTATTGATCTAATTATAAATTTTTCGTTCCTTTAAAAGTTGTCCTATACAGAAGAAGGGTAGCCTATACAGAAGAAGGGTAGCCTATACAGAAGAAGGGTAGACTATTGTTGTCCTACTCCTATAGAAGAAGGCAACTCCCAACTCCTTTTTTGTCCATTAAGGTCTACCTGATGATTTGGGTAGTACATCAGTCAGTCACGACTCACTCAGGTATCAAAGAGCTCCAGCGAAAGTTGCAGGACATCGAAAAGATCGAAGAGGCATCTACTAAGCCAGGCGTCGACAAGCTGAAGTTAAGGCTGTTGCCAATCCATCTTTGGAAGCATCTTCCTACTCCCGTTTTTCTGTTGCCAATCCATCTTTGGAAGCATCTTCCTACTCCCGTTGGTTTTTAAAGGGAAAAGAGGAGCCAAGAGGCTGTTGAAGATGGATTTAATTTCGCTTAGTTCTAATGAAGCAAGGAGTGAGGAGATTATCAACAACCCGAAGGCTAAGCAAAGCGATTGGAGGAGCTTCTGGTGGTGGAGGGGGTGGCTCGTAGTTGAGTTGCTACTTCAGAAGTCTAACTTCGCGTACAGTGTATGTGAAATATAATGAGCACACTCTCGTTTCGATTTCGTGCATATACTTATATGCTTATTACATGTGTTGATTCAGGATCCTCGATTGATTATTGTTTAAATGGCTTCTAACTGAGATTCATACAGGATTGATGTTACACTGCAGAGAAATAATGCAAGGTTTCTCGTTTTCAATTTTGAGAATACAGCTCATAGATGTGGTGCTCATACTGTGTGGGGACCGTCGAAAACGACGATAAAGTATGGCGAATCCATTCCACGGAAAAATAAAGATGCTGGTTCGTTGTATCAGAAAGTGTATAATATAACAAATGATACCCAAAAAATACCATACTGACAAAAAAGAGTGGAGGAAGGTGTCACATCTGAGGGACTGAGTAGAACGAGTGAGGAAGATGTCTTCTGATTAGCTGGCCGAAAATCACCACGCGCTCCGACACTAGTACGACTGCATAAAATTATATGAGTCCTTAAAAGTAGGCAGTAGTTGGTAATTTGAGATTGAGTAAGTGACACGCTTATTAGCTAGCTGATAAAAAAGATGCGATCAACAATTGCTTCAATAAGAACAACTGGTGCAGGTCGCGCTTCTACGACCGCAGCGTCCGATGAAAACTTCGTCGGACAAACTTCAACAACCGCACCTGGAGGAGGTGCAGGAGCAGACAGAGGCGGAGCCTCGTCCAAAGGAGGTGAGAAAATTGCAGCATCATCGTCAAGCATCGGCGCAAACGTAGACACACGGAGTTTTCGAGACGACATCTATCATCGAGAGGTCTCAACCAGTTTGCATCTGCAGTTGCTGCTGTACTTCGGCTTTTGGTTCAAGTGTTTCGCTGCTGTGACGTTGCTCTTGGCCGGATGGTACAAATCCCGATGGACAAGTCGCGAAGGACTAGCAATCGCCGTCTACTTGTTGTCTCTGGTTTACGCGCTGATCTTCGAGCCCGCCCGCTACTACCTAGGCTACAGAGGCAATCTGACAGAAAACGTGCCGAACTTGCTTTTAAGAAGCTAACTTGGCTATCGATTCACTCTCAGAGAAGAACGGTTCTAACAAGACAAGCAATCAAATAACTTATACTAGATTTACTACGGCTCACCCCTTTTGGCCTCCCATCATCTGCTCTACAACGACATCTCTAATCCACCTTTTCCTGATCCTGAGCATCTTTCCATCTTTTATCGTGTTGTTTTTTCTGCTGATCGCGCCGGACGTCCTGCCAGAACTGGGTCCGAGTGGCAAATGCCACCCAAGATGTGTACTGCCTGTGGAAAATTATGGCCTATTTAACTCGCGGCGCCAGTACTAGTGGAGAATTTGAATTCCCTTTTCCTAGTGTACTAAGTACATTACTATCACCTAGCGATGCATTACTATCACCACTTACTTGTTTCTTATCCTTACAAGTTCCTAGAGTTGTGTCTCTCCTCTAATCCCAAGCCATCTACTATGTCGACGTAGCCTTTTCGACACTGCAGATCGTATTTGGGGTAAACGCGCTTCAGCGCTTGATTGCCAAAAACACTACAGAGTTCTATCTCCAACAGGATGAGCAAGTAGCGTCTGCATTTGCAGATGCAACCCAGAGTCACACCTTCTCGCCGTCTGCGAGGTTAAGGAGGGCATTTGGACCGGGGGCAGGCGGGGCGGCGGGGTCGTAGAAGGGGGGGAGGGAGAAATGACTTTGTGTAAGTATCAGGCGGGCACACTTGTAAGTGTAGAAGATCAGTGATGTTAATCCTCGTAAGACAAAGACACTCTCTGAAGTTGCTAGTTGTGCACTACAGAATCATGAAAGTGTGGCACCTCCGGAGTAAAGGACTTGTGAGCTGCTCTTCTCGGTACAAAGATAGTTTTCTTTTGGAGAAGACATGGCTTTTCAGATCCCTCGTTGTGTCTTCAAATCGACATCTAAGAAGATCAACATCTAAGATCAACATCGATGGGAACCCATTTTGCGAAGATCAACATCGAAAAGGATCCATTTCAACCTTTTTTCGTTTTCTCTACGAACGTCTACAGTCAAATGAAAATGTTGCATTTCTGCCTTCTCTTTCCGTCCCTGCTACTTGCTGGTGCCGACGCCAGTCGTGAGAATGTCACTGAATTCTTAGAAGCAACGTTGCCTGAAAAGTGGGAGCCATGGCCTCCAGATATCCCGGAAAGCATGATTTTGAGGCCGGTTCTTATGAGCAGAAGAAACAGCATGTTGATGTTGTTGAGTAAGATAGTATGAGTCAGACTGGGTCGTGGCCTCACAAGTAGACACTAATAGCTACACAAGAGGCCGCGCCAGGACATGACATGACTTCTACGATTCAATCATCGCCTGTTGATTCAATTATTAGCCCGGCTGAAATATCCACCCCCCTCCTCTAGAGGTGCTGCTTCCCCAACATTCATCTGCTTCCCCTTCCCCTTTCCTTCGCTCCTTCCCCACGACGTTAATACTCATCCGCTCCTTGTCGACTCTGTACCGATCGGCCCCGACTCCCAGTTACACGCGACCGAAATAGCAGACCTCTACGATGTGCTATTTGAGTTTAACCGCTTGTGGAGCAAGCAGAGGTGGATGGGGACGATAGCCATGCAGAACCCAGTAGATGCGTGGAGCTTGCAAGAATTGTATGGCTTTTCTATTAGGACGATTGCATAGAAATACTGTCAATTAGTTAAGGTTGCTATTAGGACGATTACATTCTATTAGTTATAAGGGTAGGTTAAAGGTGCTTTTGTTACCGTTTGTTATGGCTCTCCTAAGGGGGACGGCCATAACAAACGGGATAGACGAACACCAAAAACCTACCTCTAAATTACGGGATAGGAGGAGTTCACAATTTTGAGGCACTTCTGCGTCCTTGATATTGTTTAGTCTCCCAGATAGTACATGTAAGACTATCATGTGAGACTCATGCTTCTATGCTACGATTGCATAGAAGAAATACTGTCAGACCACGTCTCTACGGTCATCATGAACGATGGCAAGAGGGACAAAAACATGTGTTAACAACTAGTACGGTAAGCATGAACAAGAGAAGCTACAAGTTGTACTGCAGTTAAGGCTACCACAAATCCATCTTCACAGGCATCCTGAGACCATTTTGAAGGGGGAAAAGGTACCAGGATGCGCGCGAAGATGGTTTTCTTTATTTAGTTCTAATCCAGGTTCGTCAGTTCCACGTCTATGTCTATCATCTGGTGTGAGTGATTCTGTCTAACAAGTACTACTCCCTCGTCAGTTCCACGTCTATCACCTGGTGTGAGCTGTCTAACAAGCGATCTTCGACCGTCGTCCGGATGTGATAGTGGAGACTGGGACCATGAATGGTGGCGGAGCTCTGTTCTATGCGAGTTTGATGAAGATGTACGAGTTTATGGCGCCTGACGGAACAGCTAGTCCTGGAGGTGCAGGAGCCAACTCCAACTCTTCAACGTCCGCTGCAGGTCCTAGTCAACTCAGCAGTAGTCCCTCTTTCCGTCCACGCATAATCACAGTAGGCAATCTACCCCTAGACGATGCCAGCTACGGATGGGTGCGAGACGGCGAGCTCGCTTTTGGCACGTGCGAAGCGAATCAAGCGTTATGCGACAACGCCCGCACAGCACAGCGCAGTCCTTTATGGAAACAAATGGTGAGTTTTATTAGGGGTGATTGTTTGAGCGACGAGGTGTGGGACCAGGTGCAGCAAAAGTTGGCGGAATTTCGGAAGCAAAAAGCGGATCTGAAAGTGATGGTGATACTGGACAGCACGCATCACTACTTGCATGTGAGGAAAGATTATGGCGAGCTGAATGGTTTATCTTTTGTAGTTTTTTAGGTCTGCCTAGTGGGTGCAACTGCTTGAGATTAGGATTAAGGGTAGGTTAAAGGTGCTTTTCTTACCGCTTTTTATGCCTCTCCTAAGGGAGAAAGGCATAACAAGCGGGGTAAGCGAGCACCAAGAACCTACCTCTAATAGGACCCTTCGGACAACCCTAAGGGTCAGAAAAGCACCCTACGCCAAACAAGGCTAAGTCGATTCTTCTAAAACGCATTAGCCCTCTACTCCCGTCTCGTAACCTCAGGCCAGTACTTGCTCGTCCAGGACACGCATTTGGACAAGTTGAGGAATATGCGACAGCCTGGCAGCAACTGGGAAGGTGCACATGCCGCGATAAGGGAATGGTTTAGATACTCCGACTTCGCCACACAGAGTTTTAGAGTAGACAAAAGAAGAGAATACTTCATCTATACACAGCACAAAGACGGGTATTTGTTGAGGATGTGACGAGTTACTGTTACTTAGCTGACTTGCTCTTACTTGCAACTAAAGATTACTACATTCCTGCATCGGTCTGGATGTGGATAATAGATCAGAATTATCATGTCTGCCTTGAATCGCATGCATCGGTTGCACATGCGCATGTTTACCATTTAATCTCTTCGGTCGTCCTCTCTGTTGAGTATCCGTCTGTATTGATTGGAAAAGTCGGCGGTTTGGAATCTGTCATATGCGAATGTAGTTGCTCAAGCGTGGATGTTTTTCATGGCATAAACTATCGGTCAACATTGATTTGTACCCGACGAACCTCTGACGACCCCAAGCAACCTAGTAGCAGAAGACGACCTTAGCAACTTGCTAGTAATGAAATTGATGTTTAGCAAGGTATGGTTAGCTACAACGTTTTGGTTATTACATGCTCTTTCAAACTTTCAGCTTCTAGGAAGGTGGAGCTGAATAAGAAAGTAAGAAATCATCAGAAAGAGTGAACCACTGGTAGACATACTGTATTGGCGAAAACAGCCACATCGCATAGGCATATCTATCATAACCAATACTACAACAACGCGTACTTAACTACAAGAACGATCAAAATGTTGAACCAGCGTGATCGCATTTCGCGCGTGCAAGCGATGGAGGCACCAGCGCATCAAACCGACTACGTCAGTGCTGCGCAGTATATTGGGGGCAACATAAAGTGTAATGCTATCCAAACCTACGATCCCCAGGTCGGACAACGAGAACGTATGAAGCCGCCAGCTGGGACGTCTGTACTACCTTCTTACCTTCCAGTCAGTGAATTCGCGAGGTGCCGCAATATCATTCCTTTATCAAATTAATCGTGTTATAATAGTTTTTTTCGTAATGTTGAAAGGCACTAAGTAAAAAAGCCAGTTATCATGACTGTATTTAGAACTACTCCCACTATGCATCCTCTCACCAGATCCGCGTCTCCGACTTCTATAAGCGCAACGGCATCCGATCCTACCGTACAGAAGAGGGGTTTAAGGATTTTATCGGTGTCCCAACATGGACAGAGAAGCGAGAACGAAGAAGTTTGCCTGCGCCACCGTCAGCGAGAAGTGCTCGCTCAGTCAGTGACAACACTCCGGAACAAGATGTGTATCTACACCCGTTTACGCAGCCGGACTTGAACGATCCGCGATTTGCCACGCCAGGACTCTACAAGACCAGCTACAAGACCGAGTACTTCATCAAAAATATTTGTCTTCGTGATGTGGCTATGTACTATGTATCACCTGTTCTAAAGACGAATCAATACTACTTGACAGCTACAAGAAAGGATGGAACCTGCTTTGTTTGAAAAATCGATGATCACCAGTTAAATTGATCTCCTTCCAACCACTTTGAAAACAGGTTTCAAGAGCCAGGGCAGAATCTCGCACGTGAAGCTGGAAAGAGTCATTTCCGAATCGGTTGAGGAAAATCGATTCTGGAATGCTTCTTTATGTGTGCAACGTACTTATGAGGCCCAATAGATTCCTCCAACACGACATATTCTACATAGATACCAGATTTCTTCTGCACGAAGAGGAGTAAAAACACATACGAGGAGACGTTCGAACAGTGGTCTTTCCATGGACTTTCCCCCACATAGCACATATCTACTTCGACCTGAGCTCATTGTGCTCAAAGATGGTGCCTGAGCTCAACCAAGACGAATACGCCACATGAGATGATGAAACCCATAACGAATACGTAAGTGCTGTATAGTGACTTGTACAACGCGAGGTGTCCTCTTCAAGGTGAACAACAACTCACAATTGAGCCCTTCCTCACACCAAGAATGCGAACCCGCATAACGACCGTACTACAACTTGTATCTATCAGAGTGAACTGCATAGAGGAATTGATAGCTGAGGATGAACACACGCGTCTAGGAAGAATATGATTCAACTAGAGTGAGCTTCCCAAGAACACAGTAGATGGTTTTATCTTCGAATGATTTTCACAGTTGTTCGTTGTGTTACTCTGTGAGAACGAAGTCAGTAGAGGCGGAGACGATCAGGAGGATCTCTGAGTTCAAAGCTACATCATCTGTCACATGAGAGAGAGAGACAGAGCATCCGTCTGAATGTTCCATGCTTGAAGAAGTACAGTGTGAGCATTGCTGATAATACTAGGTGGTCTGTGACGAGCTTTGGAGTGATTAGGCTATGCCAGGTAGATTTTGAAAATTGACATTTTACATGACCATTCTGTGTTGAGAATCAATCCAGCTGATAAGTGAGTTCTTGTCGACCAGGATCTGTGTGCCGTGGGAGCGTGCTTAGTCTGGATATCTTTGAAGGAAGCTCCTTTTCTACTGGTCCTTCTATCTTTAATAAATCTGAAAACAGGTCTCCCCGCCCCTTGAATGCCCCTACTCATGATTGGTTACTGCCTTTTGAAGATGTTTACTCATTGACATTAGCTCAAAACCAGAGGAAAGGAGATCGATCTATGTAAATTATTCAATCAAGGAAACGTGCTATCATAGGACCAGCAGGTTCTTCAGGTGTCGTTCAGGTTATATTACTACATTAATTTTTATTTTGAGCATATTATTCTCCTGATCAATCTAGTCTATACACATTATTTTGAGCATAGTCAGTGACGAATCGGAATGCGTTTACCTCACGTTGGTGCACCAATTGTCGATAAGGCATATTCATGTTTTGTTTTGAATCATACGTAAAACTGCAAGAATTGAAAGAGCACTCGTTCTAGAAGTGCGTCATTTGAACTGATGATGTGAATCTACTCGGCAGTCTGCCTAAGATTTCCCAGACGAACTCTACCCGTTACTATTCAGTTTTAATATCCTTGTCTTTCATTTTCGACGGACACGGACTCATACTCTACTGTGTGACATAAAACTCTACTGTGCGACGGTAGTTGTGCATAGAAGTAAGTGTAAAAATGACGGCGGGAATGATCTTAGAATTGCTGAGGTTGAGGTCAGCACCAAGGAGCTGCTGCTCCTTCCAGCACCTTCTCCTCTTAAAGATGTTCGCCTCAATATTTTTAGCTGTCCAGCTGCATGTGGCAACCCTAGAATTCGCTGGTGCTGGTGTCCTCACGTTCACAGCGCCACCAGCCAACGCAACCCAGGTGCACTTGATGGCGAGACTGGAGCCACACTACATTCCAGGCAACAATGACCTCTATTACGCTATGCGCAACGTGCCGCCACCGGGATGCCAGGTACTTACAAGAGGGTGGTCTATCGACGTCGCTGTAAGGAAAAGTAAAACTTTTGAGGCATTATAATACATAGATAGTAGTAGATAATTATGGATTTTTTTAGAGCCATACGTACTAAAGAAGCCTAAAAATAGAACCACGTCGTGAAGAGTCGATACTTCTTTCGTTCGAGAGGTAGTAGTACACTTATTAATTCGACAGCACACATTTAATTATGATGTTTCTTCAACATCTTTCGCTCTACTCTCATCTACATTTTCTTTCTCTCAGGTCCAAATGAATCTGAAGCTGTACAAGGTGTCCGGCGTGGACACAGCGAACGCCCAGGTTGATATCAACGTTTGGTTGCGCTATCGATGGACTGACTCTAGGCTTGCTTGGACTCCGTCAGACTACGATGGCACTCGATTTATCAACGTCCCCGCGACTGAGTTGCCGCGTGACTACGGCGTCATCTGGACCCCAGAGATCGAGTTGCAGAACGGCGTGGAACCTCTCGCAGATTCTTTCAAGCCGTCAAAAGGTGCGAACATTTTTTCGGACGGAAAAGTGGTGTGGTCTCGATCGGGAAACCTGCGTGCTCTGTGTACTTTCGAGGGTATCGAATTGTTCCCGTTTGACATGCCGAAGTGCACGCTGATCTTCAGCGGTTGGTCCTTGCCGAAAGACCGCATGGACCTCATTTTCGACGCGGACACAAAAGGTCTGGAATGGGATGACACGGAACAGCGTGACGTTATTTCCTATCAAGGGTACCAGGATTTGCGGATCCGGACGATTGAGTTAACACGAGTGGTGAAGTCCTATATTAAGGCTCAGCTTTCAATGGTCACCATTGAGATTGGGGTCACTGAGATCGAAGAAGTGACCTCGTCCCCTTGAGAGGAGAACAGGGGAAAAGGAAGGGAAAGGGGAGAGCTTCGAGGGGGGTCCCTTCCGTTCCGCATCATGGTGACCATTGAATGCTGAGCTTTAACTATACGAGTTCGGAATTGGGCGGCGAACAGCAAGAATTCCCGGAACTCCATTACTCGATGGTGCTGCAGCGTGCAACCAGGTTTTACCTGAACCGTTTTATTAAGAGTAGGTTCGTTATTAAAGGTACGTGCTTCAGTGACCTATGCAGGTAGGTTGATAAAGGTTTCTCTTAAGAGTAGTAGGTAGCTTCTCTTACCGCTTTTTGACGGTGAGAATGCAGCTAAACCCTGCGGATAGCGGATCACATCCTAATCCTTTCTTACCGCTTTTTATGCCTCTCCTGTAAGGGAGATGAAATGGGATGATGCTTCTCTTACCGCTTTTTGACAGTGAGAATGCAGCTAAACCCTGCGGATAGCGGATCACATCCTAATCCTTTCTTACCGCTTTTTATGCCTCTCCTGTAAGGGAGATGAAAGGGGATGATGAGAGCGGGGTAAGCGAGCACCAAAAACTACCTACCTCTAACTTTATCTTGCCGCAATTTTTCTTCGCGTTCGCGGTGTTTCTCATCTTCCTGTTCGAACCCGATTTCAACCGGTTGAACGTCTGCTTGCTGTTCCTGTTGGTGCTCGCGGGGTTTGATCAGATCGTTTCCGAGTTCGTGCCACGGTCTGAAGCTCCTATCCTGATGACCTGGATCACGGTTTACACTGTCGTGTTCACGATCTTTGCCTTTATCGAATCTGCTGTGGTCCAGTATTTGTGGACAAGGGACTCGTTCGAATCCATGACGAGCTACGAAGGGTTTATAGAGATCGCCACAAGTCCGATTGAATTCTTCAAGGAACAAGTGCGCGGCGTGTGTGGTCGTGGCTCGCATGCGCCTCAGAGTTACAACCAGTTGCGCAATGAGGTGCATCTAAGAGAAGTTCGCCGACGAGAGCGACGGAAGAAAGGGATTTTGCACAGAGTAAAAGGATCGATTCAGGAGAGCGAAGTGGGGAATTTACTAGCTGGGAGTATTGAGACGTTGGCTAGGAGAAATTCGAGTGTGAATATGGCGAATTCTGTGGACCACTCTGGAGAGCACATGCAGAATGGAGCACAACATCCACATGCAGGAGAAGTAGAAGAGGCAGAAGTGCTAGGAGAAGATCGGGCTCTGGTTGGAGAAGATGGAGAATTCGCTGATGATGTAGCAATCAAGCTTGATGGAGATGCACCAGCGGGAGAATTGGAATTCCCAAGAAAAGAAGCTTCTACAAACGCGTCTACAACGGACTCGAAGACCGCACCTGGAGGTCCTGGAGGGAATCAGGATGGAGACGCACAAGCAGGAGAGATGACAGGAGCAGGGCCAGCAGCAGGCGGTCAATTAGCACAGACGGCTTCGGGTCCCATGGCGCCGCCCTCAGTTCAGACTGCGCCCAGGAGGAGTCAAATGTTCACAAAGAGAGCCGCTCAAACAGGGAATGCGGCGCAACGATCTAGTTCTGTTCCGGGGACAAGGCCCGCAGCAGCTGCGCCCAAACCTCCGCCTCAGCGGCCTTCGATGTTCGGACCGAAACCAAGGGGAGCATTTGAGGGAAGTCACAATATACTCGAAGGACAGTCTCTAAACTTAAGGTTCGATTTACAATTCATTTCCAAGGGTCATTTTCTTCGGTTTATTCCTTCCTAGGATTCTGAAGAAATGAAGGCAAGAAATGAATTGTTTTCCAGGTCCTCTAATAAACAGTTGCTCCAGGTCCTCGTCTAGGCGGGGGTCGTCTGACACAATTAGGCATCATCTATTTGAACAGAATGATGAAGAACAGCAGCTGTCCCACTCTGATACTGAGATGGAGGTGAACGAGAGGATCCCATCTTTCCTTCTTGCAACGTCGAACCCCAACAGCAGTGAGGACAACGCATCTTCCTGTTCCTCTTCTTGTCCTGACTTGACGAATTTAGAGCAGCAACAAGAGTTGTCTCAAGATGAGTACAATAATGTTGACAGGTTGTTGTACAACAACGACAACGAGCAGTACAACGAGGACGACGACCTCCAGGAAGTCGATGATTTCGATGATCTTCACGAGGGTTCACATTCGATGCCACCTATGGCGTCCAAGTCAGGCATGGCTGGGAAGAGCATGGCCACCAACGCTTTGGGACACAACCTTCACGCATTAGCATCATCCAAAATGGCAATGAGCTCGTCTCCTGGCAGAGTGAGCGCTCCTGGGTCTCTAGGAGGAACTAATGGAAGTGAAACCATAGCCAGGAGTAGATTTGGACACGCGAATTCGAAGTCCATGTTTTTGCTCCAGGAAAAGGTCCAGGCTTACACAGACAAGCAAAACATGGAGAAAGGAGGTGCTAAGGGGCTTAGAGCTTTGGTAAGATCAGCAACCAGTGACGGGAATCCCGCCAAGAAAACTTCATCCGCCGTCCTTAACATCCTAGTCGGCCCCAAAAAAACGCAACCCAGTACTGCGGATTTAATCCACCGGCTCCACTTTCGACAAGAACTGCACAGCGACCATCGGGGAGGCGGTAAAGACAGTTTGGCAGAGCAAGACCCGAACCGACACGAGAATGTTGGCGATTTCTACAAGCGGTTTGCTCGTTATCGTCCTCTTTTTGAGGAATTAGACCACGACTTGAGTGCTTCCCTGGGACGATTCGAATCCACCATCTTCGCGAACGTGGTGGAGGCGCATTTTCCTACGTGGACCTACGAGATGGTCTTGGGCCACTTCTTTGACGAAAGTAGGAACAGCAGTGATGTGATCTCTTTCCACATGTACTGCGCGTTCATGGACAATCAGTTGCAAATGCGGGATGCGTCGAACGACACGGTGGAAGCCTACATCAACGACATGATACGACAAATTCAAAGGGAGATTCAGTAATGATTTTCATTTTTGTTGTTGTGGATCTAAGGCCAATGAGATAGTAAAATAGTTTCTTGAATTCTAAGGCCAATGAGATTGTTGTTGTGGATCTTTTCTATCTTCATCTTGAAGTTTCTTTTGTCTTTGATGTGGTATTCTTGTCGTGGTAGGAAGTGATGAGCTTGTGATTTTAATCAGCCTTGCGGTGGAACTGGAAAAGGAAAAGGATATACATGATAGTAGTAGTTGTACTATAAGGACTGGAGACCTTCTTCCGCTCATAATATTCTAGCCGTTCGTGGCACAAAACCTACCTGGACTGTCTAACATTCAGTACAACGAACTAACTATCTCTCGTGGACGATCTTATTATCTAGTCCACTTTTAAGCACTGAGTTCTCCGCTTCAACAAAGCTTATTTCAAGTGAACGACCGCTCCCCTGTCCCTCCTCAGGTTCAAGCACAAATCTCTCCGGAACGCGGCGAAGCGGATCGACAATTTCTGTCTAATTGTGCTACCAGTGCTCTATTGCTACAATATGTTCACCCTCTTTGTGGACTTCTTTGAGAAGTACGGTGAAGGGCGAACGCTTGGTACCTCCAATGCAGATGTGAACAGGATTCTCTAGAGGTGGAAGGACGAGCCTTGGAAAACTTGTAGTGACGGACTATACCTCCAGACTGGGTACGCTACTTCAACTAGCCTAGGAAGGTGGAGGCTCTGGGAGTGGAGGCAGGAGTCTCTAGCCTGGTGAGAAGGGCTGGAATAGAAGAGGAGTAGAAAGAGATATTTGTTGGGGGAGGACGGTCAGTCAAACACATCACGTGATGAAACGAGGTAGGAAAGATCGTATCTGGATAGACATAAAATGAATCAGGAGCCTTGTTTTCGTGGAGAAACACACACGTTGTTAGCTATGTACAGAATTCTTTTTCTTGGTATACTAGTTTGTTAGTGACTAAAAAATGATTTCTTTTTTTATCTATCTTCAACACTCACGGATACGGAAGACCTCAATATCAAACATGATACAGAAGCACAGACTGTAAATATGATTCATGATTTCTAATCCATATCAGTAAATCTAGTGTTTTAAGAAGTGGACATAGAAAACCATAACCACGGAGAAAAGACTACAAGCAGGATTCACTATGTCAGGAACTTGACGATGATGACGTCCATTTGATCTTGATACGAAACTGGGGGCTTGTTCTTAACGTTATTATTTTTCTTAGGAAGACATCCATTGAAAGGAAAATGCTGATCTCTTGTTCGGCGAAGAGAAGGCTGACCACACAGACGATGTGTATGCCGGTTGTGCAACATATTGGAGGTAAGCTGTGTAGGGAAGCGAAGGTGGACCTGGACTTTATGGAGTTTTCTCACACCATGATGGAGGACGAAGTCGGTCACCACAAAGTCGGCTTCGGAATTTGTATCTCTGTTCAAGCTTGTCGGGCAGCGCAAGAACGCAGAGGTGAGCGTTGTAGAACTTAATCGGAAAAAAGGAGCACTTGCGTGTAGCAGGCATGCAAGGGCACGTCTGAGGGCGAGTATTATAGATAAAGGCCGCTTCTCAGCATTTCATTCAACACAAAAAGCCAAAAGATGTCTCTCCGTCACAAAAAAGCGTCTTCCTTGCTGGTTTGCATCCTCGGGAACCCTCGAGGAAGTTTGGAATGGACGTTGGAGCATTTGATCGACGCCCTGATCCGTCCCAACCTCGACGATGGAGTGGACGTCGACGTGGTCGCGGGCTTTCCGCAAAGTTTCGACTCTTTGAAGCTAAGATTGGCACAACAAGCGACGAACATGGCGAGGGAGAATGTTGTGGGAACTGCAGAAGTGGGAGATGCGGGTGCGGATGATGTGAATACCACGTCGACAAATAGAAAAACTGTAACATCCTCTTCAGCAATATCTTACCGCACAGAGGCGATGGATGAGCGCGACAGACAGTTACATGCGGCGTTAGTGGCCCTTAACCAATCGGAAGGATGGAACACTATGTCGTTGAGTAATTCAGATGCTACAACGTTGGCACGAACCAGCGTTATGGGCACCAAAGTAGAGGTCACGGAGTCCGCACAGACAAGACGATTGCTGATGAAAATCGGGTTGGATGAGGTTTTGTTAGGGCTGCTCGTGGGTCTTGTGATAGTAAATTGTAAAGTAAGTACTCGAAAACTGAACATAACCGAGTTACTGACTGAAATACGGGAGGTAACTTTGACAGGGCTACTCTTCCTTCTAATTATGGTGTACGAAGAAGGACGCATTGAGCATTACTACGAGAATGTGAAGAAATTTCACGAGTCTGGCGCAGCTGAAGTACAGAAGCGAGAACTTGAGGAGGATCTAGCTTTCGCAGAAAAATATGAAAGGAACAAGAAGTACGTAGATGTTGTTCTCACCAGATATTTTCTAATGGTAATGTCAGTATGATCGGTGAGTCCTGTTGATGAATGAAAATCATTCACGTAGACAGCATCTCATGGAGGTATTTCAAAAATGACGACATTCCTCCTGCTGGTAGTAGATTGACGAAGGTCCCAATGATCAAGATCCCCCCTCTCTCTCTAGCGAATCTTTTAGAATTCGAAATTGCTTGGCGCCGGCGTTCGGTTTTTCCATGGTGTGACGTTCAAAGATCCAGAGCCAGTGCCTCGATCTACATGGAGAAAATGGACTTGGAATGCCTTAGCAAGACGTCGTCCACACTTCACAGGCTTTAGGGTATGTCAAGAGGGAGCGGAGGCGATTCAAGCAGAAGCGTCTTCCTCATCTAATTAATGCTCCAGTAAATGCATCTTCCCTGGCATCTTGGTCTCGTTTCTCAAGGGAAAACGGGAACCAGGATGCTCACCAAGATGGATTTATGCTAGGTCTAATCTAAACACGCTTTCAAAGAACGAGCAGCAAAGCACAGCAATACGACCCTCCCAGAATGGGATTGGACTGTAACGGTCAGGCCAGACTTGCTCATGCTGCCACGAGCTGCTATCAAAAATCGAAGACAACACATTCGCGAAGAGCCTATTCATGATATGCGTGGGGAGCTTTATTTACGGCCAAGGCAATTGGTTGAAAAATCGTGGGGCTTACGGGGACCGGATATCAGGAGGAGCGAAAAGAAGGCCGTCCCTGATGATGAACCAGACGGTTAAGGGTTACCCCATTGCACTCTTCACTACCATCCTTGGCTTTTTTTCCATTAGGAAAAGGGCCAGGGATGATCTGAAGAATGCAATGTCGCAACCTCTAAGACGGTGAATTGAATCGAATAAAGGACACTGCTGGCCAACTGCGAGTGCAGTTATTGGATGCTAGGAGACAGCAAGTCTTCTTGCCCATTTGCCAGAACTTTCCGATTGCTCACGTTCGTGGCTGTCCGGAAGACAAGCTATTTGTGCTGTCTTTATGGATCATTTCAAATCGTTCTAGAAGTCTAACTTACCTCCATGCATCAAATACTAGGTCTTTGACTTTGTCTTTGAACTCTTCTTCATGCTATAATTGAGATGGTTAACTCACGAGTCAGTTCTAGGGGCCGCGGAAGAAGCAAGAGAGTCAGTCAGGCGAAGCTGCAAGAGCACTCTACTTTATAAATTATTTTGTTGAAGCCCAAGCAATCATGAAGCAGCGTCTAAGTGGATACGGAGTCGCAAAAATCGTATGGCGATTGCTTGGGCGTCTATTTGAAGAAACCTGGAGAAAGTTTCCTAACGTAGACGCCACTGGGGTTGAGGCACAGGTGATTTTTCCGAGTCGCCCGTTGCTTAAGTTATGGATGTGGGGTGGGTGGATTAGTTTCTTTTTGTGGTAGGCTCTGGAGGGGATCAGTCATCAAGGGCGCTAAGACGGAAAAGAACTTGGGACAAGGAAATTAGCGCCGGCCCCTTCTCTAGCCCTACTTGACCATTCTTGCTCAGAGGTACCCCTCGCTCTCTAATCAAAGGCGCAAACTGGTGTGCAGGCGGCGCAGACGCGAACGACTTTCATCTTTTGGGCGATCCTGGAGTCAGGAGTGGGTTTTTCCCGTCCTACAGAAGTACATCAATCGCGTACACATTTGCGAAGATGATGGTCTGTGCGGCGCAGACAGGGACATGCGTGCATACGCACGCAGCGCGAGAGGATTACGCAGACGCACCGTTGGCACAGATTTTCGCAAGGCCTGACTTATACTTGGAGGAGTTGAGTTATGGATGGAAAGACGACTCTTGAAGATGGGCGAGAAGGTACATGCGGGCAAGTGTCTGGAAAGAGTAAGTAAGTAATCTACTTCTTAGCACATGCACATGATTCATTTTTCTTCTCTAATGCACACCCCATCGCCTCATGGAGAGCATGATACGGAACAGAATGGTACATGTCTCAGAAACTGCAGAAGCTCTGGTTAATGCTTCCATCGAAGAAGCTGTAGGTGGACTTGTAGAAAGAATTTCCACAACTACTCCCAGAAGTAGTAGAAGTAGAACAAAGCCGGCACAGATGATAGGCGAAATCTTGGAGCGTTTCCGGAATGAGCTTGGTACAAGGGAATGGAAATCACCGATTTACTCATTTGCCGGCTTTGGCTATGTCGATCTGCCTTTTGCGCTTCTGCGCCGAAAGAAAGAGGGTCGAGGAGCATGCTGGGACGCTCTAGGGATTCGAGGCACTGGCAAACTGATGGGGTGTGGATTTGTGCACAATATGTGTAGACTTCATCTGGGGGGAAGCGTTTTAGAGGATAGAGAAGCACAATGGGGGCAAACGCAAAGCAGTCCTCTTGCAGCCTCTAATCGTGTTGATAGTTCTACTAGTAGCGCTAGTTCGATCCCACCGCCATGTGACTCCGAAGCGTGTGAAAGGCCAGAGGCAAGATGGAGTGGGTGTGTAGCGTCGAAGATGATAATGCAACAGACGGTGGATTTGCTAAGGATTTCACATGCATTGAACTATGCTGAGTACGGCAATGTGCCAGGTGGCGGATAGCGATAGGTCGTGAATAAGAGAGAGTTTGCAAATCAAGCACAGGAGGTGATTGGAATTTCGTTTTGCGCGCAACCGAACAAAGAAATATGGAAGAGATGACAAGAGTTTACTCCGATTTTGTCGACGGGATGTATGGTGGATGAGGAAGAGTGTTGGTCAGTCAAGAAAAAAGTTGGCGCAAGCCAAATTCGGCTCCGAGCACGCGTTGTAAAGGGTACGGCGAGAGATCCACCTTGTGTTAGAGTTAGTGTTAGATAGAACACAGAAAGTACGAGTATGAATTGGTCTTGTACGAACTCATGTCATGCGCGCATCTTCGGTTTTTCTTGACATCTTCGAGCAAAATAACACCGTTGTATCTACAGAAAATATACTTCAGTAGTTTTTTTTCTCGATATTTCAATCCCTGTTCGTTCGACCAGGACCATGTCACGACTCTGCTCTACTAACATCCCCTGCGTCAGCCCGCACGGTAAGCGGGTCCCAATACTCATTCAATTCTCCTCTCAGCTCCCCCAAAATGCCCAATCCTTTTTTCGATAGGGCGAAATCGAAAATTCGACTGTTCTCCACTATTCTTTCTTCGTGTACTGACTTCGGAATGAGGGCTAAGCCCTTCTCCAGGCCCCAACGCAGCAGCATTTGTCCTATTGATACTTCCTTTCTTTGAGCCACTGTACTGTTCTTGGAACCCTCATCTTGCTGAACTGCAGTAAACCACCCACTGTCGATGGGAATAGTGTTTTGCGCCATACCGCCAAGCTGGCCTGCTAGCATTTCAGTCAATCTGCCTGAAAGCAACGAGCCGTAGGCAGAGATGTTAGAATTGGTACTGACCTAAAGCAATTCATTGCATTATATATAGCACGAAGAGACAGAACAAAGACTGAATCTGCAGCAGCAATACAATGCAATTAATCTCGCACAGTTTTCAGTGCAGACTGCCGCGCGGCGTCATAGTGTTTCTTCACGATGCTTACTCACACAGGTTTTGACTAAACTAACAACGACAGGGAACTGAGGAAAGAAGTGACAAGAAACTTACTCAAGCGATACCTTTAAGCAACATGCCCCGGCATTTTCGCCTTCTTCCTGAGCTTCTTCTTCTTCGATTCATATCATTACTTCCTGAACAAATCTTTGCCTTTCCAGCCATAATGATAACAATCTTGTGCTTTGCGCAATACTCAACTACGTCTTGCCGCTCGTGATAGTTGAGAGGATGTAGTTCTATCTGGTTCACGTCAGGTAGTTCGCGCCCATGCTTCTCTAGCAGTTGAAAATGCTGCACGTTCCAGTTGCTAACGCCTATGGCACGAACCTGGAAGACAATTGATTTGTGGCGACGTCTGATTCTGAGGACAATAAGTCCTTGTTTGACAGAGCTAAGTTACAGCGAGAAAGGCTTTGTGTTTGAAGACCGTCTTGCATGCCTGCTACAATTTCAACTTCTTTTTTTTGAGGACTGATATCTTAATGACTGTTTCGGAGCATAGAAGGAGAACGAAGAAGGATGAGAAGAAGGTAACTCGTTTGGATTTATCAGACCTGGACGAATTATCTTATCCCTCTACTATGCAAACCCCAAAGAATTACCTTCTTCTCCTGCTTCAATTTCAACATTGCATCCCAAGTCTCTACGAGCTTGCCTCGATTCGGAGAATGCATCAGATAAAGGTCCACGTAATCTAAATCAAGCTTCTTCGCGCTTTTTTCGAAGGCTGCAAGTGTCTGTTCGTAGCCGTGATCACTGTCCCACAACTTTGTTGTCACGAAAATGTCTGAGCGTTCTGCATGAGCGTTAGAGGCTTTTACTTTTCACGACTGTGTTCCCACTCCAAGTACGTACTTACTCTCCCACTGAAATTGTTATTTTTATTACTGATCATCGATGGATTGGCCCTACTTCTGATAACCACCTTACTGACAACTTCTGCGTCTTCTAAAAAAAAAATTTTTACTCCTGAAAACCATAACTACCGTTGGATTACTCGCACCACTGGAAGGCGTCAAAAATGCTTTCACAGCCCGTCCCACGTCCGCCTCATTTCGATACAATGCTGCGGTGTCAATCAGACGATAGCCATGTGCCAATGCTGTTGCTACTGCTTCTTGCGTCACGTAGCCTGGAGGAATCCTGTAGGTTCCGAAACCAAGCTTCGGCATCAAGATACCGCTACTGCGCAGTTGGAAAAACATTTTGCGTTTGTTTGTTGTGCAGTGAGAGCGATGAAGGCGAACTCTACCCGACTAAATTGAATTACGACCACAAACACAAAGACCACAAAGCACAGCTCTAGAGGACTGTAACACTTACTCTACTCAGAATTCGCTACGTCACTCCTCTCCTGCCTGACCCTGATACTTGCTTTTTCAGAATACCGACCACAGATTGAGCTTCAGCAGGGCTCTGGTGACATCAACAGCAGATCATGAGTGCTCATCGATGAATAGTCAACACGCACTTGGATATGAAGGAGAAGGACTATCTTCGTGTCCCATGAGCAAGAGCATGACCTCCGCTCCTTTCATTTTATTTCAAGTTAGAATTTGAGCCGTTGCTGTTCGTACTTACTGCAGGTTTTTTGTGCGCAGAATCAGCAAAGCACATTGTGGAAGTGGACCATTTTCGTGGACATCTAATGATTGAATTGCCTCAGACGTATGCCTCAATGTTGCGCGGGGTAGTAGTACAAAATACCTCAAGGTGCTTGTCCTCCTTCAAATTCAATCAATGCCCTTTTGGTTGTGCGATATTGAACTGTTTTATTGCCTTTGGCTCTAGAAGTCTACTACACTGAGGTTTTTCTTTTTCATTTTTTGCGTGCCTTTATATGCGTTGAAAATTCTTGAAATTAGGAAAACAGTATGCTTCTATGCGAATGTTGTTCTAGTAACTCATTCTATCCAGATGGTGTCTATCTTCGAAGAATTATACAACTAACGATGAGGACTCACTACAAAACTGAGTCCTACAAACATTGATTCAAGAGCAGAATAAAATCTTTACTTCGCTTTGCTTTCCATTAGTTGCTTCAGTTCGCCGTGAAGTAAACTCCACGATATGCCATCGAAGATGGAAGACAAATCTGAAAAAAAAAGTAGTCTACATCATTAATTATGATCCTTAATTATCGTTATGTTTGTAGTTGCCCGTCCATCACTATGCGTGACAAATTCATGGACTGGCTGCTGGATGATTCCTAGTAGGGTATATTATAACCATTCATCATCGTAATCTCCTCCCCCCTCGTCCTTGTCACTTCTTTAAAACCCGAGTACAATCAAAACCTGAATTCAAAAACTTCTCATCATATCACTTCCGACGTCTTGATGTTCGCGAGCTCAAGCATGCATTTTATTGACTTTCTTAAATTCTTTCTTGAAGAAAGGAGACTTTATTCTTACAACTCAGTTACTGAGCATTCTTACACCTGACCACCCATGTTGCTCTCACGATACCAACCGGACTCGAAGCCACGTTCGGCAGCTGTAGTCTTGTAAGTACGTTCCGGAACCGGCGCGTGCTTCTTCTGAGCTCCTGCGCCCTTCTGTCCCGGGGCACCAGGCATAGCGGAAGCGCGGTACCTTGGTTGTTGGTGTTTAGTTGGAATAAATGCGACAATACTAGGACAACAAGAATTTCAAAACTCTACTAGGACTACCACTAGTGCTAGTAAAGTGTCTTGTTCGAATCCATGTGCAGCTAGCACGGAGGTTGTAGGGAAGAGAATAAGAAAGTACCATCCCTCTTCAAATCCACGCTCGGCTACGGTGGTTTCACGACCAGTCGTGAAGACACCGGCGGCCCCACTCTTGGCCTTGTTGTCACGCTCACTGCAGCAGACGTTGCCCATTTTGTTTCTTTTGTTGTGGTTTCGAAAGAGACCAATCGAGTTGAGTTGTAATGAATCTAGGAGGTTGAAGGTCGTTGCTTTTTAGGTAAGCTGAAGAGCAGGTGGAAAGCTGTGTGACTTGGAGATGTCTCTAGCTCTGCCTTGCGTGCTGAAGAACTTTGTAGTTTGATTTTGAAGATTGCTATGTTAGGGAATACACGAAAATAAAGATGGATCAACATGAACGGGTGGGGAAAAATGTGAGTAACACAGCCATCCATGCATCAGATTTGATTTGGAAGAGAGTCAGGAATGACAGCATGTTGGTTGAAAAAGCCTCAAGTGACAACACCAATTTATCTATCGCACTCCAGGTTTTTTTAGCATGAACTAAGATCAACTCAACAAGCCAAATCAAAAGCCGTTCTTCAACAGAGATCAATTCAATCAACAGAAATTTCAACAAATCAAAAGCCGTTCTTCAACAGAGATCAGTTCACTCAACAGAGATCAATTGAATCACCTCACCTTCTTGCTGATGCACTCATCTGGGCATGATCTTTTTCGCTCCTGCTCGCTCGTGCATCTTGCTCTTGGATGAGCCACTCAACCAGATATGCAAACCCAAACGAACTACCTTCTTCTTGAAATTCCTTGTTTGACAAAGTACAGCGAGAAAGGCTCTACGACCTTGCCTCGATTCGGAGAATGCATCAGATAAAAGTCCACGTAATCTAAATTCAGCTTCTTCGCGCTTTTTTCGAACGCCGCAAGTGTCTGTTCGTAGCCGTGATCACTGTCCCACAACTTTGTTGTCACGAAAATGTCTGAGCGTTCTGCATGAGCGTTAGAGGATTTTACTTTTCACGACTGTGTTGGTGTTCCAACTCCAAGTACGTACTTACTCACCCACTGAAATTGTTATTTTTTACTGATCATCGATGGATTGGCCCTACTTTTGATAACCACCTTACTGACAACTTCTGCGTCTTCTAAAAAAAAAATTTTTACTCCTGAAAACCATAACCGTTGGATTACTCGCACCACTGGAAGGCGTCAAAAATGCTTTCACAGCCCGTCCCACGTCCGCCTCATTTCGATACAATGCTGCTGTGTCAATCAGACGATAGCCATGTGCCAATGCTGTTGCTAGTACTGCTTCTTGCGTCCTCACGTAGCCTGTAGGAACCACTACTGCACAGTTGGAAAAAGATTTTGTGTTTGTTTGTTGTGCAGTGAGAGCGAACTACTTGAGTCTCGACTAAATCTACGACCACAAAGCACAGCAGCTCTAGCAGATCTATGTGAGTCTTGCCTGATGACGTTAGTCGATTCGGACTGGACCTACGACTTCGATGTGAGTCTTGACTAAACACTAGAACTATGCGACTCTAGAACTACGACTCTAGACTTCTGTCTCTTAATATTCGACTCAGCAGTAGAGGTCGCTACGTCACTTCTCTGCTGCGTGCCCTCACCAGAAGATGTGCTCGTCGAAGAACAGGTAACACACTCCGGGATATGAAGGACAATCTGCGTTCTGTCCCGTTTAAGGGTTACCTCCTCCGCTTCAGTTTCATTTCTATTTCAAGTTATGGAATTTGAGCCGTTGCCGTTCGTACTTAGTGCAGGTTTTTTTGTGCGCAGAATGATTCGCAAAGTACATTACGGAAGTGGATCATGTTCCTCGTGAACATCTACTGATTGAATTCTTGCCTCAGACTTATGCCTCAATGTTGCGCGGGGTAGTAGTACAAAATACCTCAAGGTGCTTGTCCTCCTTCAAATTCAATCAATGCCCTTTTGGTTGTGCGATATTGAACTGTTTTATTGCCCTTGGCTCTAGTCAGTCTACTACACTGAAGTTTTTCTTTTTCATTTTTTGCGTGCCCTTATATGCGTTGAAAATTCTTGAAATTAGGAAAACAGTATGCTTCTATGCGAATGTTGTTCTAGTAACTCATTCTATCCAGATGGTGTCTATCTTCGAAGAATTATACAACTAACGATGAGGACTCACTACAAAACTGAGTCCTACAAACATTGATTCAAGAGCAGAATAAAATCTTTACTTCGCTTTCCATTAGTTGCTTCAGTTCGCCGTGAAGTAAACTCCACGATATGCCATCGAAGATGGAAGACAAATCTGAAAAAAAAAGTAGTCTACATCATTAATTATGATCCTTAATTATCGTTATGTTTGTAGTTGCCCGTCCATCACTATGCGTGACAATTTCATGGACTGGCTGCTGGATGATTCCTAATAGGGTATATTATAACCATTCATCATCGTAATCTCCTCCCCCCTCGTCCTTGTCACTTCTTTAAAACCCGAGTACAATCAAAACCTGAATTCAAAAACTTCTCATCATATCACTTCCGACGTCTTGATGTTCGCGAGCTCAAGCATGCATTTTATTGACTTTCTTAAATTCTTTCTTGAAGAAAGGAGACTTTATTCTTACAACTCAGTTACTGAGCATTCTTACACCTGACCACCCATGTTGCTCTCACGATACCAACCGGACTCGAAGCCACGTTCGGCAGCTGTAGTCTTGTAAGTACGTTCCGGAACCGGCGCGTGCTTCTTCTGAGCTCCTGCGCCCTTCTGTCCCGGGGCACCAGGCATAGCGGAAGCGCGGTACCTTGGTTGTTGGTGTTTAGTTGGAAATGCGACAATACTAGGACAACAAGAATTTCAAAACTCTACTAGGACTACCACTAGTGCTAGTAAAGTGTCTTGTTCGAATCCACGTGCAGCTAGCACGGAGGCTGTAGGGAAGCGAATAAGAAAGTACCATCCCTCTTCAAATCCACGCTCGGCTACGGTGGTTTCGCGACCAGTGAAGACACCGGCGGCCCCACTCTTGGCCTTGTTGTCACGCTCACTGCAGCAGACGTTGCCCATTTTGTTTCTTTTGTTGTGGTTTCGAAAGAGACCAATCGAGGAGGTTCGAGATTGTTGCTTTACCTTTAGGTAAGCTGAAGAGTAAAACTTGTCTGGGTGGAAAGCTGTGTGACTTGCAGAAGTCTCTAGCTCTCGCGCGCGGAAAGTTGTACTTGATTTTGATTGCTATGACGGCAAAGAATACGAGAAAAACATCACAATAACAATATCAACGGGTCGCGGGAAAAAAGGGGTCGTCGTAACACAGCCATGCATCATGGAACAGATGAGTGAGATTGGGAAAGAGTCAGGAATGACAGCTAGTCAAATCAAACGCCGCTCAACAAACAGAGACCAATTGTCTCCTCTCCTACAGAAATTCCTTCACCTCATCTTCTTCTTGCTGATTCACTCTGGACATAATCTTTTTCGCTCTTCCTCGCTCGCGGGTGCATGGGTCACAGAACTGCAAATAAAACAGCCACACTTACAAACAAACTTTCAATTAGCAAGACTTGTGATGATGAGTGTGGTTACTGCTATCTTGGGTCGTATATGGTTGCAACGACTTTTCTCACCATTCAACAGAGAATTTTGTTTCGCTCAAACAGAGACAACTGTTTTTCGCTCTTTTGTAAATAGTACTTCGTTACAAGTATCCATGAGTGTATTGGAAGTTTTTGTGCGATGGATTTATTAATCTAAAAGAACGTCCTGATAAATTTTTTTAAATAAATCACACATACAACTGCTTGTTAGATACTGTTTGTTATAGTACTATTGTATTTCAGATAGAATTTGTTCAGTTACATCACTTACGAACATACTGTCAGATACTGTTTGTTATAGTACTTTCGTATTTCAGAAGATAGAATTTGCTTAGTTACATCACTTACGAATCAGTCAAGAACATATTCGATATAAAAATAGATACTCTCTCATGGTTGTACATATTTATTCACATACTTAGATAGTAGAAGACCTAGGCTTAGATATCAGTTCCTTCCGGAGAAAGACAATGGCGCGGATCAAAATCATAGTCTTTTGAAGCCCTCGATGTTAATTTGATACGTAGCGTACCTCGAAATCGAAAACAGCATCTGGAAGCTGATGGATTGTGTTTCTGAGTCCGACTTCGATCAACCACCCAATTACTAACAACCCGCCTCTCTTCGTTGTATCCTCTTACTCCTCCGTGGTCTCGTATCAACATGGTCCTAGGATGATAACACCGGCTATCAGCCCCGCGAGACAACCACTGGCGAATGCGATGGCATCCTTAGAGGACGAGGTCTTCGGATTCATATATTTTTATTTTGAACTATTCACGACAACGCGTGTGGGTGTGTTTGCTTTTGAACTAGTAGATGAGAGCCAAGTAGCACGGGGGGATAATCAATATCAACGCTGTAAATATTGATTATGAGGTGTAGCCCAGATATTATGACCACTCCTCCATTATCTTTAGTGCGTGCATCAAGGTCATCTCGTGTACCAATTAGCGACTTAGAGGCCATAACAGGACTCACCGACAACACCGATGCCGCTTCCACCTCTTCTTCCTCGTCAATTGAGCCTGCTAGAGTTCCATTAAAATCGTCAGCCATCCTTGAGCTATTCGCTGCCACGATCATCGTCCTCGTTGTAGTTTCCGTCGTAATATAATCACCAACTTAGGGCCCGCGACCCTAATCCATCTTCGAATTCATCTTTCTAGGATCTGTTTCTGCCTCTGGGGCAGCTTCATCGAGATGCTTCGGAAGATGGATTTTTAGGGAGCACCTTAATCAACGCTCATCTGTCGCGCAGACAGGTCGGTGGAATTGCTACACACACCAAGAGAGGGAGATGAACAGAGCGAGGCGCGCAAAGCGTCTGCGAATTTGCCCTGACGGGCTGCTTCTTGGAGCTGTTCCGCAGATGACTTGGCTTCATCCAGATCTTCTGACTTGGAGGTAATCGCGCTGTGAAGAACAAACTCCATTTTTTGGGTGTTTGCTTTCTCATTCCTCAGTATCTGTTCCATTTCTACTAGAGTACTTCTAGTACTGCTTTCTTCAGCATCTTGAGCTAACGCTTCTTCCATCTGGACGAAAACGGATGCTGAGAGCGAAAGAGATGACAAGTTACTTCTAGAAGAATCTGTCGCGTTTGCCGATCCCGTCACACTCACAGTACTAGAATTTGATCCTCCATTACCCGTTGCAAGAGGCGCTGTAGTCGTCACATTTGCGCTACCTGACGAGGCAGGCGTCGAAGTCGTCGCATTTGCACTCCTTGAAACAGGCGTCGATGTTGTCGCATTTGCACTCCCCGAAACAGGCGTCGAAGTCGTCGCATTTGCACTCCCTGAAACAGGCGTTGATGTTGTCGCATTCGCACTCCCCGAAACAGGCGTCGAAGTCGTCGCATTTGCACTCCCCGAAACAGACGTTGATGTTGTCGCATTTGCACTCCCCGAAACAGGCGTTGATGTTGTCGCACTTGTACTTCCCGAAACAGGCGTTGATGTTGTCGCATTCTCAGTTGTATTTCCTGGCTTGGTGGTTGTTGGTGCGGTGGTTGTTGGTGCAGGTGCACCTGTGCTGGTCTGAGCAGGCGCTGGAGTCCTTACATCATCAACACTCTGAGGTTCACTACTTGTAGTAGTTTCGGTCCCATTTTGAACAACAGTTGTCACGTCCGTAATTGAACTTAGAGCTTACATTGTTGAATTCACCTTGAAACTAGGTATCTTTGGCGTGTTTCCCACGGAGAAAACGGGCCAAAGATGCTTCTTAAATATTCATAGGTTAGAGAAAAGATGTCCTAGTTGTAGTTGTCCCGTACAAAATGAATTACAGTTGTAAGCCTTAATGAACACTGTGCGCTATCTACATTGTCTGCCGTTTCGGTCGGCAATACGGATTTTGCCGCAGATATCACAGCCTTTTCTGTACCGTCGGGGTCACCCTGTAGCTTTGTTACTGCCTCAGCACTGCTTTGGTTAGAGCTCAAAACATTTCATTTCTTCCCTTCATTTCTTCAGAATTTCAAGAGGGAAACTGCGAGAAATGAGTCGTGGAAATGAAATATATTCAGCCTTAATATGATTAGAGAGTACAGGATGTTCGGAGTGCCACTCTATATCTAAATCACGCGTCTGATGTGTGATCATGGTCACCTGCCACCTCCAGCACTATCGCTCTAAACATGTAACAAGTGATAACAAACACAAATCTCTCAATCGCTCATCAAAAAGCGATAAAAGAGAGCTCTCAAGACTGAGGCAACTAATCTATCAGAGAACAACAACAGAGCCGCGAAGTAAAGCTGAGTGCGTGGGTGGGGGAACATAGAGTCCTCGTGCCTGGAGATTTTTTTACTGAGAGATTTTCTGACAAATAAAAGACAAAGGCAAGCCTTAATTCGAGTCGTCAACTTCACGGCCAGATTTACTGAGGCAAAATGTTCAGTTACCACAATCGTCTCCGTAGGTCCCTCAATTTTTGTCGTGGTCACGGTGGAGGTCGTGGAGGTCACTGTGGTGGTACTTGAAGATGTAGTGGTACTGCTCGACGAAGTGCTGCTTGAGGACGTTGTTGTACTTGAGACGCTGCTAGTCGAGGAGGTTGTAGTCGCTGTGCTCGAGGACGTCGAAGATCTGGTAGACTTAGAGCTAGAAGAGGAAATCCATGATCTCCTTCTGGTTGTTGTAGAGCATCAGTCAATTCAAATTTATAGCCTCAACATTCAATGGTCTGTCTCTGATGCTGAAAAAAATAAGCTTGTTGTAAACCTGAGATAGTCAAAAAAATTCCGCATGAGATGAAACAATCGTCCCGAACACAGATCCAGATGCTGAAAAAAATATAAGTTTTCTCTTCAAAAATGCCCACCATCTTCTTGCTCTTCCAAAACGGGAAGACCAAGAAGATGGTGGCTGAGATGGACGATTTCTTGAAGCCTTAATAGACGTACTGCTGGATGACGTGCTGCTCGATGTGGTTGTCGCTGTACTTGATGAAGTGCTCGTCGAACTCGAGGAGCTGGTTGTCGTGGTTGAGCTATCGGTTCTCGTCGTCGTTGAGGTCGAGGAGGTGGTTGTCGAGGTCGAGGAACTGGTTGACGAGCTCGTCGAACTCGAGGAGCTGGTTGTCGAACTCGAGGAGCTGGATGTCGAGGTCGACGAGGTGCTGCTGCTTGTGTTAGTTCTTGCAGTAGATATTCATCATTTTTTAGTTATGCGTGTTAGTTTTCCCCGTAAAAAATGGGCCAGATATGCTTCTCAAGTCTTGAGGATGAATTACGGTAACAAGCCTTAATTGTCGTTGTGCTCGACACTGTCGTGCTAGACGTAGTGCTTGAGGTCATAGTGCTTGTGGTCGATGTAGTGTCCGTGCCACCCCACATGTGGACTCCACACAGTGTAAGGCCAGAGGCGCCAGCAGAAGCGTGGATTGTCATAGACTTCATGTAACGCCAAACTGCAACTTCCGTACCGCATAGGTTAGAGGAAGACATGTGTCTCGTGCGTACATTTAGGTTAGATAGAGGAAGAAGTAGAACCATAACAAAATCACTGGCTACCGGATCAGGCAGCGTCATTGCAGCAGCCGACTGGATTTGCGCTTCTGTGGGACTATCTGCGTTGGCGCCTATGGCCTCCAAAGCATCATCGAAAACTAGTCTCGCTCCGTTGAGGCCTGAACTATGACTCGCGTCATCCACATTCCACAAAGTCACCCTACTCAAGTACCGCTCTTCATCGTTCGGAAATTTCACCCGCCACCAATGTGGACCGGTGCCAGTTGTTCTCGAGTCATTAGAGCACGGAACCGGCGTTCATGGATCGACCATAGCGCGTTGCTCTACTAGGGTTTGCTAAGAGGTCGAGCTCTACCTACCGTGATGATCGATAGAAGAGAAAGAGCCAATAGTACATGGCACTTCGTCCACCTGGTCGTGGCTGGTGTCATTTTCACATTTTAGTTGTACAGAAGTTAAAACCTCCAAGTTCGTCCTTAAAGCAATACGCTGGCCAAGTCCTCGAGGCGCCTGAATCTTCGGCCGCTGATCTGTAGAGGAGCGGCAAGTAGGGAAAGCCTTCGTAATGTTTTGTGCTGGATTGGTAGACTGTCTCGAAGAACCCATCATTGATTGTTTTAGAGCTGTTCTTCTAATATAGCAGAGCTACTTCGCGGCCTGCATCGCGCCCGTGGCCCTTTCTTGTCACCAGCAACCTCCTAGTATAAGAATCTTCATGCTGATGTACGAAGGACGAAAGTACAAGAACAAGGACAAGAAGTTGAGGAAGTAGATGCTTATCGAGTACAATCAACATGTCGAGGTGACATCTAAGTTGTTTCTTTTAGAAAAGAATTCTCACTCTTGCTTCTTGGTGGCCTTAATAGTCGTTGTCTGAAACGCTTTGGTTCCTATCACATGGATCCCACACAGCGTCAGAACGCCCCCATTGGTATCGTCAAACTTTGTGAACAGTGTCAGCGCGTTGATCTTCCGTCGAACCTGGAGCGTATTAGAGCCAGAAGCTGAAGTCGGAAACTAGCAGTAGTAAGTAAGTAAGTAAGTAAGTAAGTAAGTAAGTAAGTAAGTAAGTAAGTAAGTACTGGGCTTAGCGGCTTTGTTTTTCACATCGATGAATCTCCAGTCTAATTTATTAAGTGTGTTCTTCTCAAACTCAATTTGCAAGCGTGGTCCTCATCATCTTCTTGCATAATTGTAGTCCCAATGGCGTCGCCAGCTATGGTGCCAATGGAGCTCGCGCCGCTGAGATCGATCGATTGGTCAATGTCGGAGCCAGAAATCTGTGTGCTAACCGCATTCCCCAGATAATCGTCATACATAATTCGCGCGTTGTCTAATTTTTAGAACTACCGCGTTCGCATTCCTCAATCTTTGACCCTTGGGTCGATCCTTGACCCCTTCAAAAGAAAGAGAACCCAGGATCATGCGGTAGGGGGATCATGCGTTCTTGGCAGCCAGCCTTAAAATTTGTCTGTACAACAGTCCCCACGGTTCCACAGAGTTACTTCGCTCACATAGCGCGTCACACCTGAGGGAAAAGCTGCTCTCCACCAATTTCTGAAGTTCGTGTCTCCTCCATCGTCATTGGTGAGACAGCACGTTCCTGTTCCTGTGAGGTCCCTGGTTGTGCCTCCAGTTGTGCGATAGGCTAGCGTTAGAACTAAGAGAAATCCATCCGCAGCGGCCGCATCTGCGGCTCCCTTTTTCCTTTAAAAACGGGACCAATGAGTTGGACCGAGGAAGAGGACCAAAGTACTGATATTCTTTTTACAGCAATTTCATTGGCCTTAGAATTCAAGAAACTTATTGTTCTCTCTAAAAGTTAGAAAGCTTCTATCTTGTAATTGTATCTTTTGCAGAACAGTCTCCTGTTGGGGAAGATGGATTAGGATGTCTTGTAGCCTTAAGAGCGGCATCCACGCCACATGTCCACCGGAAGTCGAAGATTGCGAGACATCCAAGTACAGCTCACTGTTCAGAGTTCCACCTTCAAATGCTGGGCTCGTTGTGGTTGTCGAACTTGTGGTTGAAGTTGCTGTAGTGGTCGACGAAGACGCCGCTTAGAGGTATTAAGGGTAGGTTAAAGGTGCTTTTCTTACCGCTTTTTATGCCTCTCCTAAGGGAGAAAGGCATAACAAGCGGGGTAAGCGAGCACCAACAACCTACTTCTAAAGGTAGCTTTTTGGTGTAGTTGGTTCGTTTATACCCCGTTCGTTATGCCTTTCCTCCTTCAGAAAGGCAAAAGAAACGGTAAGAACCGGAACACCTTTACTAGCCTGCCCTTAAGTGGTGCTAGTCACTGTCGAGGATGACGTAGACGATGAGGTGGTTGAGGTTGTCGCGGTAGTTGTCGTGGAAGTGATGGTACTAGACGAGCTAGTGCTGGTTGTCGTGGGCGTCTCAGTTGTCGTCGTGCTTGTCTCGCTTGTTGAGCTGGTCGTAGAACTTATGGTCGTTGTCGTGCTGGATATCGTCGTGGACGTGCTGACGGTCGTAGAACTTACGGTCGACGTCGTGCTCGACGTCGTGCTCGGCGTCGTCGTGGTTTCCGTCGTGGTACTCGTGGTACTCGTGGTGGTCGTACTTGGCTGGCAGCAATATTAGACTACTCAAGTAGGTCAACACTCTACTTGTTACAACTGTGTTGAAAGTATTCAATGAATCTCATTGAGAAATAATAACTGCTTCATGGTAGTCCCTGATAGATGATAGGTCTGATTTTTGAGCTTGACGGGGAAGTTGACCTCGAGGTGAGAGAGACGCTTCTCTCACGCTCAACACTCGTAAGGAACTGAAAATATTGAACTCAAATGGAATTATGCTGTTTCTGTTCAAGGATGGTTGCACTGCAAGACGAGTGCTTGACAAACGATAGCCTTCCGCGTGTAATTGCCAGATGGGTCGTTGCTACATGTTGCCTTAACAATAGTCTTCGGTGCACGTGCCTGGCGTAGTGGGGTCGTTGTCGCAGATCAGGGCATCCTCCAAGTTCGCGGCTGTTAGCGGTTCGAGCGTCTTTCACAAAAGATCAAGATACACTCATGCTCCATTTATATTACAGAGTCCCGCCATTTATTGTTACTCATGGCGAGTCCCCACGTCAGGACCAACAACTCAGCTAAACTGTCACAGACTGACTGCAGTAAATTAATAAATAAATATCTGATGTGTAGCAGTCTTCACGATCTGGCGACACGTCCAAAAGAGTGACAGTGAGAGAAGTGAGTGAGTGTGCGGCGTCTGGTGCTTATCCTTTCGATGGTGCTTACGATTTCAACCACAGTGCAGGAGCTGAGTCCGTAAAGTCACCAGTCTCCTTCATCTTCAACACGCTAATGAAAGACGGTGTCCTGCTCATGTTGTTCATAAGGTGTACACTTTTCGATACGCAATAGCGCCAGTATGAGATCTACTCAAGCTTTTTTCGCAACCGATACACCAGTTCTCCGTTCTGCTAAGGGAAAGCGTTGCGCACGCCGCATCGTCCGCACATTTCTGACGACAGAAGGCCTCAGTCACCGCACCGCCTAAGGTAAGGCTACATTAGAGGCACTTGCTTCTCGCATTGTTCTCTTTCACTATGGCAGTCTGCACTGAAGTGAACTACCTTGCGCGAGGTCTAGCGTATCGCATCAGAGCAATTTATAACACGAAGGACGGCTGGCACGGTTTGCACGAATGGCACGGTTGGGACAACCCAACGAAGCCAAAAAGTGCCACGAATGGCACGGTTGGTAGGGTGGAGCGCGTAACTCCCTTGCCGTCCCTCAAAGTCCCCATGACATTGACTTACTCAAAGGGGCCTCCTTTCTCAGCATTCTAGCCATACTAGTCCTTATGGGAGTGAGATAGCAGTACTAATATTCATAGATACTTGTAGTTGTTGTTAGTTCTTGTAGTTGTACTAGTAGAAGCTACTAGTACTACCTTATTCATATTAGACTAGTAAAAAGTAGCCTTAACGAAACCTTTGGTCTTGTCCGTCTGGGCCATCTGTGGTAATGCCTGACGGTGACACCGTGCACTTTTTTCCGTCATTTGCGGGATCGTCTGTCATGGAAATGGAAGTGGATCTTAGACGAGTCATGCATCATAGCCAACGCTGCCGCACCTTACCACGGCACTCGCGACTCGATCCAATGAGTAAGGATCCAGTGAGTAAGAACATACGAAAGCGGCTGTTGTATAAATCTGTATGACAACAAGATGACGGGGGGTTTTACACATGATCGTGAGGAGGAGTCTGCGTTTGCTCTTCGATGGGGCAAGGCAGATAAGAGAAACTGAGGTGTAGTAAGGGGAAACGAAGCGGGCAAGGTCGGGAGCAGCGCAAGCTGCAGGCGGCAGGGGCAAAGTGGGGAATGCGACAGCAAGGTGAGAGGCCGCTAGAGCATAACAAGGAAGCCCAAAACTTTTTCAACAGTTTTTACGTTATAAATATTGTCAAAGGGAGAAGTCCGGCGCCTGCTATTTGTATCTAGCGGAAAATCCAACGAGAATGACACACGTGGGTGGGAGCGTAGCCAGCTACAAGTAGAAGTAAAGCTCTCACATAAAAATAAATATGCTCTGAAGCAGTAAGAACAGGGCAAAAGTTCATGCGCTCAAGAGCTACAAGATAATGCTGAAAGGGCTAGACCTCTAGAGGTAAAAACTAACCGGCTTTTTTATTTAGTGCTTTGAGCGCCGCTGGGCCTAAGCCTCAACCTTATAGAAAGGGAGAAGCCGATCAAGATTTGCAGCACACCTCAGAGAGACGGGGAAAATCGCATCAAAAGCCTGCTAAAGGAGGAGGTTACTTAATTATTATCAGATGAGACTGTTTGTTTGTAGTTGCTTAGTAACTTTAAGCGACTTAGAAGACTCGCCACTGACTGCCCCTCCTCTTTATGTAAGTTGAGTGCTTACCTCCGCAGAATTTGCAGGACAGAAGGCGACACTCAATCCTTTTCACTCGCGCTCAAGAGCCAGCTACAATATAATAAATATTTATACAACTTCTGTGGCCTTAACTTTGGCAGCCTATCCGCTGGACACGTGTAGCTGCCACAATGAGGGCGACAGCAGATTAGAGCTGGCATCGTCCAATCTTTATTAATAGAAGTCCGTCAATCTCTGCACTTTACCCTTCTAGCTGTTGTTCCCTTTGGAAGTTTGATATCTTCAAGTACATCCCACTAAATGGTGTCTGTGCCACCTGCACCACCAGATGATAAACAGCATGCCAGAGAGAGGCAGTGGACAGAGACGAGGAACTATTGAGGCTGGTGGCCTTAAGCACAGAGCAGGCGTGCAATGACCTGCGTCTGCCGAGTATTCTCCATTCGCACCAGTGCACTTCACGGTTCCCGGATTGGCGACTATTGCGTGCGTCCCCGAATTGCACACGTCGCCCACGGCTATGGCTGCGCAGGATTCTGTACAACAAGTTGCCGCACTGCACGGATGACTGGGACAAATGACCGTCGCGGGTTCGTTCTTGAGCTTAGAGCTGCCGCGTCGTATCTTCCCTATGTATAAGGGTTGAACCCTGGGGGTCCCTTTTTTCCCTTGAAAAAAAGACTATGGGTGACGCTGAGGATGCTCCCGCGGTTGCCTTAATGAGTAACCAATTGGCTGCGCACCCTGTAGCGTCAAAAGAGTCACAGGAGGCCTTATCGCAGCACCCTGCTGCAGTGCAACATTAGAGGACGTCTCCACGTGTCACATCTGTCTTCAGCTGCATCCTACTTGAAGAGTATTTCTGAGGGGTATACAACGGGTCCCTTTCAGCTGCGTCCTACTTGAAGAGCATTTCTGACAAGGAGGATACTTCTATCCTGCAGCAGCAAGAGCATCAGACCGAAGGCGCTCAGTCATACTTTTCAGGAATGAAGATGACCTCCTCAAACATGAGTTTAGGGTTTAAGATAAGCAATATCTTAACACCACGTCGATGGAGCAGGAGTGATGTAAGGCGACGAATCTTGGTTCACTGTGATACTCGTTCCTGCTGTCGTTAAACCATCTCTGCAGAAATTAGAGATCTAAGAAGGCGTTTGTTGAAGGACTTGGATTGGATAGGATGCCTCGCTTCGCTGCCACAACAATGAATCTGAAGAATGAAGATGAGGCCCAAACAAGAATATTAATATTTTTCGCAATTTATTCACCATGTCAACAGAGAGACACAGACTCTGCATCCTTCCTCGAGCATTCATCCTTCGAGTAGTGCTAATACTGGAATGTATGCTTACTGTAGTAAGTTCACAACGCTCACTGTTAGTTTTAAAGATAAATTTATGATAAAATAGTAAAAATAACATGTGCTTTTTTGATGTTGAGCAAGAACTAACTATCCCGATTGATTTTGACGGATAGAATAGTAACTAAGGGCCTTAAAGAGAGTGTCCGGATTCTTAGCTGTCCACCCAGATGCGGCATCGCAGGTGAAGGTTTGACAGTAGGGCTCACAACATTCATCATCCGTACAGCAACTATTAGATTATGCTCAAATCCATCTCGCCCCCCCATATTGGCCCTTATTTCTCCCTTGTGGTTTTTCATGAAGATGAAGGGGCACTGCGATCATGCGGGGAGGCGATATGGATAAAAGTAGCAGACCACGCATAGCACTGGCTCCTGCACATTTTTGCGCGCCAGACCTCTTTTTCCATCCGTTTGAACACGTGTGGCCAGAGCAAAGGTGCATCAGCTTCGCCGTGATACTGCGACGTGCAAAAAAAGTTTTCGAGTTGATATTCGAACTCGCTACGCTTAACGCTAGGCACTCACTATCTCGAGGATCTTCTACGTTGGAGTGTGTTCCCTGTAGTTGCTTTTTCTGCTCTTATAATATTTTTCTACTAGAGTACTTATGTGGCTTAAGCGTCGCGATTATAAGTAGTACGCCGCACCAGATAGTCAGACAGTGAGTGTCCTCTAGCCTTAATATTTTAATCACTGATGTAGCCGATCGCTGCGTGTATATTGCCTGTTCCTCTTCTGCTAACTGCGATAAAGAAGAGGTGCTAGCGGATGAAGACCCAGTATTGACAGGCTGAGGACAGGTAAACTTCGTTTTACGCCCCGCGCGGCTGTTGTAGGTGCATGCCCTGCCATCGACTGTTACACTTAGAGGAAGACGAAATGGTAGTTTTTCTTTTTCTTGGCTTTGTCTTTTCGAAGAGCTGGCAAGCACCAGCATGTTATGATCATTTCATGTCAAAAGTGTGGCCCTGACATGATCTCAAAAGTCATGATCATCACACCGAAGCTTGAAGATGATGTACTACAAGAACTATATCGCCTTTCCTTTCCGTTATAGTTCAGGAAATAGATTTTCTATGAACCCT